CAGTTCGTTATGTTAATCGATTGAAGATCTATGCACTTCCTACAGATTTCATACGATACCTGTTTAGTTCTTTGCGCTTTATTCGTTCTGTTCTGCTACACTTATCGGGCGCGCTGTCGCAAACCAGGGCTACAAAAAGATTTCATTCACGATGTTTACATGCTCTCCTCCCTTCGCTACTAATACTCGCGAGAAATTGCTTCCTCGTTTACTTCCTGCAGTATAAACTGTGCAAGTCAGAACTTCATGTGAACTTGAACGACCAATCGACAAGGGTTACTGTGCTTCATTCTCTCTCATCAGACTTAAATTGCCTCCTGTTGTAAACAAATGGCTCGCCGCATTTGACTTCATCATATCTCGAAGCCGTGCCCACCAGCATGCATCGTGGCGCAATCCAACTACTCAGACAATTCTCGACGAAGACAAATCACAGGCAACTCAGGTGTAAGCAGCTGTTCATCCGCAATCAGCCTCTCCTGAGAATATCAAGGAATACTTCGCTTACTGATGGGACTCCGGCTGATGATGCTAAGCTAACCGTGATAAGGAGAAAGTTGAGATATGGACCTCGTACAGCAGTTGTTGGGCACACCAACTTAGCTTTCCTTCATTAAGCAGGAGTGGTTGTGTAGTACTCTCCATCGGGTTCGTTAAGATCCAGGTTTTAGGTCGTGCTGTCAGCGAGCAAGTCGAAATCTTCAAGTTGAATCGAGGACTCGAGATTGCAGTGATATCTAGCTATGGCATCAACCAAAACCGCAGTAGTTTCATAGTCCGAGGTGATGTAGACGTGTAGGATCAGAGTCAGAGCCATGACCTGGCTGCCGTCTATGCAATTTGTCCGTAACAATGAAGGGAAAATAACCTCCATGAATGCTGTGTATCATAGTATAATGGCGCTCGTTCACATCAAATTGCATGTATCTGGTGCGCGCAGAGCGATGGATGATCAGATGAGTATGCAGATTATATTTGAGTGGGCAGTGTGGGTCTCGAGGTCAAGAGCGCTCCGAGACGATCCGTAAATCTGTAGCTTGAAATTATAACATTTGAGTGATCGTACAACATGCTAAGTGAAGCTCGCCCGGTATGTCGCAAAAAGTGTTCATACTCAACAACCTTAGACTTGTCCAAAACATCAAATCTCAGTCTGAAAGTATGAACTGCCAATTCGAGTAACATCAAAGCAGCATCACGAGGACCTGCAAATGACAAGAATTACTAACCAGCCTATTATGCAACTGATTTTGGCATCCCTTCACTCTCTCCTCAATCCACTTGCCACACCACCTGTGAGGATGCTAGGAAGATTTTCGCCACCGATAGAATAAAGCAACGAGACAGAGCCTCCCATCAAGAGGATAAGTGTGATCACTGTCCCTGCTATCAATACGAAGGTACTGGTACAAACCAAGTCAACAAAAAGAACTGAGAGAAATGACGCGACTACTTACCTACTGATGTCCTTGCGCTGACACATATCGCCTGCCCAGCTTTCCGTCTTTCCAGAATTGGACTTGGTGTTGGAGCAAGCACAGACGAAACACTCCTGTCCAGCAATAAGGGTGCTCACACACTGTCCGTGATTGGAACAGGCATTGGTCGCGTTGGAGCAGGCCTCAGAACTCGTGAGGCAGGAAGCCAAATAGCGAATCGGTGGTCCTGTGGATGGGCGCAGTGCTGGAAGGGGTGACTGCTGCGGTGGCTGCGGTTGTCGTTTGTCCAGTGCAAGAGAGGGAGAATATGACAAGACGGCGACGCGGGTCTTTGCGTCAGAAATACTGGATTCAAGAACGGCTCGGACTGTTCTTGCCGCAAGCTGGTACTGGTCGCTTGAACGACCGTATGTAGCTGCGAGCTGGGACAATCCTGTTAACTCCAAAGACGCGAACTTGTCATCGAGAGTATCTTCAGTTGGCTCGATGAATTTGATAAGTGTTGAAATTTCTGCAAGAAAGGCTTCGTTTGCGGGTGTTGGGGCAGAAAATATGTCAAGGGTCCGAGGGATGCCTTCTGGGGGAATAGCGAGATCAGAGTAGACGAGGGAGTATGCGTGAGCGGCGCGTTGCAGATACGAGGACACGAAGGAAGTAAGTGAACTAGTATGTGCCCCTGCAATCGAGAACGAGCGGCTCATGAAAGAAGGAATAATATCTGAAGCACGACTTGTCAATCGTCACTGCACTTGCTCCTGGAGTGAAGCAAACAAACCTTGTACATTAGCATCATCTACTAGTAAAAACAACGCGTTTGAAGCCCCTTGTGCGACAAACTCTTGCTCTCTTAGCAGTCCGCCATAATTCTGGAAATTCTCGGTTGGCTCGAGACCCAGATGTTGCGACAAGACAAAACCAGCATGCTGGAGGGAAAGCCGTGATGGAAATTCTTGAGATGGGCTGAGGTATACGTCGGCTGCCTGCGATAAACCGACCAACAGCAGACAAGACAGAGCACTGCAAAGTCGACGACCCATGTTCACAAAGGATTCAATCAAGTTGCGCGGAATGGTCAAGTTCTGACTTTCCATTTACGGTGCTTACAATATACCACCTTATTCAGCTCCTTCGGTCAGTGTTACCGTCCGCACGTCTGTCACCTCAGGCTACAGGAAGAACTTGTATTCTTTCTTGTAAGTACTTACGATTCATAACTGTATGTAGTCAATGCCAGTACCACTGTCACCTGGAGTTGTAATTATTGGCCCGTGCGTGGGAACGCCGGAGATGATGTCCAGCTGAGTTTGAATTTACCTGCCTCTCTCGCAGGCCATTGAAGTATAAAAGGACTTCCTCATTCCCCCACCACGACCCTATCCTAAGCTCGCTGTGTCAATCGTCGCTGGCGACATTCACAATGTCGAATAAGATAGTGGTGAGCTACTCACCCGAACTTGTTTGTAGTAGTTCAGTCTGGTAACAGAGAGATTTTTTGAGCCTGGCATCTACCGCGCAGTCATAGACGAAGTCATTTCCGCCATTAAGCCCGAGTTCGACGAGTACGGCGTCAGCGAAGAAGTTCTCGCAGAGTTGCAACATGTGAGTATATGCTTCTTATCATTTCCGTTCATATTATAGTGTAGGAAATTCGGTGATGCGAATGCTCTTGCAGAAATGGGAAAGCAAAGTCATTGCATCGCATGTTGCAGAGTTTGAGCCACAGCCACCTCCGCCTCCACAGCACCATCATATGTACCCTCCACATCCTATGATGGTTCCCCATCATCCGCACTACCCTCCTCCGCACGCATATGCTCCACCACCACCTCCTGTCGCGCAACCCCAGGGTCCTCAAGTCAAGACAGAACCAGTGGATAATCGTTACGTCCTAAGTGGGCCTCCTCCGGGCATGCCATACGCTCTACCTCCGCTTCCCGGGCCTCAATTGAACGGTCTCAAAACACCAGGCTTTCCGGGAGGACAGCAAGGCGTCCTGTCGTTCCCCCCTCACCCAGGGCACATACAACGTCCACCTATGTCTAGGCCATACGCGCCCCAAGCCCCGCAGCCACCTTCTAAAGCTCCTCAACATCAACCGCCCAGTGCTCCCCCTGCTGCCAGTCCGCCTGCACCTCAAGCTAGAGCACCGGGGCAGAGGATCCCTCAGGTTGATGGACCTTCATCATCTGAATCAGACTCACCTTCTCCTCCGCCTAGCCAGCCTTTTGCGCCTCGTGCATCTCATCCTTCGCTTCCTCAACCATCGCAGTTATCGTCGACAACGCACACGGAGGATGCCGAGGCCATCAACAGCGACCTCGACGACTCGGACACCGAGGGCGAAGAAGACGCTGAAGAGGGTGGACAAGGCGAGACCGATATCGTATTCTGTACATACGATAAGGTGGGCAACTCTGCATCTATGTTCTAGATTTTGGAGCTCATTTCGTGATTCTCAGGTCGGCCGTGTCAAAAACAAATGGAAATGCCTCCTCAAGGACGGTATGATCCATATCAACGGGAAGGATTATCTATTTGCCAAATGCACTGGGTGCGTGGTCCTAATCTCAATTGATGAGTTGGCACTTACACCACGCAGCGAATTCGAGTGGTAGTCACGGTGCCAGATTTGCTACTAGGCACCTCTATCCGTCATTGCTCTCCTCAGCAGCTATCTTGGACATAAGCTTCGTCCTCATGTCATCTAACCTCAGTGTATTCTACCAGGCATCGTAAATTCCATCATTTTAACCAAACCAGTCTGAACCTGAGCGATCGGTACTATGGTAAGTTCAAAAACCGAGAAAGTGGAACAATACAAAGTTCATGGCAAGGGGTCCCGCCAAGCCGTAGGAAACCTTCCACTGTCTCGGTTCACATTGAATCATTCTAGTCGTCCTTCTCTGACAAAAACCCCGTGAACACGGAATAAAAACTGCCGTTGAGCCGAACGGATTATCCGACGTATAACCCCGTCAAGTCTTGCGCATCGTCTCTATCCCGTTTGCGACAAAAAAGTTTATTTTCACCGAGTCTTATCTATATCTTTATTAACGAATTCCTAAAGTTCAAGGCCGCCATTCTCAAGCCATTCTATATATATATATATTTATTCATTCACATATCAGTTGCAGGTTCGCCCCAGACCCCTACATACGCCATAACGGTACCCACTTTGTACTTTTATCATAAAATATTACGGCTTGACGCTGGTTTTTACACACGCGCCAGGATATTAATATAACTGAACAAGGTCAGATATGCACACCAAGATCAAGATGAAGATCGAGACAGAGGTCATCCGCGACAGCATGCTCAAATAACCCAAAGTACAATATATGTATATGTACACATGTATCGTATTCGTTGCAAATTCGTATTCGACAGCGCGAGACCAATTATGTACCGAGGAATACTTATGGATATATGACACCATAAGCGAAGAAGAGGAACGTTTGATTGCTAAGGACCGCATAGAAAAACGACGCTTGCTCGGTAAAAAGTCAAGCACGCCTAATCACAGGTACACATATCTCTTCCCGCGGGTCAGTGATGTGCGTCTTACGCAAAAATGATGGACGCAAGCGGACAGTGATGCGATGCGATGACATGTCACTTATCGCCTGACGGCATGCAACCAGCGAATAGTCACCCGGAACGTGGTCCTAGCAGCCGAAGGGCTCTGTCGTCCATAGGGTCTCGTTTGTAGGGGTGGCTGCGTTGCAAGGAATGCAAGGGTGCCAAGCCAACACGCTGCGGTCCAATGCTACTTGAATCTGCAGAAGGCGGCACTTCGTATTGTGGGGTAGGCTCTGACCGGAAAAGCTGCGCAGGAGGGGGAAGCGAGATAGGTGGTGAATTATGAGGGGAAGGGAAGTTGGCTGAGTTATCAAGCGAAAATGCGCTCTGAGTCGGTTCTCTATTATCATCATCTGTCACTCGGGAGACAGGCTGGAAATTGCCAACAGTAGATGGTGGTCGGATGCGACATAAGGGAGAGGATGGCGGCGAGCGTGATGGGCGGACGTTAAACGAACACGAGTAAGGCCTGGAGGAGTAGAGGTCCTCGGATGCACGATGTGTACTTGCGCTACTCGAAGCAGGAGAGTGATTCATGCTGGCTCCAAACGCAGGAGAAGACCCATGATCACTGGAGGTATGACACTCAGCAAAGGGCTTCAATGATGTGTCTGTACGAGTCCTGGCCAAGGGAGGAATAGTTCCAGACACGGAATAATCAGCAGAGCTTCTGCGGCCATAATACGCTGAGCCATGCTCTGGCGGGGGTATGGCGGGGAGCGAGGGACGACGGAATTTGTAGTCATCTTCAAATGAAGGACGAAGAGGAGGGAGAGAGGGTGGTGGGGGTGGTGGGGGTACCGAATACTGAGGTATTTCAGATATGGGCGTACGAAGCTGCTGCGAAGACTGACCCGGACCTGAGCGGTACGGGTCATCCGACTGAGCATATGGTGATTGTGGCGAATTAGGGTAGTGGGAAGACTGGCTCGAATATGCAGGGAACGGTGCGTACGTCCGGGTTACGGTAGAGTTCGTTGACTTCAAAACATCGGATCTTGAGCGACTGTCTTCCCCCTTGCGAGTTTTGCCAACTCGGGTGCTTTGGAAGGTTCCTTCTGGCACCACAAGGTCAGCGACACCTGGTATGTTGTCTATGGTGCCCAGCTCATCGACTGTGGCCTGCGTGAAGTATGCGGCTACAAATAGCTTTTGTAAGGTCCATATTTTGGAATGTCACATGTGCTTACTCAAGTGCCACTTGCGGCGACCTTTATCCGTTTCAACCCAAACTGAATAAGTTTGTTTTACCAGCGGATCCCAGTCTCGAGGGGGCTGTTTCTCAGATGACCTAATAAGATAATGAATTTAGCGACGATTGTTTAGGGCACGAACATACCCAGAATGACCAGCGTCTGCTGGAGGAGTATACTTCTCGTAGTAGAAGAGAAATTCCTTGAAGGGATATTAGCAGAGTGGTAGGACATATTTTGAAAGAACGAACGTCTCTGACGCGTGAGGGACTCCATCGACGCCCCTCTGTAAAACGCTCTATACCCAAGCCTGTGATTTCAGTGTGTGGGCCTCTTTCTTCCCATGCATAGATACAACCTGAACACAAGGCGAGACGTTCGTCGGCGTCAAGGCGCCTCGTTATCATTGGGAGCATACGCAGCTGTACTGCATAGAATATTTTGTGAGCATCACGAGTGGAGCGTATGCGAACATTAGTGCAGGTGGGTCGTTGCTGCATGTGTGGTGATGTGAAACGGGGACAAGGAGAAGGCAAATAGAATGGGTATGGTATATATTGGCCACTAGATCTGGGGAGCAGAAGATGGTTTGGTAATTAATTAAACTATTTTCTGTACCAGGGGTATCCGCTGACTTCCGTTCATAGTCAGTTGCTCTAATTTGGGCCAATTTTGGAAACTACCTGATGAATCTTATTGGTGGCGACGACCCAAAAGGCTTGTCGCCAATCTCGATTACAGCGCGAAACTCTATCACTTTACAACTCAATTTCTTTCAAGTCCCCCATATTTCTAACTGCGATCAAAACGCACCCCCCTCCCTTTTTCCCTTGAGTTTCGGTAAATCCCGGGACTTCTTTGAATTGATAACTCATAAATAAAACAGTTCCCCGCGGCAGCCTGGCTCAGATTGAAATATTCAAAATGTTCAAAATTCGGATATTTTATACCTTACATAATTATCAGATATTCCAGGGTTGCTTCAATCTATGAAACCGCCCATCCGCACCCTCCGCTCCAGCTCCCTAACTCGTTGAACAAGACGTCAAGCTCAAGCTTCATCTGTGCGACCACGTGTTCCAATCAAACTACACAAGATGCCGGTCTGGTAAAACGCCTAACTTAAATCCTAATCTTTCTGACATTCACCGCCGCAGTCTTATTATTTATCGCGCCCAATTTTACATATTTTGGCTCATCGATATCATACCGATCCTGAAGATGCGCTCACACGGCGCGGTTGATGCCCAGACCAGATCTTCTTCCACCTGATTGGTTATGGTTGTCTTCCATACCTGCCAGAACCTATGGTCTTTCATATGTAATACGGACGGCATACATCAAGATCCACATCCAATAGCCTATACCCTGGAGCATCTTTCAAGGTTCATCGCCAATTTACGGATGCATCCTAGGACCGAGGCTTGTAATAGGCCATGATATTCCGATCTATCGCAGGGTATCACGCCTACCAAGAACCCCGTCTTACCCAATACCATCAGTCCCTCTTTCACGATGCACGTTTGCTCGCTATCTTTGTATGCCATTCTTACTGAGACTATTCAACGTATCATTCTAGGCTCATATGATAGCCACGTCAGAGTTGCCTGGATCGATTGAAATCTGCTTTGTGATAGAATAAGAACGATTCGGCGGTCGGAACCGGCAAGGGCGAATCAATCAGATGGGTGCTGTACGTGAAATGGTCCCCTGATGCCCACATGCTGCGCATGATTTGCCAGTGCTAGAGTTAACTCTCCCCAGCGAACGGTATCACAGCTCCACCACCCATTGAGTTTGAGTGTGTCAAGTACTTCTAGCCAACAGCACCTTACTACGTTCTAGAATGTACTGGAACCTTGATTAATAAAACCGAATGCAGGAAACATGATGTATATAAGATAATAGTGCGGGGACAGTGGCGTTCTGGAGCAGTATTTGCGGTCTTTACATCGGACACATTCAACAGCATTCACCATTTGAAAGAAAAGCGTCTGACAGTGTATACACACGGGATCAAGTTCGTGAGAGCAACACATATGATTCAGGTAAGTACTAGCTGCTTACTAGTCCGTCCACTGAGAAGCTGTGCCATTCAAGCTGAGTGCCGCGTCACACAAGTACTACAGTTGCCCAATTCGTGTGGTTGTCAAGCTCAACTGAGGACAAGATATCAATTCAGGGACGTAGGAAGCAAATTATGTCGTCAAAGCGCAAATGTAAATGTAGGTGACGCAAGCAAAAGTATAAGTACAAACACGAGATTGGTCTGATAGACGACCAAGAGAATAACGTATGATGAAAACGATAACATCACGGCATTTGCAGGTCTATAGGTTATTAATTCTACAGTCCATAGAAAACAGTGCGAAGAAAACATAATACGAAGTTCAACACAAGCGAGGGTAAAATGCCATTAGAGCCTCTTCATCCAACGGGTGTCTTCGGGGAGGAGCTAGGTTTTGAAGGTACGTAAGGGGCGCTAGCGATTGGCCGTCTCGAGGTGGCGCACGTCCTGGGTAGTGCGGACTGTCATTGGAATGCTGGACCCGGGGAGGTGAGGGGTACGGAGCATACTGAGGGGCGAAAGGGACCTGTCGTTCTTCTCGCTGAGCACGACCGTTCTTGCTCGTGTTGTGTCGAGCGCTTCTATAGTTCCCTGGAGGCACAACGATACGAGCGAGGTCGGGAAGGTCAGACACGGTTCGGAGATAATCGAGGCTGTCGTGAGTGAAATAGGCAACTGAGCAAACGCAAAAGTTAAGTTTCGGCTAGTTCAATGTCTAGAACAGCGCCGCGTACTAAGATGCCATTTCTTCCGTCCCATTGGGGTCTCAACGAAGACGGAATACGTTTGCTTGACCAAACTGGAACGCACATATTCGTGGTTCGCGCCAGGTTGCACCAAGGGACTTGATCCGATCCTGTCGCTGAGATGTCAGGCGGATGGAAACAAGGGAAAAGCGGACAGACGTGGTATCAGAGTCTGAGTTTGGGTCGATATCGACTGGTTCAGGGTCTTTTTCCTGATAGAAAAGAAATTCCTGAAAACCCTTCAGTCATGACAAATCGACGTAAGGTAAGTATAAACTTACGTCGCGGACTCGGCTTGGACCCCACCTTCATTCATATTCATGTTAGCCGATTCACACAATCAACATATAACATCATCGTAAATCACCTCTTGCCGTCAGTCCATCGTTCAATACCGAGCTGTGGTCGTATTAGCGCGTGGTCTGGAAGGCAGCCATCACTGATGGAATCTCACCCCGGTAGCCTCCGGGCTTGGCCCTCGTTCTTCCCAAACGAAAACGCAACCCGAGCTTATCGAACGCCGTTCCTCTGTGTCCAAACGACGGGTTACCATGGGTAAGACTCCAAGAGCTACCGCGTGAAAGATGATTTGAGCATCTTGGGGTGATCTTACTAACCATGAGTCATAGGGTCACAATGAACTGAGGACGAATACTCACCTCACACGTAGGCTAGTGCAGGTGGGCTGCTGTTGCATGTCGAGTGGGATGAAGGAAGGAGAAGAAATCTGGGAGGAAGTAGGTGGGTGGTGGCAATGTCTGGCACAGCTAGTGATGGCTTTGACTGGGGATGATAAATGGAGGACTTTGCACAGCACCTGATGTGATCAAAGATCTTGGCTTAGCTGGAATGGGCGCAGACTAAATAATTAATGGAATGGGAAAGCTCCTTAAATAACGAGGGACAAGCTTAGGGTCTAACGAGAACGTCATGATATACTAACCTTAACTCTCGTTCTGATGTAGTAAATCGGCTGATAGGCTGACGGCGGCACGCCGGGTGGTTGAGCGCGCAGCCCGATGGGAAACCGCCTATACGGTCATGGCCAAATTTTCATGGAACAAATTTAAGGGAGTGGGTATACAGTAAAATAGAGTTTTAGAATCTTATTATTCCATCTCCGGGGGGCACTGTATGGATACGAACAAAAAATAGGAACCACTATTCTTCGACAACCGACAAGTGCAGGGCTTCGCGGCCAATCAAATATCCTGAGTATCATGGCACTGTAAGCATTTATCGCTGGACAATATCGGCGGTATGTGGAAAAAAGGTACAAGCGCAAGAAAGTGCGCATTCGAATTGCAAGGTACGTTATCGGCGACAGGGTGGAAAGAAAGCGCAATCAGAGTACCTCGACAATGCCGGAAAACTGAAGATTCTCATGCACTAGGCGATTCCCCGCGCACGGGCCGTCATACGTTGATGCGTTCATATTCGGCTTGACGATTTGTCTGATATAAGGACGATCTTGCTGTGCTAGACCAACAGTCTGAGTAACCCTCGCCCGTCGGAGCGAACTAAACCCTAGAAAGGTATATAGATTGCAAACAGACCTCCTTTAATCCTTCTTTGGCAAAGTAGTGAGAACTTGAATTGTTCATCAAGAATGGTCAATTACAAACTAGTTGTGGTTAGGTTAAGAACTCATGGTCCGCGATCGCTTCGATGCATAGCCAAGTATTCACCTGTCTAGCAAACCTTGAGCTTGAAACAATTGGACTATTGCATCTTCACTCGATCGGACCTAAGATATTCCGAGGAATGGGAAGTAACATAAAACTGTCATTTACGACAGCGCGAACGACACGAACCTTGAGCTGAAACATGGAACGCGTATTTTGCATTTCGCAAGATCAAATTCCGAGTAACGGAGAGCGAAACGTACGAGACTATAATTTCCGACCGCGCGAACGACTATCACTAAAAGACTAAAGTTAAGTCGGCTTGATTAAATTGAAAAAAAAAATCTGCTCATCCAGGATGTATTTGCCGCTCAGCGAACTTGCGTGATCTCCGTTGCTTCGATCCGCTAGTACAATACCGAAAGCTCAACTTCGATGTATCCAGATCAAGGCTGTATCCTGAGTAGTTAGACTGTGACTGAGCCTATCAGATAGGACCACTGCATCTCCACATCGACAGAGCGTGTGCAGTTTCATGTGAAATCCAAGGATGTTGTGAGAACCGGATTGCACCGGCAGACGAAGGTAATAGGACCTGTCATCACGTAGCCGAGTTTAGGAGTCAGAACGTTGTTTATAGGGATCGCCGCTGCGTGAGAGCTACTTTTCCCTCGTAAGCCTTCAGAGGGTCGCTAGAGTTTCCTTTCAGCGGATGAAGTCCCATCACTTAGCAATGCGGATAAAAGAGATTAATACTCAGCGTCACATGAAGTGCCTCCGATCGGCGGCCACATCCTACGCTAGCGAAAGAAAGCGAAACAAGCGCTCTTTGAGGCCATCAAGGGTTCAGTCTCGCTGTTAGCGCGGTGAAAACTTGAGATGCTGGCATAAAGCTGGAGGACACGAGAAAGTACCGAAACATGAACTTCGGGTCAACTTCAGCCGTTGGCGCTTATTACATAAGCACACCTATGACTCCAGCTAGTAGTAGCTCTAGCTCCATGGCATGATCAGAACTTCAGTCAGTAGTATTGTTCGTTCTGGATACCGAGCATCTGTGCCACACAGGAGGTCAGTGAATACATCAAAGGACGCAGTGATGGCTCTTCGGCAACCGGCATGGCACCCACCTCGTCGAACTGACCAACCTGTTCTTAAGATCTTCAATTCGTTAACCAAGACAAAAGTGCGTGTCTGAACTGGGTGTAGATCGATCTGCTAACTGCTGATAGACGGAATTTATACCTATCGATGGTTCCCATGTCAAATGGTATAACTGCGGTCCCACAGTCTACGATGCCTCTCACATGGGCCACGCGAGGTCAGGGTTTGCTCCATGGTAAATATACTGCAATTTTGACGTTGTTCCAGGAATTATGTCACACAAGACATTTTGCGAAGAGTAATGTCAGACTATTTTGGCTATGACGTGCACTTTGTTATGAATATTACCGACATAGACGATAAGGTGCGTGATCACCTTGTATGATCGAAACAACGTCTTACACATCCTGAAGATCATCGTTAGAGCTCGTCAAAATTATCTTTTTTCACAATTTAGAAACTCTGCTACCACGCTTTCAGCCGATCTACTGTCGCAAGTCAGTGAAGCATGGGGAAGTTATGTCAGGGAGAATGTTTCCAAGGGTCTGCCGGACGAAGAGAAACCTTCACGAGGGGAAGAAGAGGCGCGATGGCCACAAATTGCTGGGCTTGCGCGTGATCAGAGCCGCAAATTCGAATGCCTAAAGAGAGATGAGAAGTTTGACATGCATTTTACAGCCGCTGTAGGTGTTCTCTTGCGCGTTTCCTGGCGTATAATCATGATTTGGCAATGTAGAGTCGGACCCTGGCCGCTATTGAAGCTGCAAGGCATGCACTATCTGCCAATCAGGGTGACTCACCGTTCAGACTTATTGATGAATCTCGTGATATTCTCGCCTCTGCCCTTGACAAGAAAGTTAGTTTTTCTTGATATGATTTCTTTCTGGCAGTTTAATTATTCATGTGCACAGCTCAAAGATACTGTCACAGACCAGTCTGTATTCCGATCTCTTGCGGCATACTGGGAAGGTCGATTTTTCAAAGACATGGAGCGGCTTCGTGTCCGTTACCCAGATACCGTCACTCGCGTCACAGAATACGTCCCTGAAGTGGTCGAATTCGTTCAGGGTATCATCAAGAATGGTTACGGCTATGAGTTCGAAAGCAGTGTCTACTTTGATACAGGTGCATTTGATTCATCTGATCGGCACGATTATGCAAAGTTGGAGCCCTGGAGTAAAGGGAATAGAGAATTACTAGCTGAAGGCGAAGGTGTGTTGATTTTGTAGTGCGCGTTCCATCAATAACGTTGGTCATTTGGGACATCAGGCGTGCTCTCGTCCACCTCAGGACGACGATCTGCTTCTGATTTTGCGCTTTGGAAGGCGTCGAAACCTGGAGAACCTTCGTGGCCATCACCTTGGGGTCCAGGTCGCCCGGGCTGGCATATCGAGTGCTCTGTGATGGCGAGTGCCATTTTTGGGGATCGCATGGACATCCATTCTGGTGGTATAGACCTTGCATTCCCACACCACGACAATGAAATGGCTCAATCTGAGGTCAGTCCGTCGCAGTACTTTCCATGGACGTTTCTAAGCAAAGGTGGTGATAGGCTTACCATGAATGCGATGCATGGGTTAACTACTTTATCCATACTGGTCACCTTCACATCGAAGGCCTCAAAATGAGCAAATCCCTGAAAAATTTCATCACGATTGACGTGGGTACTTTTGGGTGTCTGTTCTATTCTCCGCCTTACTCATACGGCCGGTCACACAGGAGATACTTCAACGGTTCACAGCCCGGCAATTACGACTCGCATTCCTAACGCAGCTATGGAATGCGAAGATCGATTTTTCTGAATCAATGATGACCGGCGAAGTCAAGTCCCTTGAGGCTACATTCAACGCAAGTTCTCCGTATTTTAATATCCGCTATATTTTGAGAAATCGTACAGAATTTTTTCACAAATGTCAGAGCGATCATAAGTCAGGCACGGGCACATGAGGATCAGTCAGATGGAGAGCATCACTACAATGACGCTGAACGAGAACTCATGAAAAGGTCAAACAGGCAATATCTCTCGAGTACCACACCCTGACGCCCTGCCAGTTTGTATGATAGCAAGACGGCCTTCCGCACTGCTCTTTGCGACTCCTTTAATACACCTGAAGCGCTCAAAGTTATACGTGACCTAGTTTCGCGTATCAACATCTACATTAACAGCTCAGGAAAGAAGGCCAATGTCGGTGTGGTGGAGCAGTCCGCGACATGGATTGGTGACATGCTCCGCATGTTCGGGCTAGGCGAAGGGCAGGCGTCCGAGATCGGCTGGGGGCAAGAAGACGAGGGCGCCGGTGGCGTGAACGTGAGATAATTGTTGCGCATTTTCTATGCTATTTGATATTGATCATACGGCTTAGCGAGAAGAAACGCTGATGCCATCCCTTCGCGTCCTGTCTTCATTCAGAGACGGCGTTCGTCAACTGGCTATTGCTAAAAACGATGATGCTTTGAAGGAAATACTCAAGCTCTGCGATAAACTGCGCGATGACGATCTTGTGCCTTTGGGCGTCGCGCTCGATGATCAAGAAGGTGATCTAGAGCAGAAATGCCTTGTTTCTCTTCAAACTGACTCTGCTTCCTATAGATGGCAAGGCGCTTGTCAAGCTCGTGTCCCCGGCGGAGCTCATCAAGGCACGGGGAGAAAAGCGGCTGAAATTAGATGCCCAAGCAGCGAAAAAGGCGGCTGCAGCTGAAGAGGTACGACAGAAGCGTCTCGCAAAGATAGAGAAAGGGCGAGTTCCTCCCGAAGAGATGTTCCGGCCTCCCAACGTACCCGAGGGGATGTATATCCGATGGGATGAATACGGCCTTCCTACTGCCACTGGAAGTGGAGAAGAACTTAGTAAAAACCAACAAAAGAAGGCACGGAAGGAGTGGGATACACAAAAGAAATTGCATGAGGAGTTTCTTGCATGGAAGAAAGAGCAAGAATCTGTGGCAGGGTCTTAGTCACCGTAGTCATTCATCGTTTCATTTGCTGTATCACTACCAGTCACAAGATCTGATGATGAGTGCTGTAATTCTTTCTAGTCCGACCTGATCGTCCGCATCGAACCCTCCAATCGCAAGGCAATCAAGATCCAGGACACCCAGTACGATATCTTCACCCCCTTTCCGAAGAATGAGGGGACACACGATCTCGCTTTTTGTATCGCCGTCACAGGCAATATGCCCAGGGTAGGTCAAGACGTCTGAAACAAGAATGGTACTGCGCTTGACAAATGCATCTCCACACACGCCTCGAGGTCGAGGGGAGACCTCGATCCATTGACAGGCAGGCCTGCCGGAAAAGGGTCCCAAAAGCATATTATTGAAAGCATGCGTTTGAGATTTGGGGTCCATCGAGGCATCAGTGAATCGGGGCTGAGGGAAAAGGGAAGAGATGAGATAGAAACCTGTGAGAAATTAATTCCACAGTCAGCAAGACGTGTCATCACAAAAAGGATGGGCTGGGCGATCGTCCTTTGTTGACTGGACTGTTGATACCGGCGGTAGAAAATAGAGGACTCACCACACCAGTTGACCGAACGATCCCCATCCCCGAAATTGCTGGGAAAAGCTTGCAGGGAGTTGTAAATAAGCGAAGCAGCATTGGACAAATTCGAGATCTGTATATGTAAATGTGTTTTAGTTTTGGGTCGAATTAAATATTATGGTATCGAAGCTTGCCCAATGTCGTTGGCCTCCCACCAAAATTTCTAGCTGATCGTACACATGAGTCCAGAATTCAGACTTAGTCTTAATGGAGTCTGGAACCAAAGATGCATCGGCGTGCGGCATCTGCAAAAAGCAGCCAATCAGCCTGACGACGATACTGCGATGGAGTTGAATACTTCGTTTAGTTTTTTGTCTTCAGTCTGAATCAACTTGTCATGAGAAAAATCGAACTCACCAGATCGGGCGTCCCGTTCAGGTCAAGGTGAGGTTAGGGTTAAGAGTCAGCGTTCCCAAGCATTCCCAAACTGCTACAAGCTTGAGGGGTGAGATGAATTCCTAACGAACAATTCAGCTACTCCGCGAAAAACGTTACAGCCACTACACCGTTTAGGAGATGGTATAAAGTGTGGTTGAAAATTCTGGACAACATTTTTCAGTCCTCCTGAATCCTCTATCGATGGAATATCTCTCGTGATAGGACCTCGATAAGTGCATTATTATCATAGTTTGATCAATGATCATGATGCAAGTAAGCACAATGAGCCACAACATGAGTTAAAGAATCTCGGTCAGAGTCCAGAATGCATTTTGCATGCTTATGACAATGGTGAGAAGACGAACATTGAATATAATTCCCATCTATCCGGGTTGATAAAAAGTTTGTGATAGACCGGAATCCGAAAGATTCTCTTGGATGATCGTCTCCTCGAATGCGTAATGTGAGCCAGACTGTCGGTGGAGTTTACTTTATACACTTCATCAGAGCTAATCCATGTCTTGGACGAGGTATACCAAGTACACCCAATCTAGATGTGGGCTGTAATATAATGGAGTATATCACGGTGGACTCAAACTTGAAAGTATGTCAGCGGACAGGAGTACAAAACTGCGAAAATTACCCATCCACATATAAAGTAATAATTGAGCCGGCGATCAGGCATAGAACGAGGATGTGAAGTCAACAACCCATTTAGAGCCTACTTCCCTGCTGGCTAGCTCACTCTTGAGTCGCGGAATTCAGCAAACCTACTAGGCGATTGTAGGTCTTGTTGGTGAGTTATTCTCCTTTAGCCTGTCTCCCCCAGCTATACCAACCGAAGATAATCGTTCCTTCGTATTAGCACTTTTACCTCAAAACGGAGCCGATCTTCCAATTCGCGCTGAACTTCTCTGGGTCGCCGAGAGTCGCGACCCGGAGACAATGTCCGAGAACTGTGAGTATATAGGTAATAGCCCCCTGCAATTACCACGGATGCGGTGAAATTCATAGCAGCACTTACGACCATCGAAGACACGACACGGGTGCCACATCAAACAGATGCAGTAGAAATGAAAGTCATATATCAAGTAAGTTGAAACCGCGGTGAGGTGCAAACGTGGGGCACAAAGTTGAGAAGCTAGGGTATGAACATGAGATAAGACATAGAAAGAACAGGTCAAAAATATACATACCAACAAGTGCTGTAAGGCTTATGTAGTTTCAACTGACTGTTCCTTCTGTATATGAAAAAAAGCAAGTGTGTTGTTGAGAAAATGCGATATTTATTTATTTGTCTATGTGAATTAATAATTGTGTAAGGGTTAGGGTTAGCATCTCACTTGCCCGGTCTGCCGCGAAGTTCAACTCGCATGCTTGAACTTGACGAGCGGCATGAGCACCTCACCCATGGCTTTGCTACTTCGTCGCACCCCGAAGGACCTCATAGGAGTGAGTCAACAAACGACCACATTCATGTAGACGATGCCGGTCGTTCAGAAGAAGTGTGCTATCACCCGTTGCGCAGGTCTTCAGTATCATGCACAGATATCGATGAAATTCAAACAACAATGTCGGATTATGTTCCTGGCTACCCTTCTGCAATCGACGCGTCGAATAAAACCACAGATAATTTAGTTACTCCGGACCACCATGATATCGATGACATCCTGCACACAGTCTGTCCTTCTCCCACCCTTAAAACATGTGATGTGTTACAAACTTCCACTCGTAGGTTTCCCCCTGTGACTCACTTGTTGCAATCGCTCTACGATATGGCGTGTCGCTCTCAGCACTACGACATGCAAATCAGCTATGGCCATCAGACCCAATCCACATCCGTACCCAACTCATCATACCTCGTCATCGTGCACGTCATACCAAACGAAGAGCTGTTCCGCAAATCACTTCTTCTAGTACTCAGGAAACTGTCGTTGTCTCCTCATCACTTGAATCTACTTCATCACTCTCATCAACACTTCTCGCCGCAAGAGATACTGTTTTCTCCGCTTTCCCTACGCGCATCTCCATAGATTCCCTCAGCTCTCGCATCAGCGCAACAGATGAGGAACTCGAGCTTGAAAATTTAATCAAGCCTCGTCTTCAATCTCGCGCCTCAGAGATAGATTATCCAAACACTCCTGCCGCGCTTAGTGTCGGACTTGACACCCTGTCGCATTCCCCACGCAGCTATATGCCAGCACATGATATAACCTCATTACTTGACCATGACCCCCCACCAATATCATGTCAACAACTTCGCAGTCTCACATCGGATTCCACTATCAGACCATCTGCATCTGATCGCCTTCAAACGTCCAAGCACAGTTCCCCCGCACCTGTATTTGTTCCCGTGCGCATATCCCAGCTAGAGCCGGAACCTGCAATGGAGCTACCAGCCCTTAAAAAGCACAGGTAAAGGGAACGTGCGAATCTTGTGAATTTAGGAATAGGAGGGCTGCATACATTCAAAGTCTCAGTCCGAAATTCGGGCGTCTGTGTTAGACAGGCACTGTGCGTACTGGGTGAGTTGAGATCATATCCAACTGGCCGTGGCTTTCTGTATTGACTTGTTTCCTTAGGACTGCTCACGGTCCACTGGTGGCGTGGACTTTGTCTTATTTGCATAGCACAATGTCTTTCCGCGAGCGCGGACTTTCCCATCTTCACTTTTTTGAGCTTGTTGTATTTTGGTTTTTTCATAAACTTCAGTATTCTCGCGTTCTTTGTGTTCAGCGAGACCTCCCCAGGACCCGCAGCTTTTTACTCGAGCTGTGGAAACTCGTTTGTAGACCGACGGCGTTTGCCGTGATAGCTTGATTGTTCGTCGCACAGAGTATAGACTTAATTTTGTACGTAGCACGTTCTTTTGTTATTGATCAAAAAAGTATGATCAGATTTTTCCTTAGTTTGTCGCCACCTGAACAGGCTGCGAACTCACGAAACTTTGGGCGTGTACGTTAGTCTATCGGACATTCCCCAATCACCGGTGGCTTTAAGTTCCAGTACGTCAATTCGTTAGTGTCAATCCCCTATTGAGCCTTACCTACTAGAACTTACATATCGAACGACTCATCGAAGTTCCCTGACCTCGGAGAATTTCGGAAGCCCTATGTACTGCAAGTGCCCAGAACTCCAGGAGCCGCAACCGTGAAAACCGCTAATTCTCTTCTGCTTCCCCTTTTAGATCTCACCCCAGATTTTGCGATTACGCTGGAAGAGGGTGAACCGACGAAGAGTCGTGCTGTACATATTTGCCGTGCCGATTTCAAATGCGATCATATCTCTCGGATAATGGTAAGAATAACTTGCTCCATAGTCATTGTTGCATGATATGCGAGTACTCCGTTCTCATCAATCTAACGGGAGGCCGCGCGTATTATAGGCTTCGCGATCTTCAGTCATCACTACACTGCTACCAATGTTCCCAATGAAAGTAGGTTTATAAATCTTATGCACTTTTGGTTAAATTGATTGCGTGTTCAGGAAAATACTCAAAAAATAAGATAGTTCAATAATAGGGCCCACAACAAACGAACATCAATTCTGCAGGGTCACAGTAAGGTTACAGGACACAGATCTTGATTCTTGAATATGTTTAAAAAGTTAACACGTTTGTCTAGGGCCCCTGATGCGGTATTCAAAAAAATTATTTAATAAGTTCGTATCGGCGGGGCATTCCGAAAAAAAGACCATGCACAGTGGTCATTTTCAGAGTTTATCTGACAAAGCCTGTACCTTTCCTATAGGACATCGTAACAACGTTCGGGAGTCGAACAGCTTCGGCGTATTCGAACATTCGCGGAGGATATCGTTTCGGGGATATTGCGATCACGAGTTTCATGTCATGCATGACATTTGGTCGCTACAGACGGACGTAGTTTCATTGGATGGATATAACACAGTACTTATCAGTCATAACCACAGGTCCCAAATCTCAGGCTAGTCATTGAGACTCTACGGTTTTCCCCGAGGTGAGCCAAACCTACGATACTGCGCGTGTTCCTGTCATACTAATAACAGCATCCTGTATCGCCCGCGTAGTGTACAGCTACACTGGCAACAACATCAGGGAAACATAATTTGCTACAGAGTGCTACCGGGCTCTGTAGCGCAATCCACCCCGCTGATAAAATCTTAACTGCTACAAAGGCGATCCGAACACAAAGAAGACTCCAAGGTTATACAGTTTCGCGGATTCGCCACCATCGCATGTGGCCCTGCAGTACGTAGATAGAGCAGCGTCGCCAAAAATCACAGATCCATTAGCCGCAAGTCAGTAAGCGTTCATCGATCGGTTATACTCATCCCACGTAAACGAGCCCTCACGCAGCGAGGAAACTAACATTTTACCACCTTTTGCCGCCAGTGAAATTACATCCGAAAGGTACTCTAGAGTGCTCTGGAACGCTCTATGCTAGGGCTCGAATGGTCCAGATCTGCTTTTGATTGAAACCTTGCAAGAGATAAAATGTTGAAACTTGAAACCCCCCATGTGTCATAATTTCCGCTTATCAGAAAGAAGCTTGATGGGCTCACGGTGAGCTTACGGCGTTGGTGATGATGGAGCAACGCGATTGGTGGAACAGACTTATCCGTACTAAAATGTAAACTAAGACAAGCCTATTTACGAACACTGACCTGAGTTACACTCAATGTGGCTTGTTCAGAACAGGCTTTCAATGAATCAATGACTTGACTCTTTTTGCACAGCGACTTAGTTGCACACCCCATCTTTTGTGTTTCGTACGTCGCATCACTCGTAAGGACCCACTCAACTTCATTTATGTTCAGCAGTATGTTTCGCTTGACGCCAGAATGGTGCTGTCATTGCTGTGGCACACCAGCAGGCCCTCACCTGTAATTTTCAGCACAGAAGGTTCGAGGTCGTACTTCATGTTGAAAATTTATGCCCAAACCACGATAAAACTTCTATGTCCCCAGTGGTTGTACGCTCCTACTTTTGAAGAATTTGTTTAGGTGATATATTAAAGATGTGCCGTCCTCACTTCTTTTTGGGAGGATCAGCACGTTCTTTACTCCGTCCTACCTGTGTTCGTTTGAAAGATGTCGACATACGTCGCCAAGTTATCACGTTAATCGACGCAATTTCACACAAGAGTTAGGGAAGCATGGGTTAGCACACACACAATCTATTAGGACAGCAAGTAGACATGGCGGCCTCACCGACATATCAAGCGTCTACACCACTCCATGGAAGTTTCCACAACCCCTACTGCCCAATTCCACATAACGTCGAGAATCGCCTCCAGTTCACCTGCATTCCAATGCAAATCCCCGACGGGCTGCTCTGCCGCGTTGAACCGTAAGACATCTTTAACTGTTACCAGACCTTTCAACAATCCGTGTTCCTCGACAAGTATCACCCGGGGACTGTCAATAAGAGGTCAAAGCAGGGCATTATTTGTATAGGTCAAGTGGGACGTACCCCATTCTCTTGAATAATTGCGTTACTATCTCCAGTGGTAGGCGCGGAGATACGGTAAGAGGTGTCTTTAGGAGAAGTCAAAAAATGTCAAAGAGCTCGCGCGAAGTACAGTACCTGGTTCACCCATGGCCAGAGTTTAAGCACATCGATAGTTGCGCTCGTCTCTATAAGCTCCGTTGCCACGTCTTCCTCTACACCAAGGGCCGATCCAGAAGTCATGTCTGATAAAACAAAGTCCTCTTGGTCAGAGGCTTCTCTATTAAACGCACAGGGCGTGCTTGGGGATATGTCCCCCACGTTTTGAGCCTTGTCTAGGCTATGTTATGTCACACAAGAGTCAAATGTAGTGGACACATACCTAGCACATAGCGCAATTCAGTTCTGCCCATGTACCCAACAAGCGTTTGAGATGATTCAGAAGCAACTATCGGAAAGCCTTTCACATTGGTGGATGCCAACAATCGCTCTAAAAAGCATTAATCAATAGGGTTTTCTGGTCAAAGGTGATCTGTCCAAGCGTACCAATGTCCGAGACAAGCATCCCAGATGCAAACAGAATATCAAGATCTTTCTTCATGACCTCCGAAACTTCGTGAACATGAGGATGGCATGGATGTGAGTAGCAATCGGAACACTAACCTGAGACATTGACGCCATGATCCTCGTTCTCAAGGATCGGATAGCCATTGAATCGAATCGCCTCATCTGCAATGCCACGGGTCCCAAGGAAGTCGCCAACAGCCTTCGTTACCAGTATGACAATCTGGAGAGAATCAGCATCAAGGACTTTAATTTCGAGGGTTCAAGATTCTTAATCGTAAGACTGGACTATCAGGCTTACCATAGTCGGTAAGATATACGTCAATGCTCCAGTGAGCTCGAACATGATAACGACAACAGTCACGGTGATCCTCATGACTCCACTAAGGGCTGCCGCAGCGCCAAGAAAGGCGTAAGTTCCCGGTGTGATACACGGTACATTCGGGTCGCAAACGGAAAAGATCCCTGAGTTAGGATAAGCACTACAGAGAGTGATCATAATTTTGTGATGAGAGCCAGTGATGTACACCTACCGATACATTGCTTTTACCATGATGCCAACCATCCGCCCAAAAGTTGCCCCAACAGCCATTGAAGGTACAAAGATACCGGCGGGGACCTTCGCCCCGTAAGAAATCACAACGAATACCATGCGTATGAATGTAGCGAGAATGAGAGAGTTTGCCATGGGCCACTGAACAGCCATTCTTGTAGGAAAAGATGAGAAAAATGTAGGCTGAATGACGTATCAGTGCACTACTTACTGGCATAGATTGTCATGATCTCCGCCACCTTCGCACTCGCGAAATAGAATTGCCATCATCTCTGTCATGTCAATGCGCATGAAACGATTGAAGTAACCAATAGCCGCAGTGAGGGTCGCAAGAATAACAGCCTCTGCAACGCCATGGTCTGCAAGATTTTTTCGGCGAAATGCAGCTACCTGCATGTTAAATTTGACTACAAACGCGCCGTAGAGTCCCTAGAATGACGGGCGACACTGTCAACAAAGGGAATGAGAGGAATATAAGATTCTTACGCCAAATATTCCAAGTATAATGAAGAAGATAATCTCGAAAAAATGCCAATCACGGTTATATGTCACTTGAAACAGCACAAGTTTTCCGGTTCTGAACGGATTCATCACCTGAAATGAGACAGTCAAGATGGGAGGATGAGGGGAGGGAATTCACTGACCGATAACGTAAACGTCGCTACCAACGCACATACGAAACTTCTCCACATCGTTTTGATGCGAAACATCTGGCTCATCTCCTGTTGGAAATGCCAGTTTTGGAATCAAAAAATGCCATAAATATGAGGATTGGTACCTCAATAGAAAACAGAACACCGCCAATTGGTGACCCAAAAGCAACTGCCACTCCTGCAGCACTAGCGGCAGTAATAATTTCACGCATTTTCCCTTGATTATGTGGAATGAAGATATATATATATATGAAGAAGTGTTAACCCAAACCTTGGCTTCGAGAAAACCGCTGGAACCAACTTGCGACAATAGCTCCAATGCAGCACGCAACATGCACCGAAGGGCCTTCCTTACCAACGGACAACCCAGAAGCAATCACCAAAGGCTATTTCTGGTCTGTAACATGGTTTACAGGATTAGAAAGATAACTCACAAGCGTAAGGCTCTTGATGAAGAATGTTGCATACCCGAGGAACCCTTGCATGATGAAGCCAGTGAGAATGCATTTGATTTCTGAAATGCCAGATCCAGCAGCATATTTCGCCATGCTACGAACAAGATGAGCCGCCACAAAGGAGAATACAGCCTGCAGATAGACATTGACTTTGTCAAGTTCAAAGATATGAAGTTAGAGAGGACTTACTGCGAAAATAACATAGATTAACCACCGTGCCAGATTCGCCGTACTCCACAAATGCCATGAAGGACAGAACTCCTCGTCACTTTCAACTTCCCAGCAGCAAAATTGGGAGTTTAACCACCACCCGTCCGTACAGTATCCCATTTTTATGTCCGAGAGCCATTCCGTGATAATTGAAATTAAAGCAGCATTCATGCCGATGAAGATGCCTAGCACGTTGTCAGTCAAGAAATTATGACGATGTGCAATCCTTACCAACTAAACTTATCACAAGCCAGGGTTCTCCAGCTCTCAGAAACCTCCAGAACTGAGCCCACACCCATGTAGGCGTGATCTCGCCGCGAGGACCGCGGTATGCCGCTTTTGCTGCCTTTAAATTGCGTAGGCGTCTGTTTCGCTCTACTATCGAGTCTTGAATCCAATCTGGCGGTGTGACACGTGTAGTTAGTTAATAGACGTGGCAAGTTGCAAACGTATGTACCAATGGTCGTAAAATCCTCATAGCGTCTCTCCAGTTCTCAGCACAGGCGATGTACGTGGTTTATTTCAATCACTCACCGAATCTGCTCTATCTCCTCCTCATAATCTCTGTTATCGAGCTGCCTTCCATACTGTGCGCCAGTTCGCGTCATGGCAGGGCTGTAGAGAACACTTCGGTGTAAGTATGAAAGTGACGATTATGTCAGCACTCTAGATTCAGTCGGACGGCCGAACGGCATCTACGGTAAGGTTTGCCACCTTCACCCAGCTAGAATCCAGATGGGTCCCAATACTCGAGATATTATGGGGAATAGTATAGCCTATACTAGATACGAGATTGAAAGGGATGTTCCCTCGAATGTCATATTCACAAACATATGTAATATTTGATATCCAATACCATTGTACGGATTTCATATATTTCGGTGGATATGATACCTGCCAGGCAGATTCCGTCCTGCCTCCGTGTAAGTATGCCCTGCAGGGCTGATGGGCGAGTCAAAATTGATGCCTGGGCAGAGCGCATGATCAAGGGGTTGTGACTCCGTTCGTCGCCGAACACGGCCCAGAGCTGGCAGATACAGATGACGATGTCATATTAAGTGCAGTCAAATTCAAAAGTTGCTACATTCGATGGCACCGGGGTACGTTATTGATATGGCCGCGGTGGAACTGAGAGTTTGCACTGATTTTTGAGTGCATGAGTAAATTGTGCCTTGGTTTCTTGAGTCACCCCTGGGCTAGTGTTGACTGCAAATAGAAGACTACTTGAAGCAGCTAGGACGAGTACGGTTCTTTTATGGAGGGACTAGTCAGTGCACAAATCAATTATAATAATGCAATTGACCGTACAAAGTGTTGTTTCGTCAGTCATGGACTAATCGAGTTAGCAGCTTACTAATGGAAGCATGACTAAGATTGGTTCAACCGGTAGTGAGCTTGAAGTTGCAGACCTTCACCGAGAACCATGTCCGCCACAAACGACGTTAAGGTCCCATTCTTCAAGAAGGGAAAATCTCGACCAGCAACATCCAGAAAAAGATCAGCCTCTCCGCCTCACCATGGATTAGCACCGATTCCGTCTTCATCCAAGTCTGCGGTGGTTCTTCCTTCCCGTAAAGCAACTGGCAATCTTTTAAGCGCTGGCACAAAACGTACGGCTGCACAACGACGGGAGGATGAAATGAACAATCCAGACTTTGTGGAACGTGATGGTCCTGCTGTGAAGTGGACCGCAGCTGGGTCGCACACCAACGCAGCACTTGAGATACTAGCTGGTGACGAAGCCGCAGAGCTACTTGCAAAACGTCAGAAGAAAGAGAAAGCGGACAGAGGCGAAGAGGAAGAGGAAATACCTGATGATGGGCTGTATAGGGGACAAAATGCTTATCGAAGTCATCTGAAGAAAAGTCAGGAAGTACCCAAAGCCATGCGTGTTGGTCCTCAGCGAGGCACGAGCACCATCCGTACTGTAACCATTATCGATTATCAGCCCGATGTTTGTAAAGACTACAAAGGTTCGTAAGTTTCTTTCCCGACGGATACGGATGCTAAAACATTTATCCTGATCAGAAACGGGGTACTGCGGTTTCGGTGACACTTGCAAATTCTTGCACGACCGTGGCACATGTATGTTTGCATAGCCTTTACTCTTAAAGAAACTCAATATAATTACTTTGGACAGATCTCGCTGGTTGGCAATTGGATAAACTCGCTGAAACCCCGCGGAAACTAGTCGAAAATGTGTCAGACTCCGATTCTGATGATGAGGACATACCTTTTGCTTGTCTCATCTGCCGCAAACCTTATACAGATCCAGTGGTCACGCGGTGCGGACATTATTATTGTTCGGCTTGTGCAATCAAACGCTATGCCAAAACTCCCAAGTGCTTAGCATGCGGCGCCCCTACGGGTGGAATATTCAACCGTGCCGACAAAATCATAGACAAATTGAACAAGAAACGCGCAGACAAAGAAGATGGTCATGTCGAAGATGATAATCCCGGGGTCGAAATCGAGGGTCTGGTAGATAACGGAAGCAGAGACAGTGACTCAGGTGATGACGATAATGATTGAGATCTATGTCGATGCATTGATTATTCATACGTGCATCAGCTCGTGCCGCGTTCTTTGTGAGCTTACCACTAAAAGTGTCATTCATATTTTCTCTTCCGCCAACACGGGCCCGCTATCACTTGTGGTTTCCTACTACGTGAATCTTCTGCTGAGCTATCTCGTTTGGTTTCCGATTGCAAAGCGTTCGAACACAGCCATATCGCGTCGTAAGTACCAAGCGAGCGGCTGGCGGTGCTGTTCTCGCCGACGTACTGCCAGTGTTTGAACAGGCACCGCGTTTGATGACACTAAACTTGTTCCTTTCAGGTCCCAAAAGTGGATCCGCACTATCGCAAGACAGTTTCTTGAAAAAACAAACATGTCATTCTTGCCCAGTTCTTGAAACAAACTTGTGTATGTGGGTAGTCCCACCCGAGGTCCTCGGGATGGTTTTCTACTCACTGAATCCTTATTTTGATTCGGTTGCAGATGTGCCATGCAGCAGTGCGGTCACAGCCCTTCAGAATATCGCCCTATCATATCATCCGATAGGCACAGCAATTGCAAAGAACTCTCTCGGCGCCTATGCAAAAACGGTAGCCTCTCTCCAAAAACTAGGTGACATGACCAAGACTCACCGGGCCCCCGCACCCAAGGCAGTCAATAACGGGAAAAGTACCTTTCATCAATAAATTGGAATGGCTCCACTGATCACTGATACACCGGATGAAAACTAGCGTGATCGATTGATCCATGAGTGATCAGCAGACTGTCCGAGTTTGTCTGAGTTCATAATGACCAGCCATTTCTTATATATATATATGTATAAGTACCTAGTCGGACCTATGACCCAAAATGTGACGTGCAGACTTTAGAATTCTAGGCCTTGGATCTGCATCTGATATCGGTCACCCAACGTCGCCGTGGGCGCGATAGTCAGAAATATCATGCTCTCGCTAAGTAGCAGGGGATTCGCGATTTGAGAGTATTTGTGTAATAGATTACAATATGCATCGCGTCGTATTTAGCAACTGCGTACCAGTTAACGCAGGACTACTGGAGGATCCTTCCGAGTCTAGTGCAGTAGTTAAGAATACACATAAGTACAAGCACGCTCCAAGTATTGGACTGCGGAAAATTATATGACATGATGGTTAACGTAGTGGAGGTAATGCTCAAATGAAGAATTAGGACCATACCCGGATGGTAAAAGTTGGGTTGAGAGATAATCAAAAAGTCATTCCCAAATCTATTTGTGCGACATCTCGTCGCATCCATTATCGATGTGGCGTTTAAGTGAGTCCGCGCGACTGAAATCCTTCCCACAGTAACGACATCGATGTAGGACGGGAGTTGTAGCGTGCACGGTCTCATAATGTCTCCTTCTATCGTGCGAACGAGTAAATGACCTGTCACAGAGCTCACAGGGAAAGCGATCTCCGATAAGTGCTGGGTTTGTAGAGGGGGATGTATGCACAGGACGTGGCGCGGTAGGGGGTGAACTGCCCTGGGTGGTGTGTTGGGGATTGGGGGACATATGATAGTATGGTTCAACGGTGGAGCGGGAACGCGGGTTCGATGGCACGGCATTAGAATATACTTGATACGTCTGTGATGGTGTTGGGATGAATTGTTGTTGTCCTGAATGAGTATGGAGAGTCTGAGGATCGACATGCGAATGGGAGTGCATCGTATACTGTGGACCTGGCCCAGACGGGTGATGATGTGAGGGGTAGTAAGTATTAGACTGATTCGCCGGAGCAGGAGGAGGAACTGGAGGAGGAGCATAATATGACCTGCGCGTATCCATGACAGGTGATGTCCCGTGCTGCGGGTGGTTGGAAAAAGGAGGGTGTTGTAATGAATTACTAGTGTGGGTTCCTGGTTGAAAGATGGTTAGCTACCAATATGAAGTGCCGTTTGGAGAGATTGATACCTAATATGCCATTGGACAAAGTACTGTCGAGCGGGTAGCCCGGTAATACCTGTGCTTGTTGGGGATATGAGGAGGTATTAGTGTTCGAGTTGGAAGAAGATTGTCGGGGATGGTGGGAAGAAACATGTGGTTGTTGTGTCTGATGGTGACCGTTGTGTGAGTAGGGATTTGGGTACTGCATCATGCAAGAAGGTTTTGGTGAATAGTAAGGGCTTCCCAGCTCTTTTACTTGTCGAGCCCTTATATACATTTTTGCAGTGAAAGGACTCGGGTGTCGCCTGTCATATCAGGGTGACAACGTACCTTAATGAATGAGTAGATCGGTTACTAAATCATTACTTATGAGAGCGTAATTCCGGTATGAAAGAGTTAAGTTAGGCTGCATATGACTCCGGCACCAAGAGATATTCGGTGGAAGGGCCAGATCAATTCTTGCAAGCATGATATGACAAGATCATGTGGGTGAGGAATGCACCAATCACGATTGACGTTACGGTCTTGGAAGTTCATTATCCGGGAGACTAAATTCCGTCAGGCAAGAAGGTTCAACGATGGTACCACCTCGGGAGCGGGTGGAGCAACAGAAGGAACAATGGAAAAAAAATTAGAACAGACAAAATTGGACAGATACGGGGTCTTACCGAGGAAAGCTGTGTGCTGAGCTCAGAACGAGAACTCCTCCATTTGTAGGAACGGCAGGTTTGCAGAAGATCGCTGTGGGTAGATCACGAGGCTAGAGAGTTTGGGGAGGGTGCGTTCCTGGGCAGTTGATTTTTAGATCGAGTCGGATCTGTAGTTTTCTCGTAAGGCATATATATTAGTGGCAGCCCTTGTGCAGCAACTTGTCGTGGACATGCTGCTTTCATCTGACGCTAAGCGGAAAGATCCATTACATGACCCTTAAGAAGTGCGTTGAATGTCGCCCTCCAAGGAGACAGAAAGAATGAGAAAATGACTTGTATGTGGCCAGTTGAATGAAAGGAAGCGATTTAGTTGTTACCATACCTTTTGTTGTTAGTACTCAGCGGACCCTGTGGAGAACGTTAGTCGGGAAATCCCAGCAGCCTCGTGTCCAATCAGAGAGCGTGACGATCTTGGATTGGTTAGTAGCTGTGCTAGGGCTCATCCCGAACAATGTCGCCCGAAGATGATCGAGATTAACACACTCACGAGACTATATTGCACGTTGACAAAACGCCGGGGACAAGAGCTTGCGGATTTCCACAACGTCGACGCTTACGATCACTAGCAGGAAGATGGATGTCCAAAGAGGAGAGATGAAACTCACGTCAGGTCACTTCTTAAAGGCGATGGAACTCCCCCATTGTGCATTGATCTCGAGTGCGACATTCTCATGTTGATCTCGACTACGATGATACGACATTCTCAGGTTGATACCGTCTTTCTATTCCACGTGTTATTGTCCTCGGGAAGGCGTCTTCCTTTTCGGCACCGACGGTAGCCTAAAATATTGCGAGGCAACTTTTCTATAGGGCGATTCATCAACTGCATTGATCTACTCGGAGCCAGAAGCTTGTCCGTCATATTGCAGCGTGTATCTATCCCCTCGGATAGAACAGACTTCGGTGAATCATCACTCGGGACGCTACACAACTCAGCTGCTCCAGAAGTCGACAAAAATAAAATAAAAAAAGTGAGTTTAGTTTGACAATGGAGCTACTATGTAGTATATGACTCCCCGCAGCGTGCCTCCCCGGCAAGCGCCAGGTAACAGTAAATATTCATTAGACACGCGAAATCCTCGAGGATGTGATCAGGAGACAAGTTTTGAACCTGGTGGGACAGTTTCAAGGGAATATGCCGTTTAGTCGAAAACTTTTCCACCAATCAGAGCGCTCGTTTCAGGATCGCCCATGGCCAAGCTTGAAACGCCAACGTAAAAATGGGTTGGTGGCTGGTGCAAATTCACAGCCAGGCACGATGAGAGAAAATGTCCGTCCTTCCAGGCCTGACTACTCGCAAACTTAACCTTACACTCTTGACCGAGTGTATGGCTCTCTAGAGCGCCAAGGAGCACGATCAAATTGATAGTTGAAACTTTGTTTGAACTGCCTGCGCATGTGCCAGTATGTGCGTGCTGGATAATCATTCAATGGTCTTTTACCAAGTATGGCGACATTCGAGTGGGAGAATTGAGAGTACCCAAACATTGACAAAGACATGGATCTGTGACTTGTGACTAACCTTCCTGAAATCACTTGGAGCACGAGACCGCAGAATTATGGCCCCCTTCGATCTCGACGCGTGTATACAGCAACTGCTCCGCAAACAACTACTACATGAGGCCCTTTTACGTGAAATATGTGCAAAAACGAAAGAGGTTCTCATGAGGGAATCCAATGTGGTCCATGTTAGTGCCCCAGTAACCGTCGTTGGAGACATACACGGGTGAGTACCTCGTAGCTTCAATCTCTCTATGACATTTCATCATGAAACTCAAGTCAGTTCTACGACCTCATCGAAATATTCCGCATAGGTGGTTACGCTCCTCACACCAATTATCTTTTCCTCGGCGAGTTCCTTTCTTCATCTCACCACAAAATTTCCTTTTCTCATAGTGCCACAGGGGATTACGTCGATCGTGGCCTGTTCAGTGTGGAGACCATATCACTCCTTACGTGTCTTAAACTGCGGTACCCCGACAGAGTCCAGTTAATTCGCGGTAACCATGAATCAAGGGCTGTAACACAAGTCAGCCATCAATTCATGATGTTTATGGAGCTCCCTTATCGCTCAATGTTTAACTTAGACTTATGGGTTTTATACGGAGTGTGTGCGAAAATACGGCTCATCACATGTATGGACGTACTTCACGGACATGTTCGACTTCTTGACCCTGTCTGTGGTAATCGATGATCGGATATTCTGTGTTCATGGAGGTCACCAGCAATTTGTTCTTTCACAATCCCACGATCTCATGAATTCCTTGTCTCAGGTCTTTCGCCGTCTATCCACTCCGTAGATCAAATCAAAGTTGTAGATCGATTTAGAGGTACGTTACCTTCGCTCGCCATCGCTGCACACCCTCATTTCGTTCAGAAATTCCACACGAGGGTCCTATGGCTGATTTGGTGTGGTCGGATCCGGATGCAGAGAAAGAAGACTTTGCAATATCCCCAAGGTCCGTGCCTACTCCAGCGTGTCACCAGCGTTACTGACTAATGAGGCTTATCCTTGCTCCGCTTGTATTGCCTTTAACATCTCAATCTGGAACGGATCATGTAGAGGCGCTGGCTACACGTTTGGATCAGGCGTTGTACACAAGTTCTTGGAAACGAACAACATGTCGCATATTTTGCGCGCACATCAACTCTGCATGGAAGGATATTCGTCGTTATTTGACAAACACCTTTCAACAGTCTGGTCGGCACCTAACTATTGTTATCGTTGCGGCAATTCCGCGAGCATACTTGAGGTGGGTCCCGGAGAGAGCATGTATTTCAATGTGTTCGAAGCTGCCCCGGAGAACGAACGCGATGGTCCGAGTCAACAGGCTCCGCAGAATGTTGGTGGGAAGGTACGTTGCTATTCTTGTGGCCCATGTATCTTTGAATAGACCAATCTACTCACACATGTGTTTACTCCACCTAGCTGCCCGAGTATTTCCTCTAGTATATCAACAAGCTACGTCAGAGCTCCAAGTTGAACATTCTTGATAGAAACTGAGAACTGCCGGCGGCGGTTTTGGCGCCCAAGCTGTAGCAAATAGTGTAAACCTGTATTGTGCGGACGGCAGTAGTACTAGTACGACAATTCTTTACTATACCCCACATGATGTTCCAGCATTACGCTATTAATCTTGCGGATGGCCTTTCCTGAGTGCCAGGATGTAGGCCCATTACGAAAGTAACAAGGACTGAGCCTGGCTAGCACCATGTTGCCCGGAGAAGCAAGGGGTCACTCCGCCGGTTGAGAATGATTAATCAATAACATTGATCGCAGGCAAGGCAAGTTATGTAAATACCTCGGCACTTCTTGATTGCGTGGCATGGCATCAGTACCGCCGAAATGATATACCGGGTCCATCATACAGTCCAAGTCATGGCAGGGTGCTACCAGAAGGTAGAGCTACCCCCAGTATCCATCGTGCTACTCTCCTGACTCGCTTACGTTTGAGACCGACTACGATAAGAAAACAGAGCATTATGATGATACGTGTACCCCATCTTCTCCACCAGAGAACTGAGAGGGTCAACAGCAGATCACGTTTCCGCCGGCGACCTTGATGCACCATGTGCGGTCGTGAAATGGAAGCTACCGCAGGGTAGCCGAAGAAAGGGTTGAGGGAGGATCGAGGCGGTATGGATACGGACGAAGGCTGCCGGTGTAGGGTTCCAGGAAGCCCGGTGCTGGGCGCCGGCATGCACCATTCACGTGAAATGACAGAAGCGCAACTTTTCTGTTCATCCGAATTTAGCGGATCTTCGATGAGGTGGAGTGGCGAGAGTGCACCGCCATAATCTGATAAATGCACTGCTGCTGAGTGTGTAAGGCAACAAGATAGGGTGACTGACTGGATGGTAGCGCTGACGCAGAACAGTATTGAAGAAGCTCCTCCCTGGATGGGAAGAAGACTTTGGCAACCGCGGATTTAGGAAGTAGGCACCTAAGTTATGGTCAAGCAGACCACAAACGTGTCCGGAATAAATGCACTTTACGATAGACCAGGTCGCTGCATATGTCCAAGAGTAATTGAGGCAGAATACTGTCACGAAGTAAAACTGAGTTTGATCGTCGCAAATGATTAGAGATGCATGTTACCTGCACCAAGCATTCCAGGATACCGGGGAACTACTTCTTTCATGAGCCATGTTAAAATTTTAAGGTTCTGTCATAGAACTGAACAAAAGTCTAGGTCTAAAGGGGTACTGACTTACAACAGATTGGATTGATAGACCTTCAAGGTCGACGACGAAAACACATTGAAGGGTTGTTTTACGGTTTGTAGACTCGTTATTAAGTGAGCGGAGATGAATACACAGGCGTTCGAGGGAGATCAGCAACCCATTCATCGTTGATTGTTCGCAAGTCAGCAAATCTGACAACTGGAGAAACACGAGGGGACGGCCAAGTGGATCACAGATCGGCGGTGGAAGGCAATGAAGCAGCGGAGAAGGGAGAGCGAAGAATCGCAACGCGTTTAGACGCCAAATGAGTGTCGTGTGTATGGCCTTCAATGTGAATGAACGGATGAATCTATGATGCTACATGGCATGCTTTAGCTGCTGCAAGCGGTCAACATTTCACTCACCCGTAAGAAACGGAAAATGGTTGCTGCAGTTTGATCACGGTCAACTAAGTTACGGTTCTACAAATTTGGTGCTGCGACAATTACCTGTATCCGAGATCCATTCCTTGGCCCATGCGTGGTCCGCATCACTGAGCGCCAATTCTTGGACCACATGGGACAAGATCTCATCATTCAAGATTGATTGGAGAGCACATACATCTGAAAGGTTTGCTTTGTACTGAGCAACAAGCCTTTTGTGATTGCCCTCCAGTACGGAGCGTGCGATACGGTTGTTCATGGGCGCAGGAGCCTAACCAACTTGAAGGTAAAGTTTAGTCAAACTGGTGGTAATGATATTAGTACTTATACGTAGTCATTACGTATGCATTATTATATGCAATGCAATTAGGTTTCAAAGGCTTACTTGGGTTCAAATCCTTTAGCCTGCTTAATTCCCCGATAGTGATGCATGAGCAGGTACGATAGGAACTACCGGGATGTCGAAAGTCTTAGCCTGCGTGACAGACTGGGATGTTTACAGCATGCTGGATCTAAATGAGAGTCTGGTTTGAGTCTAGTCTGCGATTACTGTGTTTCATCTCGAAACTGAGTGCTCCCGGCGGTCAAATTCTGCAAGTTTCGCTGGTTTTATTCAGTGAAATACTATTTCTGAACCGATAGCTTGGTCCAGGAGGGAGCCAGTCAAAGTCGAAAAATACCCCGAGCTCTTGTAATCACTACGTATGGTCTGCACTAGCCGCCACTTTATATCATATCTTTAAATAAGCATTAATATTGAATTACATAAATTAATACTATAAAATCGGCAATAAATTATGCTCTTTAACGTTGCTACTACCGACAAACCATACGCCTGGCAACGCTGGTAATTTTGAAGTTTGAACATCGCAGAGGTCGATATCAGCAGATAAACTTCGTTGCAGGCGATAGAGGCTCTGCCGATTACTTGGAATGGTTAGTACTGCTCTCTATTACCTGGCTCTCGCCCCTCCGGTCTCAGTTCGAGCTTGTGCGCCGAGGGCCGGGGTACGGTACTAGTAGCTGGCAACCAGTGATGAGGGCGGAAGTACTTACGGACATGTCACACCCGCAGAAACAAGCAGACCTCACCGGTGCATCAGTCACCTGGCACTCCGGGCATTAAATATAACCTGTAGATAAAACGAGCCTCTCAGTCCTTCAATGTTTCCTCCCATTGAATAATGGCGTGTATTCTTTCGCCACTGCCGATCGAGTATAGGAAGGCTAACAGGCGGCCAGGAATTACAAGATTACAATGGGCAACAGGTACAAATGGACAGATTGCAAATGTGTGTGCCCAGTAGTCCGTCGGTTGCTGGGCTGGCTTGCATTTTCAGGTCGGTAAGCTCTACGAAAGACGTCATGTTCTCTCGCCTTGGAAGTTGTGTAACTTGGTGGTGTTGCTGCTGTGTATTGCTACATCGCCCAGGCTGGCAATAAAGTGACCATCCTCGAGGCCACTCTCGCGATCGGCGAGACCGGCGTTGGTATCCAGATCCGCCCAAATATGACTCGCCTTCTGATCCGCTAGAGTCTGGAAAAAGGCCTCGAGGAAGTTGCTGTCAAGCCTGAAGGATTGGATTTTAGTTGATGCGTATCAATTCATCTACATTCATATATACTACTCATTCGTCTCGCCATATAGGATGCGCCGGTGAGACTGTCGCATGGACAAGATGGAGAAATAATATAGAAGAGGAGTGCAGGGCCCCCTTACTGTCACATTCACGTGAAGTCTGAGCGTTACCCCCTTTGTGGTGAAGCTGACAGAGTTTAGTACTAGAATAGCGTGCTGATTTTCACCGCATGTTGTATCGATCGGTGAGCCTCAATGCACTCTCGAGTCTGGCAAAATTGTGCACGCTGATTTATGGGTCACGGTGCTTACGGAATTCAAAGTATTTTGCGGCAGTATGTCATGGGTGGTCCATACTGAGATCCAGCCTGACCCACAGCATATGGCACGTACAGAGTCAAAATACCGACAGAGAACCTTCTGCAAGACTCGGATCTACGGCTCTTGATTGAGAAATCTAAGATGGTCGATTGGAGGGACGGATGGGTCTGCGCTGCGTGTAATGAATATCGTATGTGTTCAATTCGTCTGCGCAGGTGCTCAAAGAGAGTATAATCTCGTGATGATATATCCCGACGGCGGCGAGGAACCATGGACTGTCAAGAGCGGCGCAGATAAGATGAGGGTTGAGTTGCTTGTTGGGAATCCCGGTAAGTGGCTTTCAGCAACCGTATGCTACATTCTTACTCTCGTGAATCGAAATAGCATTCAAAAGCTCATGCCTATAGGTCTCATCATCTCCGTTTAGTGGCATCTGGCTTATCCGACGGGTAAGCCATATCGTGCTCAAGGATCCGCAATGTCGTAAGTGGTTTCTGTTAAAATATTGTCATGACCACGAGCTACAATCCATCTTTCAGGCCCTACTGTTTTGGGCTCTACGCCTCTCTCAGATTCTTTCCCTGTTTCATGTACCAATCAATCCGCTGTGATCGTGCAACCGCTACTCAAATTTATTCTCGTCTGATAAAAGACATATTTCATCTTCCCGGAGGTCCGCAGCAGGAAAAACGAAACGGGGAAATGCGTGCTGCGATAGAAGATGCTCTGCGCGTGGCACGCAGCTAAAGGAGCAGATTGACTTTGGTAGGTGGTGTAAATAAGTGGAGTAACAAGGAAGAGAATTCAATACAGTTTTCGTCCACTGCAGATGTCAATCTAAAGAATGGTCAGATAAGGCCATCTATTTGCATGCAATATGGCCATGAGCAGCCATCAAACAATATCGTAAGATCCTATCAACGCCGACGCGACGCTAAGACAAGGTAAGCAAAAGTTACAGGGGAGTGGCAAACCCCCACAGTCACTTGATTTCACGATACACGATCCCAATGTAAGTGTGAAATTATCAAATGCTTGGAAATTCGTGAGCGCTACAGTTACCCGTTCTGCCGGAACAAACTCACGTCAGATGCGTGAGTACTTAGGATGACATTACCGAGCATCGGGCGTCAGCGTCGTACCATTGGGCTGCTGAGAGACTAGCAGGGCGATCAATAATCGATAGCATAGTGTATAAAATTATACTATCTGCTAGCGTGACGTCTGCCAGCCGCATTTGCCAACCATCGAAACTGTTGGGATCAACAGCAATGGAAGGGAAGGTGCATATATATAGAGTTTATCCAGATCTTTCACATCTTGACAGCGTGCTGAATGGATCCGTTGAAAGGATGGGGGTTGAACCTTACTAAAAGTATTTCTTTTGGACGTTATCTGAATAATTCCATAAGCCGCTCTGATCACGAGAGCAACGGTAGTGCGCCTCGTGCAGTTCTGTTTACCAACTATAGGTGAGAATTTCGCCCAATAGAATGCAGCATGGCTCCTTTGGCCAACTACACACACCGATGTGATAGGTAAGAGTTACTGTCCGGAAGGTTAGCGAAAAGATCGGTATACCAGTAATGGCTAGTGACAAGTGCTACTCGGTACTCTCCGTTCTTCTGCACTGCATGTCGATAACAACCATGAGGATGAACAAAAGACACGAACGTGTTGGTCCGTGCATAGGACTTCGTAGGATCAATGCCTGGCCTTTTTTGATTTTTCTCCACTCGTAGTCCCACTCGCAACACGCCTCTTGCCTTTAGATCCAACATCACTCAAGGTCGCATCCATGAGGCGCAGGGTTTCAAGTGCGCCTGCCAGAATCTGCTTCTCACCGAGTCGCACTACAATAGCGTGTCTCTTGTTGAGTGTGAGCGATTCGAATGCAAGCAGCTTTGCGTCGACCTAAAACGAGAAATAGTTTGCGTGTCACCGATCCCCGATTGAGACAATGATTAAATACATACTTCAAGATCTGATTGATAACTAGTCAAGCGCATCTCGAATGTTTTTCGTAATAATAGAGAGACTTGAAGATCAAACTTGGCTTTCGGGGGACGCCCTTTTTCTCGTATCTTTTCCCATTCATCTTGGGTGAGGAGTAGAAGTCGTATGAAAGATATCAGCGCTGCAGGGAGAATTGGGTTCGCGTCGATGATGAAAACGCTGGATAGTGTGCTTGAGCACAACAAGAAGAAAAACAACAAGTGAGGGCCATACTCATCGCCTCCTTCGTCGAGCCACCATTCGATCCGTTGTCGACATGTCTCGCCAATAGATACATCACCACAAACAACGTCGACAACAAGGTCTGCTCGAACTTCTACGATGTCCTGTGGATTTCCAAGCGCACCCTTTAGATGGGCACAAGGTATAAGATCAACATATCCGTAGCGTCGAAGCAGGTCTGAGTTGGGCAGGTCGCCATACGTATTGAACTTGAATGGATGTCAACCAACATAGTCACTTAGCGCGGACCACTTACTATTTGTTCTCCAGCTTTGATGGGTTTCGTGGTGACCATTTGAAGATGGTGCTTCTCGTAGAAAAGTTTAGCCTGTAACGAGTTGTATGAATGTTATGCAAGCACAAAGAAAAGCCGGGACAGAGGGATTTCATGTCGACATGACTTACATTAACAGAATCATATCGAGCATTCAGAATATCAGCCATAGGCACCATTGCAATATCTGATGTATCCTCTATCTCTTCATCATCACTATCTCTGTCGCTGCTAGCTTCAACACCGTGTCCTGAATCATCAACATCCATTGCACTCCCAATACTCGTGTTGGCCCGGGTGTCCTCGTTACTGTCTTCTTCTGTGATATGTTCAGCATCCTGCTCAACTTGGCCTTCCCATCTCTCTACATTGAAGCTTCGAGATAGAATTCGGCTGCCTGTAATATGATACCGGTGAAGTGTGTACCATGTATCGATTTGATCGGAGGGAAAAAGGTCCGGTCGAGTCTAATTCGCCCAATATTCGATTCCGAATCGGCAAAATTAAACAAAAAATAAACCCACCTTGATCGCCGGAGTTAACTTCTCGTGATAGTCACGCTCAGCCTCATCCCGGCCTATCTTGTCTAGATTCCACCGTTGTCAGTCAAGTGCGTGCACTTTTATAAACGAGAATGTAACAAAAAATTGAAAAAAAGTGACAACAGACCTACCACAGCCGTCCCTTGTAGCTCTTGTAATTCTTCGTTACTCCAGAATATTGGGGTATCGAATTGCGTCGGGAGTGACGCTACATATTGAGTTTAGAAAAAAAATTGACAAGTGGTCGTTTGGGAAGACCCACCAAGATATGTAACCCATTTTCCTTGGTGTCCTTGAGCTTCCTCCCACATCATACAAAGAATCAGCCCAACCCAACCCTTATGCAATTTGTGCTTTCTCCATGCGTCGAAACCGAATGCAGAAGGAAGAGTCGAGGTCTGAGTTGATAGTGTTAGTGAGCGAGGAAGCGTGAAAATTGTATGGTTTTCCTGAGAAGCGTGTGAGCCATCAATTTGGATGAGATTTTTTTGAAAGGATACCAACAGGTATATCCTGGAGTGCGACTGCACCACGTCCACTACCAGGAAAATCGGCGATGGCCATCATCGAAGTATCCAAGACCCCACCATTGTGTTGAAACCAGGCAACAAAATCATTCATGTTTCAGAAACTCTGTGAAAGTCGACTTCAAGTGCATATGATGGTGGGTGCTGGTGAGCCCGTAGGCCTGGCCTGTCAGCGCCGGCACATATAATACTTACTATATTTGGTCAGCTACGCGGCATTATATCATTGTCACAGCGTATGACTGCGGACTCGACCGCAACAGACTCTCATCCTATAACTAACCGGCCTCCAAGATCACATGTAAAGACGTCCTTTAAACGATGACCCAGACACCTAATGACCAAGTTATTGATGGCCAGCCTCGAGGTGAGCGACTTTGATCATATGCTTGCTATATTCAAATACTTAGAGACAAACTGATACGCCAGATATAGCAAACCCTGCCTCATTATCACAGCCTTCAGAATCAGAGGACTCATATCGGTTTCCTTCCTCACCACCAGGAATACACGACAACCAGAAATCTCCTCCGTCCGTCTGTGAAGTAGCACCTTCGCCACCCCAATCACCAGAAGCTGGTGAGATGATTACTCTTTCGCCCCAAGCTCCTGCTATCACTCAGGCAGAAGACACCCCGAGCCTTCCGCAGCGTCCTCTTGGTGCCGATGTGGATCCACGTATCGCGAGCCTGCACGCCATGTTCCCAGATTTTGACGACTCTCTACTGTGTGTAGGCAGTGCTTTGTCAAGTCAAATGTGCTGAATGACGTGCAGATCATCTGTACTTCAGAGTGTCAACGGTGACCAGGACCTTGCAATCGACACACTGTTGGGGATGAGTGATCCTGATTACGTCTCACAGCCGCCGCCGCCGCCGCCGGAGCAGCGTGAGCCTACTCAGACTGACTTAGACGAGCAACTCGCTCGACGTCTCATGCTCGAGGAAGAACAAGCTGCACAGAATCAGTGGCGCCCTCCGCAGCAGGGGCAAGGACCTCAATCTTATCAGTCGAGGTGGTCTGCTAGTCGCGATCGGGGAAGTGGAATTGAAACTGGAAGGTATGACAGTAGGGCGCAGGCAGTTACTCCACCGCAACGGGACACTATGACAGAGTTCCAGGATGGTTTCAACAAGATAGCAGAGAGTACGTACATCCATACTTGTATCATAGGCAGTCACTGACTACGGAAACCACTAGCTGGCAAGAGGACATTCTCTTCAATTGTATCAAAAGTCAAGGCGAAGATACAGGAATACGATCAGGGCCAAGCATCCAGGTACGCAGCCTTTTACTAAACCCCCCCTCACTTCCATTGAAATTTGTTTCACCAATCTGTTCGTCGTTTACGCGAAACATCTAATGGTTTTCGTTACAGACAAGATACACAGCCTACGTGGGGTCAGACATCTCAACCTCCATGGGGCGGTGTACAACCCACGCAGCATCAGGAATCCTACTACGACCCCAATCCACCGAGCGAAAGTGGAATCCGTGGAAGTGGCTGGCAATCTCCTCCCCGTACCGCTGGAGGCAACTCAAATCCAAGGGCGAACTCCGTTCTTACTCTTACTCCAAGCGCAACATACGTTCCTCCAAATTTTGCCACCAAACCTATAGCGAACTCTACATCCGTTGCAAGCAATAGCCCAACCTATACAGGTTCGTTGACGTATTCCCCGCCGAACACAGGCATGGGCACGTCCCCTCCGCCTGAACCTGCTCGGCAGTCGGGTGACACCTCAAGGCCGCCGTCCACGGGCATTGGTGCCCCGAGCGGAATTGACGCCAGTCAGTCGTATTTCTCCCTTTCGTTGCTTTGTGTCTCTGATTTCATCACATGTTAGCTAAATTTGGACTTTTGCCCAAACGACCTGTATCACTCCTTCGGGAACAGGTCCCACCTACACACAGAGACGATAGCGACGATGAGTTGGAATACACGGAAAATCCGTTTGAGGAGAGGTAATTAGGTGGTTATTCTGGGGTAACAAATAGGAATCATCTGTGACTGCGACCACTGATGGACTATACATTATGGCGTGTACTGTACCAGATAGCAACTGCAACTGGAATGTTTCATGTGAAGAGATGCTCTATGCAATGATCGGTACTTGTGTCGGTTCCAACTGGTTGATGAACGGCTCGTCACAGGATGGACAGGACACTCAAGTCACTATCATTCCACGTAATATGTACACGGTGGCTAATATGCAAAATGTTCATAACAATTCAAAGTCATGTATTCAAAAAATTGAGGCGTATGCGGAGTATCTAAAACTGATAAGCAGAATCAAAGATTCTTGGATGTTGTAGTTGCGAGAGACGCAATAGTGATAACTTGCAACCTTCATGTAACACAAATCCCTAGATCCCGAACTGCAAGAGTCGTCCGAGCGCCATTTATCTTTTTCTCTGTAGATGGTCGGCATCAAAGACGTCAAACAAAGAGTAGGCGATGTCTTCCTCCGCGGTGTCATGGTTTGACATCAATTGGAGTTTCTCTCGGGTATCTCTTGTCTCCGGACGGAAAGTAAAGAGCGCCTGCGCATTTATGCCAGTTGAACGCTCCAACTCCCCCATGATATTGACAAACTGCTTGAGGTTGCATAAGCGGCAGTCAAGATATAGGGTCTAGTCTGCCTGGTAGAAGAGTACAATTTTAGGAGCGAGAAACTCCTGAACGGTCCATCCTTGCGTGAACCAAATGTTGTTTGTGAGCGTGCCAGACTCTGACGCAGGAGGATTAGCTCAATGTGCCTATATGACAAGTGAGCATAATCGACATCCACGTAAGATAAGATACATCTCTCGTATGGCGCATTTTCAGGACTGTCCAAACAAGATATCACGAAAACTATGAGAAATAGAGAACTAGTACGAGCAACACACGAACCCACACTATAATCACCATGCCCCGGTGATAAAATACCAATATCCCACCACTGGCCTTACGCTGTCCCGCATCCCATTCTTAAACAGCTCCGATTTATCATTTGAACAGATCTGTGCACCAACTGTGCCAGCAACAATGACCGTATTGAACAACTGTCCATTATCATCCAGCTTGACGTCGAGATGAGCGTATCCGCACGGTACGCATTCATCATCGATCATTGGATACGGCATCCCGTCAAGCACCAGGAAAGGACGCCACGCTCCGCGAAAAGTGTACACCGCAGCAAACTGGGCTGAACTCAGCACCCGAGGATCCACAGGACGAAGCAGTTTCTTTGGCGAGTCTTCCCGCATGCGCTCAGCGTTTAGCGGGGGACCCTGCCATATGCCTTGCTCGTTAAATACGCAAAATGCGGTGACCCAACCTGAGAGGTAGGTGGGCCCGCTCCCGCCTCCCTCGTAGTGCGCGACTTTGGACCAGAAATCGAGGTTTTCAGGGCTGGACGGTGCCTCGAAGGCGGCTATGAATCGAGAGATGATGGGGCGCAGAAGGTGATACCATGCTATCGTTTCTATGCTGTACAGTTTCAATCGCTCTAGCCGTCCAAGAATTGCCTCCCAGTCATGTCTCTCTCCGAGGAGGGTCACAAGTGGTATCCCACAGCGTAGTACAAACTTGCAACGAAAATATTCTTTCATCGTCCCTAACATCGACATCGCATACACTGTCCGGTCTACATCCGTCGTCGTTGAAAATTCAGGCATAATCCAGTCCCTCAACATCGGATCCACTACGCGCGTGTGCATAAGCTCCAACATCTGGCGCGCCATGAGTGCAGAATCTGCCGTGTGACGATTTCCATCGCCAATGATGACAAGCTCCTCCAAACCATCGTGAACTGCGAAGTGCGCACGGAGTTGCTCTGCATTTGCGTTCACGAAGAAACTGAATTGTATGAGGATCGCAGTCCAAACGTCGTCCGGGCGGAGGATGAGCGCACGATGATTATTGTACGCCTCAAGCACGGTGTGCACGAATCCGTTGGGCTTTGGCATTATATCACGCACCGCATCGAGGTTAGTGGGAAGGGACGTGCGAAGGAGGTGAAGGCAACGCATAAATTGTTCAGGGGAAATCTTTTCGAGGACGGTGAGGTAGGGATTTTGGTGGAGTGGGATCTGAAGACGGTAGTCTTCTGTAAAAGACTCGGCAGGATGCGTGGCTGGGCAGAATGAAGTCACGCCAGAAGGAAGACGTTGTTGAATCTAAGAATAGGTCTGGCGCTTGGTATGATTCAGCATTAGGAATGAGATGAACATACCGTGGAGAGTGGGGACAGAAACTCGAATGAAGCTGCTGAACTAGCCGTGGAAGATATCGGGGAGAATTCATGTAGAGACATGGGGGATGTAGGGGATGCAGTTGGGATAACCCTGTGAGGCCGTTTCTGAAGCTTTGAGGTGGCATGCGACTTGACTGAGCCTGAAACACTCTCTGTAGGGGCGGTAGTTGTGAAGATGGCAGAAACAGCTTCCTCCTTGAACTTGCTGCCTTTGGAGAGAGGCAAGGCAATGCTGATCGGAGAAAGTGGTGGTGACTTATGAGGGGGTGTTGGAGGTTGGTCGGTATCCCTCGATCTCGAGAAGACACGCCCAAATGATAATTTTCGAACCATAAGGTTAAGCCTGGAAAAGGACTGTATATGCAAACAAAGTCGAGTTGAGAATGAGTGGATGTCGAGGAAGGGTATTGATATCAATCGCGACAGGCACTGCACATCTCGTGCCTATTTCTGAGTATATAAATGGACTTGGACCACGAGGCAGAAATCAAAAATGAAGTTCAGCTGACCTTGGAAGATTAGGTCAACAAGGCAGCTGACGGCGTACTATCCCTTCCATATGGGAAGAATCATCGTAACAGGCCTTCAAATTGATGAGCGTACAAGTATTTTTCTGTGTTGACAGGTGTTAATGGCCCGAATTCTGGCTTTGCCAGCGCAAGTATCAGATCCAGCTAGTTCCGCTATATATGAGTTGAAGGGAACTGAAGGAACTATACCGGCGATAACTATATATCGTAGTAGGTTAAGAGGAGCGGCTCGCATGCGTACTAGTGGGCCATCCGAGTTCTGAATATTTGAATTGTGGCTAAGATTGAAGTTGAAGACTCAGCTGGGGGTGACTCTCAGGCTGGAGCGAAAACTTCATGACAAATCAAAAGGGCTGCCAGGAACTGCCACCTTACCACATACCAGCTGACGGCGAACACCCATACCATGTACTTGCTCGTCTACTACTAGACAACCTTGCACCCATGGCAGGCATTGCATGCTCCTGCACAATAATACCCGCTTGTGAAATACCAACGCCAACTTAATAGTGCAGGAAGATGTAAACTTTTCTGCAATACGGTTTGTCTAGTAGTTGGTGATCCAAACTGCGTTTACTCGTTAATACCGTCATCGATACTGCTGGAGTCGCAGTCATTTGCAAACAGAGATTCCATAGGTGAGCTACTACATACACAAGTCACATGGGAGGTTGATAGATGATCGTAGGTTTCGTAGATGGATGGCTCAATGCTTGAGACCCTAACCCTAACTTAGGGTTTAAATTGCGGCAGGTGGCTGACTACTTTCCTTTTTTGGGCGACTTATGGTTGGAAGGCCATGGCTGTATCGTTGCACTGTGACCAGCACCGGCTCCCTCAGGGGACCGTCGATGTGCTGCACTCACTCGTGTCATAGAGCAATACACGTTGTGCACATGGACGTCCAGCATGTGCGGCTCCCTGAGGGGACCGTTTCTATATTGCTATGACAGACGTCCCTTGTGTGTAGTTTACATTCTCAGTCAGTCCTTGCGGCTCCCTCAGGGGACCGCGTCTGTGTCAGCATGTCAGACCAGCATGCAGAAATATACTACGTTTGCTCGTTGTATCTACCATTCCCTGTATTACGACCGTCTCCCTCAGGGGACTGCACAGATCATAGGATGTTGACGATTATCCAGCGTGCTCACGTGACCGTGAGAGATACTCACGTGCTTTTTGAACCACTATCCTGGTGAGATTGAACGGCTCCCTGAGGGGACTGCGTGTATTTCTGTGATCCTGGACGGAGGTCACGGTGTAGTTAAGCACTGTCGTAGACTAATAGATACTACTGAGGGATATGTAATGTAAGTGTACGCCAAGGAGAAGCCGTTATAGCTGTGAGACTATCTATTTGGTGCGACGGGGGCAGCCCCGTAAGCGTCACCCCGTCACCCCATCCGAAACAGGAAGTCCATCACGTAAGTGGCTGTCCGTCACCCCTCATTTTTCTTTCCCATCCGCCATTATTTTTCCTTTGCACTGTCAGCGTCACCTCTTCTTTTTCCCATGGTGGCTGTGCGTCACCCTCGCTTCTTTTCCCATCCGCCATTATTCTATCTTGGCGTTGGCGTAAGCGTCACCCCGTCACCCTTACATCAGCAGCAGGTGTCACCCCATCCACCACAGTTTTGGACGCGTCACCCCGTCACCCTTACATCAGCATTAGGCGTCACCCTGTCCAACCTGCTTTTGGACGCGTCACCCCGTCACCCTTACTTCAGCAGCAGGCGTCACCCCGTCCAAGATAGTTTTGGACGCGTCACCCCGTCACCCTTACATCAGCATCAGGTGTCACCCCGTCCAAGATAGTTTTGGGCGCGTCACCCCGTCACCCTTACTTCAGCAACAGGCGTAACCCTTGTTTCTCCACACTTTTAGGCGTCACTCTCACATGTATAAACTTTCAATGGTCACCCAGTCACCCTAGACGCTCAAGTCTATTCATGATAGACGGTATGGTAAATCTCCAAGGGGCCTGCTCTTTTTATGCGGGCACTTTTCTAATATTGTATTTCAGATTCTTGGAAGAACACTCTACATACAACTTTGGCTGTTGCGGCTAGGGTGACATGTGATCATTAGCACTGGCATCACTGAAGGTATGCATTTGAAGATAGAAACAACTCAACATGGCTAACACTATCTCATACGTAGCACGCGTGAAGGAAATGCAAACACATAGTACAGATTTGTGGTCCGTTGAGAGGACAATTTCAAAATTTGTGTCGGTACTTTTAAAAAAATGATCAAAGCGGTGTATGCTTCTCTTATTTTTGTCTCCTCCTAATCGCCAGAAAATTTCACACAAAAAACTTTCATGATGGCTTGCCCTGAAGGGTTATTTCGGATTATTGTCCTTCATGATACTAATGGGCGTCCATATCAAGTCGCGCAGGGTCCTGAAACGTCCATCACCAAGTGTCCAAAACATGTGTCCTCAATATTCCATCACATGTCAACACATTTTTTGAACCATGTGACAAAAATGCATGTCAGCTTATGATATACCTGCACGTATTAGCTCCCTTTTTTCATCGCGCTACTCAACCCTTTTAGCAGGGCTTGATGGCTAGTGCGCATCGCACAATTAGGTGACTCGGTATGGACTCCCTGGTAATCGCACGCGGCTGTGAACACTTATTTAGCGTTTCTTCTGAAAAATTGGTCACCAATTAAGAGGAAATCTGAACCCAGCCATGAAAGATGCGGGACTATCCAAAAATAGGTTTACTCCACCGTTGGGCGCAATGCGCATGTTCCTGACTAACATTTATTTTCATCCGATGTTCACGGCAGCCAGTGAGTCCCTGTCATCCGGAACATGATTTTTATGCAATTATGACTCAAAGATCACTGATCGTCGCGTCTCATTTTTGTTCCCTTCATTCCACCATTCAGAAATTTTTTTGTGCCCCTCAATCGCACTCACTACATGCAGACAAGCAAGTGTCTTTATGCGGATGAAACGAAACTCATTTTTGGATATTCTCAACCATTATTTCGTGAATATGCTAATCTGGAATGACATGAGTGAGCAAAGAGAATTGCAATCGAGTTACTCATATCGCTGTGCCTCACGTCCTCGGACGATCGTCTCTCATTTGCATTTTGACATTTTCAAAGATGCTGTCATAAGTCCCTCGTTTTTTTTTACAACGTCACGCCTTCTTGGTTTTTCATCCCTGCAGGTGCAGTTTCGTATGTGCGAAATAATATAAGACCTCACCAGCACCATTCATCCTCCCTTCGACGATAAAACACCACATTTATCATCACATATACTCTTCTTTCTGATATAAATGTCTACAACATATGCTTGTGATCATACAGGATGCGGAATGGGACCATTTTTGACCTGCGACGCTGCGCGAAAGCACCGATACCGGTACCACTCCGTCCCCATACCCTTCATGATTAATGATCACGAGTATATTGTGAGGCAGTGCGATGGGGGTTATGCCTGCCCGTTCTCGGGGTGTAATATGATTTTCAAAAAGCGTGAAAATATGCAGACACACGTCACCGAAGACCACAATAGTTCAGCGAAAATCAAGGTCTTTGATACTCCTGATTTCGGTGAGTTTGATAATATTTCAAACAACTATAGAGTCAAGCTGACCTCCTTAGTCATGGCGTCCAAACAGGTTCTTGACCAGCACGGAGTTGTTTATGAGGGGATTGTTGTAGAAGGTTAGTCATGGCATCTGATCTTGTGCTGTCACATGTTTACATATCGATCAAGGAGCCACAAATATTTCGTCCGACATTTTAGTTCCGGAACTCTCGTCCTGTCAGGACGTTGCAAACAGAGGTGAATTTCATAGAATGAAATTTCGAGATCACAGCTCAATGTGGTGTCCATCTCACGTATGCAGATGATCCTCCTGATGCGGACTGCAGGACCGTATCTTTGTTGTCTTCAGTAGACTACTTGAGGTCCAATGAAGTTCTAGATGCGCTGGGCGTTTGCCTCCATAGCCGTTTGAAAATTCTCATCTGCTACTCGTGCCGGGTCGCATTGACCTCTGGGATGATATCCGGACACAGGAAAAATCGCCACAAGTCGTATCGGGTACGAGAACCTCTTGTATAGTTGATCTTGAATTTGAAATGAACATCCGACACAACCAGGTACCTCCAGCCGCTCTGCAGTCATTCCTGGACTATTGTTTAGAGGCCAATGTTTATGAGAAGCCAGAGCATGTCAAACTACCAACTGCAGGAGGACCTCCTGTCCAGCAGATTGCGGATCCGATCGATGGTTTTGCATGCACTGCATCCTCCGACTGCGCATATGCCGTCAAGGATTTATTCACCATGCAGCGCCATGGACGAGAGACGCACGGAGCCACTGGCTTGATGGAGATCCATCATCGATCTTGTCAGGTCCAACGTATATTTTCAAGTGTGGGCAACTCATATTTTGAGATCGGGAATAATTTTGTTCCATCTGCCAGACCAGATGTCAGATCCGCCCTGCAGGCCACTTTCATACCTGCTGTTGAGCATTCATTGGTCGTTCCAGCCAATACAGAACGAGAGAGGACTCCACTGATGCGCTTCATGGGTTGGGACAAGTTTCAGGTAGACCTCCGGATGAATCCAACCCAGAGACGGGCGGCGGAACAGATTAAGAAAAAGCATACCGACGATGAATTCGGTGGTATTATCACCTGTCTCTCCAATGCTGTGCGAGACCACATGGCGAGGGCATCCAGCATCTTGGATGGTCATCCTCACAGGTTGAGCCTGTCCAAACTCCTGGTGTATGGTGATTCCATTCCGCGAGAAACGTGAGCAGTTCCATCACACCACAATAATGCCATAATTTAATGTCATCGATGCGTCCAGGGACAGTCATTGGAGGCCAGTGTCGGATGAGAACATAGAGTATCCAAACTTTATGATTCAATTCATGAGGGCGATCATGCGCATTCACCTCGGATTCCCATTCGATTTTTCGTTCGAGCTGTCCGCCGTGCAGACCCTGTGTCTCGAGGAACTTGTGCTTGTCCTTCGCGACAAAAATGCTACCCCACGAAAGAGGATGATCTTTTACCATAATTTTTCATGGTCCCTAGTTGATACGGATCCGAGTCTTTGCTTGGGAGAGCGATGGGCAAACCCAATCAAACGAGCCATCTGGCTCAGGGCGTTGCGCGCGGATGGAAACTTCTGTGAAGCATCCGTCCTTACACCAGATCTCGCAAAGTTCAAATATCTTTGCAACATTACCTCCCTCCTCGAGGCGCTGATGGACAAGGACCAGGATACCGATTCTGTCCATTCAGATGACCACGAGTGAGCAAGCCTCCATATCCGTTCGATTCCATGTACTTATCGCGATTTTTTATCTCAAGCCGTGTCGCTCGTGTTCATGAACGGGTGCTACGACTCGGTCGTACCACAACGTTTAACATAGTGTATGAGATGCAGCAGTACGCTTCGTCTTTGGTATTTAATCAAACGAGAGAACCCAATGTCTACGTCGATCCTGATGTTCAATCCATCACTATAGGCATCCACACCATGCAGATGGACAAGCTGAGAAGCGGAATACAAAGGCTCCTCCAGGAGTCAAAGTCGCGCTATTCTGCCCTCACTAATGATACTGTCGTATTGAAAATTGTCGAGCAGGTCAAGGACGATCTCACCAACTCGACGCGCGGTTATTCACTTGCATCAGAAGCAGCCTTTTTTCAAAAATCGACACGCATTGTTTTTCTACTTGGTAGATCACTATAACCTGGCAATTATCGACAATGCAGGACGACTCGCATGGAACATTCCCGAAATAAAGGATCTTCTCAGACGCTCGTCGCGTGTCTGGGAACCTATCTACCATTTGCTCTATATAACAACTCACATCTCATGTCGCGGAACTCAGTTCATCGACCACAAAATCAGTAACGCGGACAGGAATCGAAACCTCTTCATGCAGGGAAAGGAAATGTTCCTCCTGACAGGGTACAGCAAAAAAACCGGCATCACCGATCGAGACTCGTGTACCCCAGGTTTCGTTCCCAAGGACATCGCATTACTAGTCCTCAACATGATTGCAGGTGGTTTTCGCACAGCTGAAGCAATTTTGGCTGGTGTTGCATACGGTGCTGATGCGGAACATTTGTACAGAACGTGAGCACCGTTCCGAATAATTCAGGATTATTGACGTATATCTAACGTGTAAATTTTTATTATTTCAGGTACCTCTGTGTCGGTGAGGGCGAGAGGATCAGTCCTATACAGTTTTCCGCCAACATTCAGCAGTGGAACCATAATTACTTCGACTGTAGATGGGGAGTGAGAGATTTTCGGCAAGGCGCCATAACCATTGGTCGCGAATTCATAGCTCCAGACGACTCTTATGATCAAGCAGACAATATCCTCGCTGAATCTGCCGATCACTCCACTGGTATGGACCATAGTCATTACGCCGTCATCCAAGGAGTCGTCCCTCGGTTGTCCAACAATAGCATGTGCAAGCATAGATGGCTTGGAGATCAGTGGCATAGCGTTCTTGGTCTAGGTCCCTTCCCGCCTCCAGAGGCAATAAGGATCAGCCGCAAGAATAAGTCCGATGGGACAACGCTCAGGTCCATAGCGGACATCGTCAGGAAGACCACGCAAGACACAATCAAAGAATTTTTGGATGCGCACCACGCTAAAATATTGAAGGATGCAGTTTCTACCGCAGTACTCCAACACAGAAAGGAGGCTATAGATATGATTTCTACACCAGAAATTGCATCACCACTTCCAACCACCTGGAACGGGGGGTCATTTCACTTGAGCGGGAATTTGGAGGACTTGTTTTACGATCAAAGTGAATGTGAGGATCACTATCTACTGTATCAACAGCAATATCTGATGTTATGCAGCAGGTATTCAGCGTGGTCGTACTCCCTCATCAGGACCCAGTGGGTACAACAACAACAGTAGTAAGTCCGCGCACTAACTCGGATTCTGTGCGATTTCAAACATTATTCCATTGATAAGTCGATACATCTTCTGTCTTTGTGTCGCCCACCGCAAGTGGGTATATTCCATGTGGAGAACTACTTTCGGACTCCCCACTCCCAGCGTCTTCGATAACAACCATCTCACAGACAGAATACCTAGAAGAGCCCACAACGTTTTCCGATCTTATTCCAGCAAAATATCAATGCGAATTACCTCCAATCACAGATCGTAAAGGGAAAGGAAGAGAGCATGAAATGCCAGCACATATACCGTCTAAATCACGTTCTGTCATTCGCACAAGGAGCAAGGAGGTACGTAGGGATTATGAGGGAAGAAATCCTCTATCCTCCGCCGACGCAACTAGAGCTTCCACAAGAAATTCCACGTCTCGTAGTGTCACGCAGCACCGGTCCATTAAATGTACGTCCATTCCAGACTCAGTCAAATACACTGTATCTCGCACTAACAAGCGTGCAGCGCATGAAAAAAGATCGTTGGAAGACGTCGAGGAATATTCAGGACGTCCCAAACGCGCTCGTAAGTTGTCTGTGGAGGTGACGGACACATCTAGTGACGAAGATCTGTCGGGTCTTGATACAATATCGCTGAAACGCCTGCGTGGACCCAGAACCATGGTGACGAATGCACCCATCGATTGTATTAGCCTCTCGAGCAGTGACGAAGAATCGAGCCCGGACGAGAATATGCCGATGCAACATATCCATAGGACACAGGCCTCAGTCCATCAGGCCTCTACTGATGTGGCTAGCTTGCTATTCGGCGACTGCACCACGTCGAAATCCTCGATCGCTGACTGCGGTAAACCATCATTGTCCCCGAGCGCTGTTCACGACATTCGAGAGGATATTAGATGTGCGATAAGACACATTAGGAAGGACGACTCTGCTAGAGAAAAGAGTGCTGCACAGATGAACGTGCTTGTTGCCATCATGACTGCATGTACAGACCTCGTCATTACAATGAGGACAGGTGGAGGTAAAAGTATGTCGTGGATGGTTCCATCTGTAATGGATGAGGATGCTAGATCTATAGTGGTGTGCCCTTTCGTCGCTTTGTTGGATCAACAGTACAGAACTACCGCTGCCACTGGTCTGCGATGTCACAACTACTGCGTTTCCAAGGACATTCCGGAGAATGCGCAGATCTTGTTTGCGCAGGTGGAACATTGCTCGTCCCATGCATTTTCAAGGTAAAAAAAATCTATGCGGTCTGTAGATGGCTAACTCTTTATCTATAGTTTCCTTGTATCTCCACTCGGGCAGAAGTTTAACAGGGTGTTTGTCGACGAATTCCACGACATCGCGAACTGTCATCCAGGCCGAGTTATTCCATGGAAGAATCTTGCGCAGCAATTCGGCAAGACTCGCGTCAGGATCGTGCTCATGACAGGGACGGGACCACCACACCGTATCGCAAATTTCATCAAACCATTTGGCATAAATCCAAGTATGATAACCGAAGTACGGTCAGATACAAACCGCCCAGAGATCGGCATGCATGTCGTCCAGGTGCAGCCTATTGCAGCCATGCAATCCCTGGGCCACCTCGTCTCTGCTCTGTGCAAACTACTGTCGGAGGAAGAACGTATATTGGTATTCTGCGGCTCTCAGAGCGACGCACAGGCATTTGCAGTGAGGGCAAACTGTGCCGTCTACCACAGCGATCTCTGGGAGGCTGGGAATAATAGGGAGTCTAACCTTGAGCGCTGGGATTCAGGCGAGACAAAGGTTATGGCATGCACAACTGCGTTTGCACAGGGTATAGATAGGCCTCATGTCCGATATGTCGTGATTTTCAAACCTTCGTACGGACTCATTGTCAACAACCAGATGCTCGGACGCGCAGGCCGGGACGGGAAGGAGTCTCACGTTTTTTTTCTTACAGATCGACGTGGTAAGACATACAGGGGACCATCGACTGACCAGTGTATGGGTGAGTTAGACGATCTGGTCCACGGTACGGCATGTCGTCGGTTTACCAACATGATGTGCATGGATGGCAACAAGCTCGCCGTCAGATGCACGGCTGAACCACCAGGAATAAAGTGCGACGTTTGCGATCCAAACAGCTTAATGCAGAGGCTTGCTATCAAATCCATCGAAAATCCATTGAGGCCACCTGAGGTGTCCGAGTGCGCAGGCACCTCATCTGTTGCTAGTGGATCCATGCTTCGAGGACTCGCGAATGCTCCGCAGCACACGTCCATGGGATTTGTACCAGCTTCTTCGCTTATTTCGCGTGGTATGACTGTGAGTACCCATGATTACAGTCTGTGTACGTATGCGAATGATATAGGCCCAGGCGCCCACCCAACAGCACTCCCAGTCCAGCGACGCTCTATACGACGAGGGCACATCAGAACTAACTGCATTTCAAACTATGATGCTAAATGCCATGGAGGACGTCCACGGGACGGTGAGTGTGTGTCGCAGATGATATTTTACGGGAGCTGATTCTGAACATCGCACAGGGTACTTTTGGATCGTCAAGCGATCAATACACCGTACGAATTCGGTCTTATTGCATTTAATTATACTGACTTGGTTTGATAGACGACATCGCAGCCATGTACAGGAAGCGCCTTACAGGTTGATATGCCATCGTCTTTATCACTTCCCAGTGGCTCTCGCACATTCGTCGCAAGAGCGAGCATAGTCAACACCTCACTTTCCAATCGCCTTGCTACCACTGCCCATCTGGACAGATACATGAAGGTCTTGAAAGACAAGTGTCCAGTACACTTTGGGAACGGCGGTCGTCTTGTCTCAGCAGCCAACCACATGTGTACAATGGAGTCAGCCCTTCCAATGGACTTTTATGGACCTTTTAAGCTTGGCTTCTCATTCGAACGCTTCACATATTGCTTTCAATGCTGCCTTCCGCAATCACGAAATAGAAATGGAGAGGAACCAGCATGCCATGCGGGATTTTCTTACAGGAAAGGTGAAAAATGTCCATTCGCTGGCATCATGTTCAAGTCCGTATTTTGCATGTGGCACAATCCTGGATTTCGCGAGTTATTGATAAAAGAGATGGGCGCAGGAGCATCGCTGGAGAACTACGATCACTTCTTGACATGGATAATCAAAGATTCCACAGACGGTGGAAGATACAACAATCTTGTAGAAACGTTCATTTGGTTTTGCAGTGCGCTCGAGAAAGCAGATTCCAAGTTCTTTTATTGATCCAGCACAATTGGAACAGGGCCAGACGTGAGTTTGCATTTTTCATCTTTTTGTCCCCTTATCTGAGACGGTTCCAGGAATGTACAGGACATTGTGCGCATTTTGGTAGAACTGCACACCTGCATCTCCAGATATGAGGCAGTATATCTATATTTACAACATCCCATGTAATCTATAACCTCCAACAACACATAAACCAATGATTCATTCATCAAAGTAACATTAACATACGCTTTATAGTACAAAATCAAATACTTGATGAGTAATTGCGCTAATGAGGAGCAAAAAACCCCATGAGTTAGGAGATGTTACACCGTTATGCCTCCTTTGATTTCTCTTTTATGACAGGTGGGCTTGAAATTCTGTGACCCTTCATAGCGATAGAATCTATATGCCCAATCTTTAAATATCAGTGGCGTCCAGATCATGATCGCCAAGACTCACTGTAGAGGACGATCATACCTTATCATCGTTGTGTTCTTGCTTTATTATCACGTTATTGGAAACATCCTCCTCTTTCACCATAGACTTGCTAGAGCTGGCGTCCTGAACGGCATCCGTCTGAAGGAATTGTGTCATATCAGCATCATATGCGCCACAGTTCCAGCAGCTCACCATCTGTTCCAACGTTTGATCCTCTTTTATTCTCTCCTTTGAATCCTCTGCAGTAGGGGGAACGATCGAGCTCTCCATCTCTAAAGTATTCGAGGTCGTGTCTCGACTCTGATGGGTGTCAGCAGGTCATAAACCACATATACGGTCCACTAACCAGCGGTTTCACAGGACGTTTCATGTTCACACCGCTTCGTGTTGCACGGGAGATGGACGTGGCTGTTAGAGGCCGTTTGTAAATGTATTGGACATTCGGCTTTCTTGTGCGCCCGTTAGTCCGTGCCATTATCTGTCGGTTTATTAGCAAAACTCAAATATACAATACCACTCACTTGTTTCGTGGGGATCAATATATAAAACGTAGCCATATCCTTTTTTTTCTTCATAGATCGTGTCACCACAGCCATAGATGAAGAGATGCGTAGTCAGAGGCTGGATGCTCGTGATGGACGTGTGATGGATAATGGAAGTTTTGGACGGGTCAACTACGGTAGGTGAACGTGTAACATGTCACACATCACGGACTTTCTTTATTCACACGCCACGTTATGGCCAGCACGGCCATCCACTGTTTCATCATGTCGGCGACGTTGTATTTTGTAAGTATTTTGATCTCCGGTCGAGGTCGTTTCCCACTGCTCGTACAATGTGAGCCAGTCTATCTTCCTGTAAGCTCGAGTCTTCCTGAATCAGGATTTCTAGCACACATCAAGCATCCTTATCATCCAGTGTAGCTTCGGTCTTGGCCACTTCGTTAATGTGGTTCATCGCTACTTTGCAATTGCCTGAGCTGTAGAATTGTTCCGTGTGTATGTTTCTAGTGAGTTTTCCAACAATTCATTGCTACCGCCCTCAATATCAGCTTACAGCTTCCATAAAATCAGGATGAGCTTCTTAGCTCGCAGCTTCGTAACAGTGTCCACTTTCTCTAAGGTGCGTGCACCCACGCCAGGGCGTATCTCATTGCTAGTTCGTTCGGATAACTCATTTTTCTCTCTTCATGTCGTAGGCACGTTCCAATGCTTCTGAAGGCTGCCTGGGTGCTGGAGCATGTACCCAGTCTGGGCCATGGACTCACTGTCGCCAGTATGTTATCTTATGTCATTTTTTGCCGCGCAAATGAGACTTTTAGCCCTACAGTGCCATAGTATCTTGGACTCGTACAAAACAATTTACACGGCATTACACCGTATCGAGGGACCCAATAATTTTCCAGCAACCCTGTCAAAAATATTGCTTATATATAGAATGTTCCTTCAAGAAAATTCCGTCGTCTACAGCGAAACTTGTGTTCTGCTCGTTGGTACTAAAAGATTAGATGCGTGAAATAAGGGATGTGGTATTTTTATTTCTTGGTGTACCGTGACAGAGCTTTGCAATTGCAAGCATATCACAAACGATGTCCTCTTCTTCACGGCACCTGTCCCACCTTTATTGCTGCTGAGTTTCTTCTGAGGTGCTAAGTACTCCTGTCATCAGCGCATCTCTTGTTTGCGAGCTTCTAAAGACCATGAATTTCAGCACCTGTCGACGATCTTGCTCACCGCTTACAGAAGCCGAAGCTTAATGACGTCCAGTGAGGTATTCGTCCATAAGCGCTACATTATTGCACGCTATCACAAGCTCTCATCAAAAAAGTGAGGGGTGATAGAACATCTTCCTCTTCTACGGACGACTCATCTCTCCAGCTGACCCCACATCCAACCAGATCGGTGCTTCTTCCTCTTCTACGAACGACTCATCTCCCTGGCACTAACCATACCGCTCTCGCAAGACGCTTACAAACCGTCCAATACACGGCCTCGTATGAAAAACTTCATTTTCCTCCCATCTTCAGTACTTCGTTCGGCCCAACTGCTCTACTCTACTACACCCCACCCTATCTAACCCCATGAGCTATGGGGAAGGTGTCAGTTGTGGTTGTGCAACCGGCTTTAGCATCTATCGTCCAAATATTGAACTCCCCCTAGACGAGCTTCTAGGCGATGAGTACGATGGCGAAGACGACCTAATGGCCGATGCTCCCATTGAGCAACCAGATGATACCAAAGAAGACGGAAACGAAGAAGACCCTACATCCAACCAGCTGACCCCACATCCAACCAGAACGGTGCTTCTTCCTCTTCTACAAACAACTCATCTCCCTGGCACTAACCATACCGCTCTGGCAAGATGCCCACAAATCGTCTTTTACTGACTGTGCAAACATCTGCCACTAAGAGGACTGGTAAAGTTGGACAGCATGCTTCTGTAAGCATGCTAAGTCCCTCATCTACTGCTCTGTCGGCATCCACTCTCGAGCACTCTGCTACTGCGACCACGAAGCATAGTGTAACTGCAACTGTGCCTGCTTCTGCTACAGCGACACAAACTGTCCGGCGTGCCTCTGCCTGTCATTGTCCGCTCTCATACACAGTGCAACTGCGACTGGGTAAATAATTACATTGCGATGACTACTGTGCGACATTGACGAGGTATAATATAGTAACAAATAATGCCTAAGTATTATGGAATGTGTGTGAAGAGGGGACCACAGATCACAACACACGAGTAAGCTGATGCTTCTTTGCTGTTTTCTGTACAGCACATTTAGCAGGGTAGGCTGCCATGAACGCAGACCATAAGCAAGCAGGGGTGCGCCCTGCCTCAATTAATGCAGCCCTTGCTGTAGGACCTGCCTGTTGCCAGCGGATACGATGGTCACTGACAGTCTGGGCACGATAGGGAACACCTCCAAAGACACTAGCAAAAGCCTCCTTGACACTGACCAAACTTGCTTGCATTCTCCATGGCGATAAAACCCGCATTGATGTCGACCGCATAGTACTGTCGTGGCCAGGGTGGTAACACGATGGTGGTTTCGACCTCGATTGGGTGCTCGTACAATGTTCCTGGCGAGAGTATATCACTGTCAGACACGACTCTGTCAGAGGAATTGTCAGAGGAAAGGCTGATAGCATCAACGGATGGCTCAGATGAGGTATATCTCGTTCATTTTCCTGTTTACTCACTGTCGTATAAGGCTGTTTTCTGTTAAATTTTGCCCGTGAGCTTTGCGTGCTGGTCAAGAACATTTGTACAAGGAAGGTGTCTCTCGTTCTGTCGAAGACATATCAGTCCATCTAGAACTCAAACAGAACGCGCTGGTAGAGGTGAGAAATATTCGTACAGATCGAGAGCGGGAGTAGCCAATGCTTATTTCAAAAAGAAAAAAAAAAGTCATTTTCATAATGTTCGAACGGCTGCATGGAAGGTAGGAAGTTGAAGTCAGGGACTGGGGTTTCCCAGCGCCGCTACCCTCAGAAGGTGAGAATCATCAAACGAAATTAGTCGCACTCTTTGCATATGTCCCGTCATCCGACAAACCATGATCACGTTGAAATGGACTGCCGGTGTATACACTTCAAATGACCGGGACCTACCAGTACGGGTTTCAACATTTTCATTCCCAGACTTCTGACCATCCGCTAGGCTGCATATTGAGTTGCTACAATGGGCACAGGGGGTAGCCGTACTCACTCCTGCTGATGGACACAATTCCGTTCTATAGCATCGTATACTGCATCAGTCAGAAGTCCACCATCAGCTCGAGCTATCGAAAAATTATCAAAACCACTTTGCGATCTAAAGAAAGATACGCACTGGAGCGACGCCATCTTCAATTTCCAGCGCAAAACACTCAATAAACTTCCGTCATTTTCGCCCAAGCAAAGTGAACAGCGTGAAGTTCTGGCCATTTTGGTCGCGCCCCATGTTGTATGCACGGTGCTGCCGGATAGGGTATCCTTGAACCAAATAACTGATTGCGTCACTGGGATGGTCATGATAGTCCCAATGCCTGATCATACCTCTCAATTTGTGCACTAATCATTGTACGACAATACTGGAAGTTTTGTGGTATGTCGGAAGGTTGGATGCGCTGATAGATCGCTTTCTGCAAACCACACAAGGATTGAGGATCTTTTTAGGGTGCTTCTGGTAGCGATGATAGTTGCCAGGTTCGTATTATGCTTTCATGGCAATCGCGAGGTGGCGAACAGACAAACATGTCCGGAGAAAGATTGAAATCATAAACGCCTGGCCTCGCAGACTCTCATGGGCCCTTTCCTTTGACTTTAAAATTTTCTACCAAATGAATCGCGGGAATTTGTTACGTCAGCTATTATATCAGCATCGGTTAGCTTTCCGCGGTGTCGAGGTTTTGTGTTTGAAAGTATCATTATTTAGATCATGTGCGATCTCAAATTTGCCCGTACGTCTATAATCTTTAAAAGTACTCCTTACAGCTTACGAGTCTAGATCTAATCTACGAATGGTGCATGTGACGATGCAGCCATAATCGGTCATGTGACCTTGGCTCCATTTGGTGTGTGACGGAACGCATGACTCGTCGATTTTCCCAAAACGTTGAATGCCCTTAATCCTAAACCAACCACATCGGGCACTTAGCCTCTCGTCCGAAACTGTAATAAACAAGAATCCGCTACGGTAAAGCATTAAATACGTTTCATGTACATACACTCACGAAATAGCTCAATATCTGAGCAGATGACTCCGCATTTGACATCTGTTAAGAAAGACAGTGTCAGCGCCACAGCTTCAGGTATGACTGAGAATACGGTCCAATCAGCGACCGCCAGACGGCGAAAATGGTTTCAATCACTCCCGGAAGCTAGGAGACTCGAGATAAGGGCCAAGGATAGGTTAAGAAAAAAGAAAGAACGTGCTATGAAACGAGCGTACCGCAATGGACTTGTGCAGGACGCCTCACTACCACCTCAGGACGGTCCGTCGACGGATATGGAGATGAACGTTGATTTTCAGGAGGAAAGTGATACACATCAAATTGACTCAACACGCCCACGTCAGAATCGTGTATCATTCTCCGGGATTGTGCAAGTCGACAGTGACGAATCCGACGGGGAACGTGATGGACCGTCAGACGCTCCTGATTTTGAGTGTTATATTGCTCCACCAGATGTACAGATGGATCATCAAGATTCAAAAGACATGACCGTCGGTATAATTGGACGGAAAGTACACGAACAATCAGGTACGGTACGATGGCAGGACGGAAGGATAACTGTCCTGCCTACTATAATGAAGAACGGTGTCAACATTTGCGAATCCGGGGACGTTGAAGTGGTAAAATTCTTCGCATCGTTACAGGAGTCCACTCAGCTATCACAGCATGTCCTACACCTATCCGCCGCCGATATGCAACGCGACGACATCGTGGAAACTATCGAATTTGCATTGCGTGACAATAAACCCGTGGTAGTTCGGGGGAATGCAATAAACGCACCGTCAGAGATAACTACAGAATGGCTCGACCGCAAGTTTGGAATAAGTCCAGACATGCCTGTGTCCATTCACGGTGAGTGTTGAAGAAATATTGCAACGAGCGTTGTTCGATATAGCCGAACAGATGCCGAGGCGCGTGTTGCGGACTCTGCTCATCCTCACAAGGCTGGCACAATATCGATGCTTGTGGATGGTATGAGTGACCCGACGAAGATTCAATGCGTTCTAGACCTTCCGTATGTACATGGAGGCCTTCCAGAGTCCTTGAGGTGAGAAATCCTAACAATTAAATTTACTCAATGTAACATAGGCCGGTGTCAGAAATCTCGATCACGGAAGACGGTTTGGTTGGAGTCAGACAAGCCAACAGTGCCCTATTTACGAGGCAGTACATCCTGACAACTTTATCTCACACTTCTGGGCGCTTCTGCATCAAGCTGGATACGTTTCATTCGCTCATCACGATGCTGACGGTGTCGCAACATACGTTCGGATCGAGTCAGGGGGGAAAATGTGGATTTTCTTTCGACTCAAGTCCCAGAAAGGTGGGCGTACAGCTTACGCAAACGCGATGATGAAGCTCGTGGACTATCCCAATAACAAGGAGGAGGTGCGCAAGTTGTGGGATGCAGAAGTGGTGTATCTGGGTCCCGGAGATTTTGTGTACGTATGGTCTACACAATTTTTGACGATTCTGGGTGCTGACGCGCATGCAGAATCCAGCCACCTGGACAGGTTCATGGGGCTTACACCCCCGTAGAAGGCTTTGCGACAGGTGGTTCTTTCTACAACCTCGCATCGATGCATCATTCTGAGAGGGCCCGTTACATGGACCGCAAGAAAGCCGAATTTCTCACAAATCAGACCCACGCATACTCTTACGCGCTAGAGACGATGAGGAGAATTGCGATCGCTATTCCGCATATATCCAAACGAATACGTGAGAAGACTCTGCCCGTCATTTTAAGCTTTCCTCGATGATTTAAAAACTTTGTAGCTCTGTATCGACGTTCAATCCTCAGCCTCTGTCTTATGGTTATTAAATGCCAGGATTACGTTGCAGCTGACGCTGTACAACGCAATATAATGCCTTCAGAGACTGCGGTCCTCGCCGAGGCCATCTGCAAGAGCATCGTATCATTTCTTGGCATAAAGAACGTTGGAAGCATCTCTATGACGCTGTTCAGAGACAGGCAGGACATTGCAGGCGATCCTGTGGACAGAGACATGTTATGCACGCATTTAGAACTTTTCAGAGTATTGGACGTGTAATGGTGACTTTGCGTCAAGGGTGTCATGATCAGCATTTTTAATACGTGTATGCTTTTCATTTCGTTTTATCCAACTGGATTTCAGGATACGAGTCATGTAGTAGAGTAACATTCCTCACCTACTGTACTAGTCAATGTGATGGACGACATGTCAGGAGTTCAGGACATCGGCAAGCATATGGAACGGAGTGCGCATTATACACGTGTATATAAAGAGTGAGATACATATGAAAGTAATTATCCCTCAGTCGATCGATTGAACGCCTCAAAAATTGTATCTATTGCACGCACAAAATTGTACATGATCAATTGCGTGCCGCCGTCATATAAATATATATCAACTCTGTCTGGCTCCACATGATTAATCCCGCTCATTTGCAGAAAGGGATTTGTGGTAGGAGAAGGGTTTGCCTTTGAGGAGGAAGGGAGAATGTAAGTCGGGTGAGAACCTTAACCTACAAAATCTTTCTTGACCATGTCCTCAAACTCCCTCAGCGTTACCGGGTCCACATTCAGTTCCCGCTCCAGACACTGACACATCTCGCGCTCCATATGGTTAAGACTCGCCGTACGGCCATACATGGCAGGCGCATACTGTTAAAGTGGCTGCAGGAGGTAATGTGTGGCTGATGGTGGGTCCGGCAGAGTATAGAGGAAAGTTGGCCTTTTGTGGCAATGTATAGCGATGGCCGTATGAAGGCGTGGGCGCAAAAGCAGCTGGAGGAGGCAGAAAGGGATTTGTTGTAGGAGGAGGGGTTGTCTTTGAGGAGGAAGTGAAAATGTAAGTCGGGTAAGGACATTGACCTACAAAATCTTTCTTGACCATGTCCTCGAACTCCCTCAGCGTTACCGGGTCCACATTCAGTTCCTGCTCCAGATACTGACACATCTCGCGCTCCATCTGTTTAATTAGAGCATGACCTGCGCTGAAATACTCCAGGATTTGTTGGAGTAAGTGTTGTCGCAGATAACCTTTGATGCGAGCATAAAAGCGGACACGAAAAGAAGTGACTGGGAGGACCCCAAGCAGGGAAGTACAACTTGAGTTTGCCTACGAAACTTTTTCGAAGGCATGGTGGTCTGCGAATTTCTTAATGTCGAAGAGCTTGAATATGTCGGGGACATGATGGAATTTTATTTATGGTGAGAGTCTGGTTGTACCAAACACTGGAATTAAGTGAGCTGCACGAAAAATAGTGTCGATGTAAATTATTGCGAAGTGCGGGGTATTTTGTGCTGAAAAGGCTGGCTTAACCATCCACATGCCAGTGTCGGGATCAGGAACATTGCCAACCCAATTGAACCAGCGGATCACCGCACACTTCACAACAATATCCGCGAGCTCGAGCGTGCTAGTGTAAGTTACAAGAAACTCAAGCGGATTGCCTCAGAATACAATGAGACTCGTCATGCTGAGTTTATTGCACGCATGGTTTAATACGAAGCATCGGAGCTAGGATTCATTGCAACACATGGGAGTTTAAACGCACCTAATTGAACAAAAAAAACGACGCGACTGCCAGCATATGTGCAAACAGCTGTAAAACATAGGTTGGTCAAAAATTTCATGTTTCTAAACAGGTCAGACAAAATATTGATCGGCTAAAACTTCAAGTTTGGCTAGTTGGTACGTTTGTTACTTGACCAAGGTAAATATGCGTGAAAATACATGAATTTTTTAAACACCCTAAGTTTGAAGTATTGTCTTCGCATTTTGTACAACATTCAAAGCACCTTTTAATATTGGTAACCCTGATGCTTTAACCTACCTGATGGACGCCTAGCCCGGGCACTTGAGTACATAATCCGGCATCTGCCGGAGATACGTGCGTTACATGCCATATTTGGCATGATGGATTGCAAAGTGCACGAGGAAGTTTTCTCTTAGCAACGTGTCCAACAACAGCCGTCCACCAACATGCCGCTTGTCTCCGCAGATAATCTATCAAGCGAAAGCGATTCTGGGGAATTGGAATCATCGGTGCGCCTTCCATTCCTATCGCTTGTTCTTGCATCTTTTTTATGAGATGTAACAGAATGTGGGTGGTCGAATCGAGTCCCATGTGAGTGACATGGATTCGGTCACACGAAGAGCTCATCTCATTTTTGGGCGTTATATAGAATGCGATAGGACGGAACGAGCACGATGGACTTGGTGATGATGAAAGTGGTCATAATACAGATGGCATGGATGAAGATGGCACTAATGGCAATGGTGATGATGATAGTATTCAGCGTGATAAACAACCCGCTTCACATCCATCGAAGAAGAAGACGAAATTAGGGAAGACACCTGCTCAGCCGACACGAAGGAATCCTGATAGAAAGGCCAAGTCAATGCATGCACCATATCAAAAACTCACGCCAATTCTTTCCGGTGATATGCAGGACTGGAGTATGACAGATTCGAGCCCTATAGCGTCTCTTGCGCCATTTTCGAATGCTGCCGGCATCCAAGTTCGATGTGTTTTAATTTTTTCCCTCGATGCATGACTAAAGCATCATACAGATGTGCGTTTACTGCACTGATGTGGGGCCACACATTTGGGCCTGCATCGGCATCGGAAATCCGTGTGACATCACAATATGTGTCGCAATGGCGGAAAACGAGCAAGGATGCGTCGATGCTACCACAAATCCAATGACAGGAACAGCGCTTGTCACAAAGGAGACTTTCGTCTGTCCGTCCTGCTATCGACAAAAAAACGCTGCTATCCCGGTAAGCACCATCTTCTTCCGCGTCATAATGTCATTGATATCGGGTCAGTACATTGTTCGTGGTTATGCAATCAGATCTAAGTTTTTGAAGCGCAGTCCACACCCGATGCTAGGTATTTTTCTTACCTGGCATGGATATGGTCGACGATTTGTTGCAGATACGATTAGTTCGCTGCTGGAGCAACAGTTTCGCTCAGAGCTTCACAAGGTACCATTGAATTATCAAACTGCATAATGCATTATTGATACAATCAGCTACGCATCGTGTCTCGGACCATCCGGTCGAACAACAATCGTCCACATGCGGTCGCCTCGGATTTCGAGTGGGTCGCCAATTGGAACAACTGCTGCAATCTTCTGGTCCTTGTCGACACGCACGCGGACACAGACACAGGGAACCTAGTCGCAGCAGGCGGTGTCACAAACTCGGCATCCGTCACACCATGGGAGGTGAGTATTCTGGAATATTACGAATGACATGTCTGAACTTGCATGATACGTGTAGCTGCTCGAAAATTACATGGGTGATTACTTCCGCGATGCGTCAAAGGCAATTCGAGATGTAAATTCGACTCGAGGCAACAAGCCCTTCATTCGTGGATTGGTGCTCTGCACCTGCGGCCCCACAGGCCGTATTCCTAAAAGCGTCGCAATGCTCAGGATGATGGTAGAATCGTTAGTCACTTCACAAGTGATGTGCTCCGCGTATTAATGGGATCCTATCACAGAAACATCTTCGATTTTGTTCTCGTCTTTAGCGGCGTGTCTACCATAGATAACTTGGTTATCCATGCTCTTAATCGTTTCGTCGAGAATGTTTTCGTATACAACATGGGGCCATGGGATGCACTCTTGCAATCATTTGGAGAGGACCGACACGCCCTTGACGCATCTCCCGTTGTCCTGTGCTTCGCGGACCATATGCAGAAAGGCACAATCTATAATCGCGTCGTGGAATGCCGCATGCTGGTCCTATCAAGCTTCACCGATGCGCGGCCATGGGGACTAGATATGTATTGCTGCCCCGAGTGCGCAGGTCCGTCTCAAAATATTCATTTCAATGCTTTTGGGCGAAAGTATTACGGATCGAGGTGGTTGGACACAAAAATGAAGATTTATTGTCGCCAGTGCAAAACATCAACTGTCAATATATCTGCGCCAAGGTGGATTTATAGTTGTCGCACGGACAGCCTATATCGTGTGTGGTACAACTGGCCTTTGACAAACTCACAACTAAGCGAGATTGGTGTCCGTCACTGACCAAGGGTAGTGGTCCTCGACTTATATCGACGAGGGCGCCCATAATGTATACGTAGTCATTTAGTTTTTCGTGAATCTATTGAAGCCGTGTGCGCTGCTTTATGCATTACGCGTTGTGAGTGTGTCCAGTGTCCAGTACAGTAATATAGCGGTATTTGCATTTGTCTCGCACTACCCTCCACTGCAAGCCTTTTTCACCAAATCTTTTAGTTTATCCTATAGGTTTAACACAGTACTATGCATTGATAGCAATGATAAGTACAAAATATTGTAGATCTTCGTACGATGTTTTATTTTGTTCACAAATTTTCACAATTTTAGGTCCCAACATGCAATGTGTTGAGATCCAACTCCGAAACTGATGCAATACGTGTATATAACCTCTACACAAAATACTATTGTATTTCGCAAGTGAGGAAACAAGTGAGTGGATTGCAAGAGCAATGCCGGTTGAGGATGTCTCAAAAGTCTCTTAACAGTTGATAAGCGAGTATGATAGAGTCCGCGGTTGTTGATAATTTTTTACCGTCACACTTCAATATGTAATGGTACACTTCGGGTGACTCGGACTTTCCAGTCTGTTGATTAGAATAATGCTTCTCAAAAAACCCCACTCACCTATGTTGATGAGGAGGCAGAGGAAACCGAGTCTGATGGTGGTGAAGACGGTGAGGACACCTAATTGTTACCATCGGTCACATTGATTAGTAATTTCGTAATGCAACCTGATCGCAGAAGTTTGCTTACCATTTTGAGTCGACACAAATGATGGTGCGCGGGTGATAAGGGTTCAAATTTACAGAATGTTCATCGTGCAACAACGACTAATCCGATGTGCTGTGAAATTCGAGACGACGAAGATTATGTATAATTAATTTCATTGCCCAACGTGATTTTCGAACTGTCGCATTGTTGTGTTGCAGGTGAGTGTATGAAATTTGCAAACGCAAATGCCGCTATACGCTACACACTAGCGGAAAATGCCGAAAGTGGAGATCATTGATTTAAACACCCCAAACTCAGCTCTAAATACAGGAACTCATGCTTTTAAGTCTTTCTCTCACGATTACACATCACCATCATGTCCGAAAAGATGTATCCGATGTCGAAGCCAATTCTCATCGAGTCCATCGACAGATCTGATGAAGTATGCGCGACGATTCTATCTCCCCCGATTAAAGAATATCAATTGACCAAACGAAAATTAAATATAAAGTGGGAGCTTGACTTTGCAAGTATCAGCTATCCTCACTCGATCACTGTACATGCTGACGACATATATGTAGCTGCCCGTGCCCCCAAATTATGCCCAGCCACTACTCGTACTACTGCACCAACACAGCGTGTATGTTCAGATGGTGACGCATGGCATACCAATGGTGAAGGAAGATCGGATGGATCCACGAGAAGTACGGGCATTCATGAGCGTGGCGGCGTACCTCAGAGACGTCATACTTGCGTTCAAGGAGGAATGGGAGGGTGAGGAGCATAAGTCTACTTTTCGTTCAGCACGCTTGGAGTTCCATATCGCGATGGTGCTCACAGGTGGCATGTTCAACAATAAAAATATGCGAAGGGTGCAGGACAAATACAACGTAATATGGAATGACTTTGTTCAGCGTGTAGAGGTGACTGACGTCATGAAGCGTGAGCATAGTGTTAGACATCTTTCTGTCAAATTACTGATGCTGAACGTAATCAGTCAATGGGAACGAGAAGGAATACCACAAATTGCTCTGTTGTGAGGGAGAGAATATGTGTGGACTAGATAGTTATCCAGGTATCAAGCACGGGAAGGGTGCGTTGGATATGATCGAGAGATTTGTGAAAGATAAGGAGGCTTCATGGACGTCCAAAAAAGGGACTGCTCACCCTACAAGTACGAGAATACAGGAACCTGTTGAAGAGGTAAAGGAAAAGGAAAAGCAGGTCATTTTCAACGCACAGGAGGTGAGCCAGTCGACATTTCCAAAATTACATTTTGATGGTAAAGCTAACGTGATTTGCATCGAATAGGGACCTGGAGAGAGCACGAAGGGAAAAATGAATGTCCCCAGAAACCGCAAAGTACGTAACAATGGGGTATTTGCAATGAAAGTCTTTGATTGTATGAAAGGCGAAGAAAATACATAAAAAAGATCATGACAGTATGAAGAGGAGCGATGATCAGAAGGCTGTCCCGAAACAATTAGCGGTGAGCAGTTTCACGACACTCAGAAATGATGATGCTCATGAGGAAACTGTAGGAAACAGGAACGATCACGAAGCGAGATGCACATTTGATAGGATCGGTATCAAAACAAGGAAAGGCTCACGAAGAGGGTGCCACTCCGCGGGACCTGGAGAAACTGGACGCATCGAATATCTCACTAAGACGCGAACCTCTCGCCGACGCTCCAGAGCCTTTCAATAGAGTCAAAGCTAAACAAAGAGAGGAACCGTCTTATCACATCGATGTATCATTCAAGGACACACAGGAGGATATCGTAGAGATGGCAGCAGAAATGCACTCCAATGCTCGTGGTGGACCTGTGGAACACATGGCAAGGACTCAACCTTTCTATGCGATTGTAAACCTCTTATACACCATTGCAGGGTATCTCCCTCCCTCTCAAAACAGCTTCTCAGGAGCATAGGAATAATATGATGAGACGGGGATTCATGGAAGGAGACGGCATTACTGTCAGCGCAAGTCTGCTTACTTGGATGATAGAACGATATCGCATCCTGGTTGGAATACCACTAAATGAGCACCTACACGGACAGCTTATTCCGCAATCGCCAGATGAATACGATGATCTACCAGAGCATGACTACTTGGAGGCGCTCGGCATAGAACGATTGTACGCTGCATTGGTAAACGCAGAAAGGAGTCCTGGACATCTTATTCATCTTGCACATGCACTTGGGAGGGCTGCGAAAGAGACTAACATATTATCCGATTCTAAACCAAATGGTATGTCTTTGGATCCCCTACCCCGTACATCCTTTCCCCGTCCTAGGACTCCACGCAGCAGCACAATATCTGCAGATGACACTCTGGGTTCTGTCACCTTTATTGTAGAATCTGACTCGTCGGTCGAATCGGGGAATTTGGAGGATCATGATCAAGTCATGTCTGATCACGCAAGCACCGGGAACAAAGTTGTATGTGTTACGGAATATGATGGACATGCGTCCGACAATATGCGTCATGCGAGCGAAGGTCCTGCATGTCCTGACGTCATCGACATCGACGAAATCCCCAACATACTGATGGAAATGGAAGTAATCCAGAGTGGATCTGCTGATAACAAGAATGATCATTCGAAGGAGGTCATGGAGGGAGAGGTAAAAAGGAAACGAGAGGATGCACCCCCCCTGTCTCCTCGCATGGTACGTCCACTTCCACTTCTCAAGGCAACCGTGAATCTCAATTACATGACAAGAAAGGCAGAGGACGAGGAAGGAGACAAAAAGCGTTTAAAGCTTCTTAACTCAACGTCGTACGTGTCGGACACAGCTGACGACATGCACCCTGCAGGATCCGATATATGTGATGACCTTTCCTCAACTATGTGGTCCACGCGCCGTCAGAAACTGATTACAGTGGTTCCTCTGAGTGACATAGATGTGGATACAGTGATGCAAGGTCCGGAAGAGGACACTGCCCAGAATTCTGCCAATGAGATTCCATTTATCCAAGTTCAAGACGATGCAGCGACAATCAATGATCCTGGAACTGTGAATGTTTCTGCAAAAACACAGGTATGCTCGTTATATAATACTGTCTGCAAAAGTGTCTGACTTATCAGGCATGGCTGGATCAGTTCTGAACGTGAATCGGTTGTATCAATAATGCCCATAACTATGAAGCGATACAATATATGGGTACCATCGCGTGAATGTTTGCTCATATGTGTCACTCTTCCCATCTGTCTATGACAATATATGTATTCCCTCGATATTCATTGCGTGTTGAAAAAATGTTGTTTCAAATTAGTAGTTTCCATCACACTTACGACAATGATTGAGTCCAAGACATCTACACCGGCCGACCTTGAGATTAATCACTGATAAGGTTGTAGAGACGAACCTATCCATATCCACACTGTTATTTCCTCGCTTGCATTGATACACATGAGGAGACATCCGCAAAGTCCATCCACTCGCAGGTTACCCTCAATTACAGAAATAAAAGATTTAATTATACGATAAGGAGACGAAAAATCCATTCTTTTGTTTCTCCTGTGCTTCTCGAGGTGCATGTACATCATTGCGTGACTCAAACGTTAAGCAAAACGGAGTAAATATTGGCTTAGCTAGGATGCTCACAAAGCCCGACTAGCCTCGTTGTCTGCATCACCTCGAATGCCAACACAATGGGTAAATATGTTAATCTTCAACAATATTTTATGATACTGATACCGACCAAGCTTTCCTGGGCGCAAGCAGATGCCTACATTTCACAGGGGACAAATGAGATCGGTTCCTGATCTCAATCAGCGTGAGAATCTCAATTTCATTTCTGGCGGGTACCGACGCTCGCTTGTTCGGAACCTGCATTCAGTTATACCGTGTTGGGACACGATTGCTTGATGTCAGGTTCTATTTTTATGGAAACATAACAGATCTTGAGGGACAGACATCCGTTCTGGAATACCACGAGTCAAAATATCTATCAGTCACGTCAATGAGTGATTCAGACAGCGGACTGATCGTTGTGTAGTGAAAGAGTGAGATGGACACCCTGACTATTGAGCAATGCCTGAAAAATTGAGTAAATGGAACACACGACAAGGAACGTAGGTGAAACATAGAAGCGATGAAACATTATTCGGCCTAAAGGAATGACGGGAATGGAACTTCGTTCAGCTAAGGAGATTAGAATGATTGAATGTTGAATGTTGCGCTTTCAGTATTTCAATGTTAACTTTCCGCACATCAGGTCAGTAGGGTGTTACGATCAAACATGAATCATATTACGCACCATCTGAAAGATTGCAAAGAGCTCATTTTATTTTCCTCTCAGCCGCTTTCGCGTTCTTACCGGTGTATAGCGCTGGTTTGACATTGCATGTTATTGCTTTATGTGAACCACGGCAACGCCTTGGAAGCGTAATCAGCGATCCCAAGGCTCGCTGGCAAATGGAGAGGCGTGAAAATTTGTGGGGGACGTAAAGGGTTTGCGGGAATTTGGTGGACATTCGTTGAAGTGAAAATGCGACATGGGTGGTGGAATACCCATGGATGCACCTGACAGTGCAATAGAAGGTGTACGGAGGTTGTTGTAAACTGACTGAAGATGGATAGTGGCCGACGGATGAGGAGGGATGAACGGAAACCTGGATGGTGTCTCCAAGCCCCACTTTATTTCCCTGAGATCCATTCAAAAACCCATCAAATTTAAAGCTGCGTGCACCCGGAGAAGAATGCGGGTCAAGGATGGGAGATGCAGATAGAAAAATAGCTGATGGCATGTAAGAAAAGGGTAAACCGTAGTGTATAATGTCAACGAAAATCAGACAAGCTGTACCGTAATTGTGTTGAGATTTGAGAGAAAAGAATTGCAATGAACGGATATAGTTGAAAAGAATCGACACAGGGCTCATGAGAATAACAAATATATGATGGCTCCGATGTCCGAGGCACAGATTCGGACAGAACTAAGGCATATAAAAGACAAATGGGCGAAGGGTCCCAGTAATCACGAGGCCGTTCAAATTTGGGTGTTCTTCGTAGGAAAGTTTCCAACAGTCTGGCGGCGAAGATGATAGTCATTTGACCGTATTCACAACGTTTCACTAAATACAGGATATAATGATTGAGACGTTTATATGCCGTATAAGATAGGAATGCATGAAGATACAGTTAAATAAATCGATGTTGCAGCGTACAAAGTATGTTTCGTATGCTTAAGCTACGCTACCGGATGGATATGTAAATCCCACGGAATACAGAGAACCCGCATGTTTGCGGCCTGCGCTAGATCTGTCGGGCCCACAAACCTGAGGAAGCCAGAGAACCGTTCAAGCTTATGATTTTTAGGGAACGCTGTGAAGGTTCATCGAATATATAATTATCATCACAGGGATACAGAGCTTTTAGAGTAGACATTCCTCAATTTGTCGTTCTTGATATGATCCTGATGTCCTGATACAGCCATTGTCCTTTAAATATGCATAATTTACAAATTAATTTATTCCTCGAAACTCGCCAAAGAAAAAAAACACCGCAATTTCCTCTCTTCATCTTGCACGAATTTCCATACCCTGGTCATAACTCACTCGCCTCATCATTTCGCAGTCAGTGGTATCGAATGCACTGGCGGAAATTCTGTTAATAGGACCATTGTAAGAGAACTTCTTTCGTGTGCTCTTCTTTCGTTTATATATTCAACAGCCTTTTCACTTAATGTGGTTCATCGTTCATGCCAGTGTTATTTTATTTTGTCCCTCACAGTTATGGGCCTCCTTGATGTACGCACGTTCAGCATCTATGGCGCCGGAACCATCGAGTGGGACGAATGTATCATTTTTTATAAATTAAGACACGGTGTGTACGCCAAGCGTAGACGATAGGACTCGTGTCGGCCAACCCTCAATTTTTCCGCGCTTTCGTCCAACCTTTTGTGGCGACGTTTCCAAAATCTGTGGTTATAAAATCCGAGTCACTTCATTCCAAGTCAGTATTAGTTCCAGTGAATTAATTAGCGCGGGATGCTAACAACTCATTCACCCTCCATTCAATTTTGTACGCCTCTCCTGGTACCATTCTAATTCTACGCCAGAAAATCTCCACATATACACTCAGCGCTCACGGATAAAGACAGACTTCCCTCTCTTTCTCGACTCGGATGTCGCCTTCCTGAGAGACCGACATGCTCTGAGACGGAATAATTGTAATTGCGCTCTAACTCTCTTCGATGACATCTATTTTATCCTTATTTCTCATTCTTACGGTGCCTCTACAATATACGGATCATCATCCCAGTCCGTCACGTCGTCTGTCCTACACTTGTCTTTGTGCTTTGCTTCGGTGGGGTGATGCTGTACAATATCACATTTTGTCTTGTATTTATAGGCTTTATGCACGCCAACTCATTCATGAATCGCATTTATTGTTCTTTAGGTGTTACTTATCGCTGATTACTTGGACCAAAGATAAAAACAGAAAGATCATCCTTTCTTCATCACGGACTTCGCGACATAGATATTTAATTTATTTACGGGAATTGAATAGTGTGGTCCGATCATATATTAACAGCGGAGAACAAAAGAATCTCGCTCCCTACGGATGCGCATCAGACGCGTGGCCTGCAAGTAAATCACATTTTCTATTCACAGAAGAGCGTAATAAATTATGGAGTTTGCTCTCAAACACTTCAAATAATGATCTCAGTTATCCAGAAGGTCTGTGATCAAGACCAATGGATGCATCTTTAAAAATCGGTGCAGCCCGACATCCAAATGTACTCAACGTATCCCCATATGTTCTCCGCCATCTGAGGTTAAATCCATCATTATGTATGCACTTTATTTCCATTGTCACATTGCAACCGGTTGTTTTCTTTCCGATTTCGACCCATCTAAATTCCGTCTGCAACAAGTTAGGCCTTCTGTGCGTTTCGGAACCTTAATATGTCCCTGTTCCTTGACAATTTTTCTGCCAAGTCTGGTCTTGTGTAAAAGTACTTCTGACGAGGACAGCCCCCATTATTTTGGCGATCATTCTCCATCGAATATCAAGCCACGAATGTGTGCATTTTTTGTCTTCAGTATACCATGTTAACCCAAATCTCATCCAAGAAATCAGCTAATTGTATCCCCGCACACATACTCCCCATATTCGACACCAATGCAGAATTCAATATGCGCAGCTACATTCTGCATGGTTTCCCTCATGAATTTATAGACGGAACGATTGGGACTGGCGATACGTTTTGTGTTGTCAGCATGCCTTTGACTTCGCCACCTTTTTCAGCTACGGAAACCTTCAACGGAACCATCACACGCATATCCAGGTATATGCACACCCATGTTGCATTCACATTTCTACATGCGTCCACCGAACGTCTACATACCCTTTACGTTCCAATCGCTAGAGCACGCATCACAAAGTGGCAAAAAGTCTTAGAATGGGGTCGTGGTGCATGCCACGAAAGGGGACTTCCTGGCTGTATTCAACCAACCTCCTCCACGGATAGCGACATGAAGAGGTGATGGATCAGTAAAATAGAATATTTCAACCGCGCGTTCTTGCAGGTATGTCGAGCACTCCAGCAGTGCAACACCTCACCACAACATAGATGCAATTCTCCAGAGTACCTTCAACGGGACCCCGCTTTCCCATCATTCAATCATTTATACCGTTGTTTTTTCTTTTGCAAAAACCGCACTCTCTAAGCTTGAAGTGCCACTTACGTTCCTTTCTCTATTTTTCCTCTGTCCTCCACTTGTCACCAGTATCGTACCAATCGCGCTGTCGCAGAGTTATATGCGTCCGATCCATCTCACTTATCTCACTGTACTACCCCGATGATTCCGTATTTTAATTAAATTCACAATGTATCCTTGCGTTTAAAACGTGAAATGGTGGGTTCACATAAAGCAGTAGCTACGGTTCAGATTGTGTGATAAAAAGCTCATACTCCGTATCATCACATTTTGGTCGATCGTTGAACATCTTTTACGTTCAACTCTCACGGTGGAAAGCCGGCCAAATAAAGAATGTTATAAGGTTTGTCCTTTAGATAGAATGTTCCTATCCTATCACAAATTATCTGCCTTCAGTTCTTTCAATTTTTTGTTGCTGTCCTCGTCACACTCCAAACAATATACAACCATACACCATCATTGCCATTATATAACTTATAAATCTTTTGCTACAACATAAACGTTAGCTGACAGACAATGGAAATGCAACAATCTATCGATACATGTTGCTAAGTCATCGTAAATGTTTGTGATAAGATGATTGCTTTGTACTCGTTTCTCTACGAAGTGATACAGGTCGTTTGCATTTCTACCTTGAATTTTATCTTAAATCTGATATTATAAGTCGACAACTGGGGAATTAAACCACATAACACGATGAAACCCGTATTTAATGCTGAGTTAGTCAGATTCCAGCTTTCAGTCGTAGTACACCATGATGCCTAGAAATTATTGCCCATTTTGACTCGGGGCTCCTTGCACACAAGTAACATAGAGAATTTAATGTAAATATCATAGCGGAACATGTAAAGCCCAAGTAAAACACTCTATTATTCGGTTTCAGCGTGCAATAAGTTGTGCTGCTTGTGTCCATCATTAATCCATCACACACGGGTGTCCATCATGACCTCCATCACGAACCCCCTCACACCTTTGTCGGCTTATGTTCCTCTCACTATGTAGCATTTCAACATGCATGGATCCATTGAATTTTATGAAGATAAAAGTTTCATGATGTGTGGATACGGTGATCAAAGGATGCTTGCCGACATAGAGATGATACTTAGGGTGAGATACCTGATCTTGTGTGTATCATTGTTTGTAGACAGGTGGATAAATAGAGATGGACATGGGTCAAAATCCATCGACGATGGAGGTCTACATTCCCCTAGAGATCGTCACTAAAATATTTACTCTGGCCACTCGAACGAGAGGAATCGCAGTGAACTGGATTGTATATTCTAAAAGCACATATTTGTGGTGAGCTTCTGACATCAACTAAGTACATCGCACTCTAATCATCATCTTATCACAGGTTCGAAAAAGTTCTTTATGAAAAGGTCGTACTTGAGGATGAAGAGCAGGCGTCTCATTTTTTACGCTGCATCGGTGTCAGGTACAAGTACGAGGAGTTCGCTCGCACGACAATCTCTTCCTTGTACCTCGACAAGGGCATCGCGCACACAACAATGCACGACATTATATCGCTGTGCAAAGGAGTAAAGAACTTGCACTTGTCATCTCAATCTACTGCATTCAAATGTAACATGGTGTCCTCTACTTGACGCAGTAGATCGACTTCCTCTCAAAGTGTTGTCCCTCGAATTCAGGATATCCATATCCGCCACCATAATGTCCACATTCAACGTCTTCGCTACACTCACGCACCTAGAGACCGACGATCTTCATATGTTCCTGAGTTTTGACATAGAATGTTTACCTCGGTTGACTCATCTGGCGCTGTGGATTGCAGGGTTAATTCCAGGGTCGAAGGTAGTGAAGTTGACCAATTACATTCTCACACATCCAACCCTCCAAGTACTACTCTTTCACATCAAGTCACACCGCTCGTTTTCATATTACCTCAAGGAAGGTAATATAATCGATCCTCGAATCGTCATCGCTCCTATGGATTTTTGTAAGTGGGATGACTTAGGACGCGGACACATGTTACTGTGGGAACTCGCGGAGGCGAAGGTCAAGTTACGAGATCCAAACCACAGTCAGTTACCTTCTAACGTTTTGACGCATAGAGATATACTAAATAATTTAAACAGGACGCATCAGAAAAACCACCATTATCAATAGATTCAACGACTATTCTAATTTGGATCGAATCCCTGAACAGGCCGAAGAGAATGGGGTAATATCGTCCATCAACGCTGAGGCGTGGGATCCAAATGGTGATGTGGAATACAATTCAGACGAAGAACTTGAAGGCGTTGTGAGCTTTGGAATATGACGTAGCACACGGCCCACAAGAAGACTTTTTCGAGGTACATGTTTTAGGGTCGCAGAAAGACATTTTACTGTACATCATGGCACGACATATGAGATAGCGCTGAACGTCCGAACAACTGGAAAAATACCACAAGGCACAACAATATGCTGTGTACTCATGTGGTGCAGGGTCAACGGAACACAGCTAATTCCCCCTACCTGTTTCCAATAGATAAAAAATCATGCATGCATTGATTTTCTCTCGAAAAAATGTCGATCAATTACAGGGACGCTTGGCTCCATAATACGGGAATTTGCAGCCAGTTCATCATGTACATGCTGCGGCCTTACCAACATAGATAAACCATAGTCCACAAATAGCTTTACTCCATAAAGGGTCACGAGATACCCGTTGGGCACGGGACAAGGACAGATCGATTTTAGGAGGAGCTGATAAGTGTGCGATGACAAAGATTGGCACACAATTTGAATCCCATATTTTCCGATCAAGGGACGATCTTTGCCCGTCCTCTCTTCTCAAAAGATGTAGGAGTTTTTTTGGGGGTTCCGCAATTGAAGTCACCAAATACAGACATGTGCATGACTTGATGTGGACGTGTGCTGATAGAGGGGTTCATGTCCACCAATGTCGGAGCCAATTTGTCCAGATCAGTTCACCTCAAGAATGATGATGTGAGAGGATGAAACATATTTGTATTATGTCCTTCGGCTCCTCATAATATGATTGCGTGTTCGTTCTCCACGTTGTCGTAAATTCTGACAGATGTCCGTCAATTTTTATCACCATGACACCCATTCAGTGAATTAGTCCCACACATATCTGCTCCATTGTTTGTCAAAATGATATATTTCGTCGCCACAGACATTGATTCGTTGTTGAACTAGCTCCATCACCTCACCCTATCCGATAACCAGACGGCATGTCAGCCAACTCTGCGCGTTATTATAAAACTCATTCATTACCACTACAGATCAAGCGCGAACAAGGATTGCAAATGCGTGAGGATAATCTCGCTCAAATTGTGATGGAACACAATGGTAAGGGGGTGATCAAGGTCTCTTGGACTCCTCACATTGGTTAATAGTATATCACGATCATTAATGCATTAGCAGGGGTAAAAGAAGCAGGTTTTTCCTCCAGGCATGTTGTTGTCGGAGAGACTTCTTCAAATAAACAAACTGGCTTCATATGTCAGCTTAATCGCATCCTACATGTCAAAAAGCTTACAAATATTTATACAGGTACCGATGACATACCTCCACTCATTCTGGACTCAGATGCGCTTTCAATCGAATCCATGCTACCTGCAGGTGAGAGTGGTACATTAAATGGATTTAAATGGCGCTTTTGACCGATTTATCTGTTTATTCTGCACAGAACCGTCATCTGGTATGGATGGAAGGACTGTCACCCTCTTTCCGTCAATCGACTACATTACATCCAGCGATGTTTTTGATGCGCTAGGTGTGTGCATGCACAGCGCATTGAAGGTTCTCCTGTGTATTCCTTGCCGGGTCGCATTGACTTCTGGCATGGTTGTGGGACACAAGAAAAAACACCACCACATGCATGAGGTACATTCACGCTTCTTCTTGATCTAATCTCGATTTTAACATGAAAACTATGTATTACTAGATATCACCAGACGATCTACAGACGTTCTTAGAAGCTTGCTCGAATGCGAACATATACGAGAATCCAGAGAATGTCAAGCTACCAACTGCAGGAGGACCGCCTGTACAGCTCATTGGGGACCCAAGCGACGGGTTTGCATGCACAACATCAGACTACTGCTCGTATTTCACCAATGATCTACCAACAATGGAACTACATATTAAGAAGAAGCACGGTCAGGCCAGTATGGTTGCTATTTGTTATAGATCCTGCCTCGTCCAACAATTGTTTTTGGCGCTGCGTAATCCATATTTCGAGGTTGGACGTGACGTTATCCCAGGGGCCAGGCCGGACGTCAAATCTACCATTAAAGCTACATTTCTATCTGCAGTCGATGTTGCATCAGTTCTTCCAGTGCCTACAGAACGGGAAATAACGCCGCTGATTCATTTTATGGGCTGGGACACTTTCAAGTTTGAACTCCGGATAAATCCGACCCAGATGCAGGAAGCGAATTGTATGAAGAGAAATCATACAGCCGATGAATCTGGCGGGATAATTGCCCATCTCGCTGAGACAGTACAATACCACATGTCAAAGGCTTCCACCATCTTGGATGATCATCCTCACAGGCTGAGCCTGTCTAAAATCCTGTTGTATGGTGACTCCATACCACGAGACACGTAAGTGCCTCCATCACACCACGATCAGGCAGAATTTGATTCATCTCGGCGATTCTAGCGATCATCATTGGACTCCTGTGTCCGATGAAACCAGCGAGTATTCTACCTTCATTATCCAAATCATGAGAGCGATCCTGCGAAGTCACCTCGGATTCCCATTCGATTTCTCGTTTGAACTGTCTCCCGTGCAGACACAGTGTCTCGAGGAACTTGTAGTTGTCCTGGATGACAAAATGGTATCCCCACGCAAGCGGATGATGCTCTACCATACTTTCGCGTGGTCTCTAGTTAACAGAGATCAGGAAAATTGCATGGTAGACAAATCTGAAAATCCGATCGCACGAGCCATCTGGCTCCTGGCGTTGCGTGAGGATGGAAATTTTTGCGGAGCATCTGTCCTTGAACAAGATCTCGTAAAGCTTCAATATTTTTGCAACATCACCTGCCTGCTTGAAGCACTAATGGATAAAGATGAGGGTAAAGATTCGGTCCATTTCGATGACCACGAGTGAGCAAACCTCCATATTTACTTGCGTCCACGTATTTATCATGGCTCTTACCTCAAGCCGCCTAGTTCGTGTTCACGACCGGGCGCTACGCCTGGGTCGTCCCACAACGTTTAACATGGTATACGAGATGAAGCAGTGTGCTTCGTCGTTCGCATTCTATCAAAGGATGGAACCCAATGTCTATGTCGATCCTGATGTTCGCTTCATCACCATAGGCATCAATACCATGCACATGGACAAGCTGAGAGACGGAATACACAGGCTCCTTCGGGAGTCTAAGTCACGCTATTCGTCCCTCACTAACGACATCTTCATGTTGAAAGTTGTCCCAGAGAAGGTCAAGGATGATCTCACCAACTGCACTCGTGGTTATTCGTTTCTATCAGAGGAGCCTTTTTTCAAAAATCGCCATTCTTTATTCTTCTACCTGGTGGATCACTACGATCTTGCCATGGTCGACAACGCGGGACGACTCGCATGGAACATCCCTGCAATAAAGGATATTCTTAGACAATCGTTGCGGGTCTGGGAGCCTCTTTACCATTTACTTTACATCACCACTCACATCACATGTCGCGGAACTCACTTCATAGATCACAAAATCAGCAATTCAGAAGGGCATCGTAGCCTTTTCATGCTGGAAAACGAAATGTTTCTTCTGGCAGGCTGCAGTAATACTGGCAGCATCACAGATCGAGCCTCATTTAACCCAGGATTCGTTCCAAAGGAGGTCGCATTCTTTGTTCTGGAAATGCTCGCAGGGGGGTTGCGGACAGCAGAAGCGATCCTGGCTGGGGTTGCGTATGGCGCTGAGGCTGAGACATTATACAGAACGTAAGTGCCTTATTGTACCATCTCTGATACCGAATATTTGTCTTACAACTGCACTCTCTACGACTTTAGGTACCTCTGCGTCGGCGAGGGCAAGCGAATTAGTTCTACGATGTTCTCTTCCAAAATGCAGCAGTGGAACTACGATTACTTTGACTGTTGGTGGGGACTGAGAGATTTCAACCAAGGCTTGATAAACATTTCTCGCGAATTCATCTCCCCAGAATACTCTTATATTCAAGCCGGCAACATTCTAGCGGACTCTGCAGATCGCTCGACTGGCGTGGACCACGTCTATCCCTACATCAACCAAGGAGTCGTCCCTCGATTTTCCAACGATATCATGTGCACGAACAGATGGTTGGGTGATCAGTGGCACAGCGTCCTCGGTATTGGACCCTCCCCGCCTCCAGAGGCAATCAGAATCAACCGTAAGAACATCTCCAATGGAACGATCATCCAGTCCATTTTGCACCAGGTCAAGAACACTACAGAAGAAAGTCTAAAATCATTTTTCAGTGGTCAGTTCACGGAAATACTCAACGACGCGATTTGTACGGCCTTTGTGAAACAAAGACACTACACACAACATGATCAAACGACGGGAGATGTGTTTCCGCATCGCTCCAGCTTGACCAATGAATTTCACATCGGGAACTCTGGTGCGTGAAAGCATGCTATGTCTGGAGCACATCCTGATTTTGTTTTGCAGGTGTACTATCGAGTGATTTACCGTTGCCTGGTAGAAGCATGCACATTGAAGATAGGAGTTGGTCACATATTACGTGGATTGGCTGCGAATCTGATATTAACTTGCAGATGTAACATCCGTGCTGCCACACTCTCCACTTCCAGCATCATCAATTTTCAGCGATGCGCGTTCGGAGTCCAATGAAACATGTATATCATGGCCCGAAACTGTTCAACCAAGCGATTCGCGCAAATTAACGCCTGTGGTAGATCGCAAGGGCAAGGGTAGAGCGTATGGATCTGGACAGATGGGACCTTCAAAGGGCAGAATAAATCCACCCGCAACGAAGTCGATTTCTGCTAGTGTCATACAACACGAGCCCTCCAGCATATCCCCAATCGTATATTCAAAGGGAAAGCATAAGGCAGATTTACCAGACAATCCTCGACCTTCTACCACCGGAGTAGATTTGACGTACACTGATCACAGTATCTCACAGCTCCATGATTCCGTACCATCCATATCCAGTTCAGCCCCAATCGCACACACCGTCTACCGGTCCAGGAAACATCGGCTTCAGAATGTCAACGAGACAGAATCTGACGAGAGAACTTCCAGGAGTCACAAACGTGTTCGCATTCGTAGAGATGGAGGTCGAAAAGCGCTGCCTATGGAGGTTATCAGCATCTCCAGTGACGATGAACTATCAATTGTAGATAATAACGAACCACTACAACAGCTGCCTCAGGCCTTTACCACGACTAAAAGGGCACCCACGAATATTATGAGGATCTCGAGCGGCGAAGACAAGTCATCTCTTCATGAGAATCAATCCTCACTTGACGCGAGCCAGTCATCTCTGGACAACGACTATCGAAGACCATCTAGCGAAGACAGTATGTCGAATTTTATCGTCGCTGATGGAGGTCAACCATCCTCGCCGCCACCATCTGTTCGGGACATTAGACGCAACATCCGAGGCGCAATAATACACATCACGAAGGATGACAATGCGAGAGAAAAGGGCACGAATCAGATGAATATGCTCATTGCAGTAATGACAGAACATACTGACCTCGTCATCACCATGAAAACAGGAGGCGGAAAAAGTATGTTGTGGATGGTACCATCAGTGATGGACCAGGGCGCCAGATCCATTGTGGTGTGCCCATCCGTCAGTCTGTTGTGTGAGCAGTACACGACTGCTGCTGACACAGGACTGCGGTGTCACAACTACTGTATGTCCAAGATGGTACCTAATAACGTTCAGATTTTGTTCGTTCGGGCAGAGGATTGCCAGTCTGAGGCATTTTCGAGGTACGAAAACTCAGATATAACCTTGAAGGGGCTGAAACCACTTATGTAGTTTCCTTGTATCTCCACTGGGGTGGAAGTTTAACAGGATATTCATAGACGACTTTTATTCTGCCATCAACAGTCAGCCACGCCAGGCTGTTCCATGGAAAAAACTTGTGCAGCAATTCGGCAACATGTGCATCAGGATTGTGCTCGTGACAAATACTTGCCCACCTCATCGTCTTACGAACTTCATCAAACCATTCGGGATCAAGCCAAGCAGGATCACAGAAGTACGAGCAGCCACAAACCGTCCAGATATTGGAATGCACGTCGTACGCATCCAGCCCATTTTAGCCATGCAGTCCCTGGAACGCCTCGTATCTGCTCTATGCGATCGAATGGCTGATGAGGAACGTATTCTGGTGTTTTTCAGTTCACAAGTCGATCTAGAATCGTTTGAAGTGCGTGCCAAATGCGCTGTGTACCATAGCGGCCTCGATAAGTCGCGAAGCCCAAAGGCCTATAACTTTCATCGATGGGATGTAGGCGAAACAAAGGTTATGGCGTGCACAACCGCATTCATCCAGTGTATGCACAGACCTCACATACGATATGTCGTCATCTTCAGGCCTTCGTACGGACTCGTTTTAAACAACCAGATGCTCTGTCGCGCAGGCCAAGACGAGAAAGAGTCTCACGTATTTTTTCTTACTGACCAAACTGGAGATATGTGCAGGGGCCCTTCGACTAACGAGTGTGTGGGGGAGTTGGACGACCTAGTCCACGGTAAAAGATGTCGCCGCTTCGTGAACATGCTTTGTATGGATGGAGACAACTTTGCGATGAAATGCACGGACGAACCACAAGGGATATATTGCGACGTATGTGATCCGAACAGCTTTATTCAGCGGCTCGCCATGCAATCTATAGGAAACCCATTGGTATCACCTGAGGTGCCCCAGTTCGCATGCTCACAGGTCATTGCTAGTAGCTCCTCGCTTCAAGGACACTCGGATTCTCCGCATCTCATGTCCACGGAATGTGTTCAAGTGTCTGACACCCAAGAAATAGATATATCGGTGAAATTTTTTACTTTATCGGTCATTCACCACCTGTGTTAATTTTTTGTGATGCAGGCCCGAAAATCCTCACAGGACTCTACATCTTCCAGCGATTTTTTCTATTACCAGGGTGCATCAGGACTCAGTGCATCTGAAGCTCTCATGCTCGATGCCATGGAGGACATACATCGGAAGGTGATTTTTCTCAATCGTTATGTTGTACAGTCGCTGATACCTAACTTATGGAAGCGTAATACTGGCCCAGAGAACCGCAAATACACGGTCTGAATGTTTCTTTGTAGTATGAAAAACACTGATGGGACTTTACGGACTGCATTTTAGCCATCTATGGGCTGCTCTTTGGATGTTCAACTGCTGCATCCTTCATCCCTTCCTGGAAATTCTGGCACTTTCTCGGCAACAACGAATCAGGTTAACGATGCACTTTTGAACCGTATTTCACGCAGCGCGTGCCTTGACAAATTCATGCGGACCTTGAGAGACAAGTGTCCAATACACTTTGGAAACGCAGGGCAGCTTGTCAGGGCAAAGTACCACTGGTGCACCATGGAGAAAAATATTCCCATGGATATGTATGGGAATTTCAAACTTCGTTTCTCGTTCGACCACAACACATATTGCTTTCAATGTGGCTTGCCACTATCACGCGATGGAAATGGAGAAGAACCAGCATGTCATGCTGGCTTGTTCGCTGATAACGGGGATACATGTCCATTCGCTGACTTTATCTTCAAGACAGTCTTTTCAATGTGGCACAGGGATGGCTTCCGTACATTGTTGCAAAAGAAAGTCGGCCAGGGAGCATCGCTCAACAAATACCCTGAATTCTTGAACTGGATAGTCAAGGAATCTACAGACGAAGGCAAGTACAACAATCTATTAGAGTCATTCCTTTGGTTCTGCAATGAGGTGGAGAAAGCCAAGCCCAAATTCTTTGATTGATGAAGGTAGACGAGACCCTGCCTGAAGGTGAGCTCTACCCTCTTCATTCATGTGTCGTCGGTCTAAGGAACCCTGACCCGTTCAGAGGTCATTGTTATCGTTGTATTATCCTTCGATTCACACATGCATTCACTTTGATACTCTATTATCACCATGTAATTGTTGATATCTGACGTCGATTGTCCTGTATCTGTATCGGTCATTGTTTGTACCTTCTTGCGAAAAATTCGCGGCCTCGTATAAAAAATTGATTTCCCTCTCATTTTCCCATGCTATTTCTATGAACGAGTCATCTTACCAAATATTCGCGACTCCGTATGAAAAGCCCACCAGACTTGAACTCTTCTAGGAAGAATGAGAACGCAAATTTGCTAATTTATGGCTGTCTACACCTTCCATATCATGTTGTCCCATTTCCAGGTTCAATGGTGCAGACCAATACCCCATCGCATGCAAAAAGTAACTATACACCAACCATGATACAAGCCGTACCTAGTTAGTGAGAGTTGTATTGCATGCGGGTGCTCATCATTAGCACTAAGCAAAGCTAGTAATGAAAATCCTACCCACAATTTCAAACCCACCCGGCGTTCATGCGTGGCACAAGAAAATGGAGTGTCAGAGGCAACATTAGAACGTCATTATACTGCAAAAATCATTAGCTGGTATTAATTCTCACCTACTCATTAATCGTACCAGCATTCTAGCATGCGGACCGGCCAGAAACAAGGGCATATATCTAAGACACATCATGCCACAGAGGAACTGACCCAAGTGCGATCAATAACCCCGCACATAATTCCAGAAGAAGGAACTTGAGACATGCTAGTTTGTGTTACGTTCAGCATTACTGTAAAAGACAAAAGGCGCAGAGAGAATGCAGTCTCGTGGGCATGTCTAAGACACATCGTGCCATGGAGGCACTGTCCCAAGTGACTTCACAGGCGATCAACTACCCTGCACAAAATGTGCATTACTTCTAAAAGAAGCAATTTTTGGGATGGTCATTCGTGTAAGAACGGTTTATTGTACGTGACATTTAAGATAGGATGCCTGAAGACATAGTCAGACGTTGAACACAAGTTTTGGTGCAGGCTGAAGATAACATGTAAGTGTGTGAGGCACGCCACAAGTCACTGAGCATCACTGTGAAAATCCACAAAACTTTCGAATGAAGCGTATGATGTCGTGGTTCACGTTGCTAGGTGCAAGACAAAGTAAGTGCTGAGCGAGCGCTTGAGCAGTCAACTTGGAGTCATATGATATTCCCACGGTCAGATACCATAAGCGAGTATGTAACATCTTAATCGATTCCTCAATATTATAGGGTGTTTGAAAACGTACTGCCAGCTCCTTTGAAAGATGAAAGAAAGAAAACTAACCATGAAATCCCTCTCTCAGACGACTAGACCATACACTAGCACCCCTCATTCCGGACCAAAACACTTCCTCCCTACCTTACTCAAAATTGACGACGACAGGGACCAATCAGCACCCCTCCTCCCTAACCCAACATCATCATCATCATCATCATCATCATCCTTCCCCCTCAACACACCAATCCACACCCTTTGTAAACTACATGAACCATCGCCACCCATGGGCCTTGTGACCATGCAGGAGTTCCGTGTCACCCACACTCCCGCTGCCATCCCCAGAGTTGACAACAGTGATCCATCTAGCTCCATAAATGCTCCACAAAACTCCACAGCTGACAAAATTATGGGAACACAGACCCCCCTGCGAATACTGAATGCGGAAGAGGAGGTCATTTTTGCGCACCTAGCGCTAGCAGAAACCAACAGAACTATTATGAGCCGTGATGGCCCAAACCACAGAACAATCCTTCCACAGTTCACTCCCATCCCAGTTGGCGATTTCCCGATAGTTCACATGTCACACTGTGCCCAAATATTCGACCACCTTGACCGCAAACTTCTTCTTGCATGGTTCCAAGTCGAACACCCGAAATTCATGGTCCGTGTCTTTGACCACTCCGGTAAAGATGTTGTTGAAAGGGGCGAAATCATTGCAGATCGTATTCGAGCCAACATTGACATCGTAGCAGACTTCGTCCATCAAGACGTCCACCCCGGACTGGTATTCCCCCCCAAACCACATGGCGGCAGGGGATCCAAAAACCTACCTGTTGGCTTCTTAGTCCACAACGTATCCGAAGAAACAAAGGACGTAATCCTGAAGCAACGCATATGGTCTGCCGCGGATATTACCTTCGAAGCTCTACCATTTAACTGCTCCCACCCTCCTGAACTCCTCTTCTGCCTATCAGGCTTCACCATATCTGATGTGGAGACCGTCCGAAAGACGGTCGAAGACGTCTGGTCCGAGGACGAGAACAGGTACAGCATCAACGACTTATTTTCAATGAGTGAGATACAGGAAGAGACGCTCATCTATAAGGCTACGCGTGATCTAATCAGGTCCATACGTGTCGAAATACTCGACTTCAAGGTCTCGGGTGGCGTCTCAGTGCCCCGCTTCTATATCTTCGCGATCAGTCCATCATGTAACGCCAAGACATGGGCAGACCTGAGAAAATTTCTACATTCTCTTGACTATCCAACGGGCATTTACGGCTGCGGAGTCGCGGTGGCCCTTTATCCCTGCCAAATCTGCCACTCCTTCGCTCATCCTCGTATCATGTGCCCCTTCCCCAACGTGCCACTCTGGAATGGCCCCGAATATGGCAATAGGAACGTCGCTACTTCATCCCGCCCGACTGGAAGACAGACACGCCCTTAATTTTTCCAGTTAAAATATGTATAATTCTGTGCGCAGATTCAATGATTTAGTGGCTTTACCTGGGTTGACTGGAGTCGTGCTCATGGTGCCGGGACAGAGTAGAATAGGAATGATGATACACCAAGTCTTACCACCGTTTATGCCTAACTTATTTGAGCTGAAACTGACGTGGAACGATGGTCGTCACTGTGAGCACTGAGCATATACACATGCAAGCAAGCTCGTAATGCGTCCGCTCTGTCGTTATTATTGAGAGTCTGGACGTAGTCGATGGGAAGCCGTTCTTTGAGAAGATCACCCGCAAACACATCCAGCACGTCGAGGGATGCATTGTGGATTCCTTGGATAAGCGTGTGGTTGATCCATCATGGCGATCATCAAAATTATCTCATTTATATTCTTTTTACAAACATCGGTTTCTCATCGGTCAGAGGTCACATCTAACAATCCGCTTTCAAACTCAGTTTGATCAGTCTAGGCCAGACGGTGTCGGTTGCACTCGCTTTTCCAAACATATAAAATAAAATATAAGGTGCCGTCACATAGGGATGTGTGGCATGACGAACTGAGCGCTGCTGTCCTACTGTTTGCATTAAGCAGTGACATATAAAAACAATCATCATTGGAATGCAAGATCTATATATCTACCAGCCACAAAGTGACGACATGCTACAAGCGAATGAAGTAAAAAAACACTTATTCAGTAACGGACACCGATGCTCGCAAGTTGTTCATGGGTTAGTGGCCATTCGTACCACACACGATACATGTTGTCCGAGCGACAGCTGTGAACCCAAGCCGGTGGTGGAATGGCTTGCTTCGACACCTTGCACTGCCGGCAATAATACTTCATCTTCGTTTGCAACCACTTGCTTCCGTATGACTTCCGCCCGCATGCGTTGAACCTGATATTTTGAGATGGGCCGCCACAGTGTTCGCAGCAATACATGTCTAGTCCCCATGGACGAGAATCGGCAAAACTGGAGTAGGCCAACATGCGTGATACTGTGACTCGCTCATATGAGTCACCTTTGGATCGCATGTCAGCGAAACACAGGAAAACAGGTGATGCCTCAAGAGCATGACGATCCTCCCCGAACGAGCGCTCCAGTGCCTCCCACGGCTTCATGTCGTATACGCAAATATTTTCGACGAACCGAGACAGCGCAGGAACAACCATAGAGTCGATGGTGGAGACGCCGCTGAAACAAAAAACGAAGTCGAAGATGTTGCTGCAAGGAAAATTTAATCAGAAAAATGAGCCAAGAAGGAAAGACCGTGCTGACTACTCCACCATCTTCTTCAGAAGATTTACACTGCTGGGAACCCGGCCCGTAGCACCACAGCTGCAAAGCACAAGCCCACGCATGAACAACTTGTCACCACGAGTGGCATTGACGGTTCTAATAGCCTGCGATGTTCTCCTAAAGTGGTCCCCGACGTAGTTCTCAAGCATCTTGAAACGAGGAAATAAATTCATGAGCGCGACTCTGTCACCAAGAAGAGAACAGTACCTCCCATGGTGTGATAGACACGGAGTTGTTTACCCCTCCCGATGCGACCAAGTTCCCCGTGCTTGTATCCGCGTGAGTATCGACGAACACCAAAACATTACAATGATGATTATGATCCGCCACCCATTTGAAATCATCCGCGACAGCATCAGGGCGATTATTGTTTGCCCGTATTTTACGGGACACAATGCGAAGCTGTGTTGAACTCGATCAACTGATGATAATGTTGAAACGTATTTCTTGCCTTGTGTGGTTCGATTAGGAATTGTTCCCGAAGCATTTCTATGATGCTATCGGCTGCAAATTGCCGACCAAACCCATTCCATGTCAGAAACACACCCAGGAACGGGGCAGGATTGCGCCTCAACGACGTCGATCGGATTGCGTAGCCCTGGATGATATACTACGCGGAAAAAGGCATACACAGAAGGTCTAGACAATGTAAGATGAGTCGGACATACTGGAATGGGCATGTCCTTTTTTCGATAGCATTGCGGACATATGAACGTGTCCCTCGTCACGAGGGAGCATTTTGTTATCGGGTTGCGCGTCGCATCCACGCATCCGTGTTCTGATTCAGTGGTCGCAACGCAAATCGTGATATCGCAGGGCATGTCGAGTCCCGTGCATGTCCATATATGCGAGCCCACATCTGTGCAATATACGCAATGCTACGGACTTCATCAGTGAATTTAACACTATAATGGGAAGATTCTGACCAGGACATCAACGCCTGTCGAATTTATCGTAGAAGCAGTGGCAGGATACGATACTTCCATATCCGCGCTCTGAATATGATCGGTGAAAATGGGTGTCAGCTTATGGTACGGTGCACGGAACGCCTTCCTCTTCGGTTTCGTTGGTTTTGTAGGTTCGCCTGCGGGATTTAGAACACCAAGCACTGTGCCTTTAGTAGCACGCATGGATCGTCGTTGAGAGTGTTTTTGATCTTCGTCAGCTATCTGATCTTCTTCTTCTTCTTCTTCTTCTTCGTCGTCGTGCTTTTCGAATACCATAATGTTGGAGTCTGTACATGATGAATACAGATTCACGTACTTCGGACGGCTGAATTTGATCCTGCATCTGATCTTCTTCAATTCTGGGATTGACCCTACTGACACTCTGGACGATACGATGGGTTAAGCAACCATAGGAGATTCTCTGTAGAATGCAAAGACATACCGCCGAGCCCGGGTCATTGATCACATCCATGTCATTATCGTCTGGGGAGTCAGAATCATCCAAGTTTTCTGCCTTATAGAGGCCGCCCATCTTGCATTACAGGTAGCCGATGCGAAGCTTCGACGACGCGTTGTATTAGTATGCTTATAGACGCACCAGCTGGTATTCGAGTATTATGTACACGGGAACTTATAACTTCGAATCTGACCGCGTCATAGACTCGTGACCGCGTGACCAGTCTTGTAATACTACGTCTCTGAGATGACAAGTATCAGATTTTCAAAGGCAGGGTACAATTGAGCTGAGTTTGAATCCTCCCTAGTTTGTCATGTATGCATTCACACGCGACTTGTGAGAAACGTCAAAAAGCCGTGGGAGGGTCAGTCACATGACCGCCTGTTGAAAATTTCATTCAAGACGTTGGCTCTGGGATATCGCCTCGATGGCAACCTGTCTTTGATATATGCCCTGTCACCACGCCTTCCTCTTTCTCTGCCGTCTGCATCGTAGCTCCGGGCCATCGCCTCAATGGGGACTTGTCTTTGACGAACCCTGTCACCACGTCTCTCGACGGCTTCCTCTACAGTCTGCATAGTGCAGCGATTCTTGCTGAGTAGACGTGGCTTTGGGACATCGCCTCAATGGCAACCTGTCTTTGACAAGCCCTATCACCACGTCTCTCGGCGCTTCTTTTCCCTCTACCGTCTGCGTAGTGCAGCGATTCTTGCTGAGTAGACGTGGCTTTGGGACATCGCCTCAATGGCAACCTGTCTTTGACAAGCCCTATCACCACGTCTCTCGGCGCTTCTTTTTCCTCTACCGTCTGCGTAGTGCAGCGATTCTTGCTGAGTAGACGTGGCTTTGGGACATCGCCTCAATGGCAACCTGTCTTTGACAAGCCCTATCACCACGTCTCTCGGCGCTTCTTTTCCCTCTACCGTCTGCGTAGTGCAGCGATTCTTGCTGAGTAGACGTGGCTTTGGGACATCGCCTCAATGGCAACCTGTCTTTGACAAGCCCCATCACCACGTCTCTCGGCGCCCCCTCTTTATCTCTACCGTCTGCGTAGTGCAGCGATTCTTGCTGAGTAGACGTGGCTTTGGGACATCGCCTCAATGGCAACCTGTCTTTGACAAGCCCTATCACCACGTCTCTCGGCGCCCCCTCTTTATCTCTACCGTCTGCGTAGTGCAGCGATTCTTGTTGAGTAGACGTGGCTTTGAGACATCGCCTCAATGGCAACCTGTCTTTGACAAGCCCTATCACCACGTCTCTCGGCGCCCCCTCTTTATCTCTACCGTCTGCGTAGTGCAGCGATTCTTGTTGAGTAGACGTGGCTTTGGGACATCGCCTCAATAGCAACCTGTCTTTGACAAGCCCCATCACCACGTCTCTCGGCGCCCCTCTTTATCTCTACCGTTTGCTTATTGCAGCGATTTTTGCTGGACAACGCCTCAGTGGCAACCTGTCTTTAACGGGCTCTGTGAACTGTGTGTCTGGATGTATCTTTTTGTCTGCTACCGTGTTTCGGGTCTCTGACTAGAAAGGCAACGAGAGATGGAAAAATCGTGTAAATTAATTTGGCCTGCAGACGTACAGCATTTTGTGTGATCATATGGTGATCATAATTGGGTGCAATGCTGGAAGGAAACCCGAGTAATGATTTAGATTGATCCCGCCAATACAACTCGAAGCAATACTCACCAGTTGAACGGGTTCAAATGTGAGGTATTATCGACATCCTAGATGTGTTCTTGACAAAAATGTTTGATCCAGCTAATGCCCTCAGAGAATTAAGCAATCATAACATTGCTATTTGCTATGTATTCAAATCCAGTTGACACCTGCTGGAGAGATTCATTGGCTGTTGCTGCAGATATGATTAACTCGCTTGTATTGTGTGGCCTTACCTACCAGATATATGTACTGAGCATCGTACTGTACTATTCGATAGCTCAAGTATGTAGTAGCCTGAATATTTTTACCACCCTTGGATTGAGAACACATAGAAGTTGTTCCGATAGATTGCCTAAATGAAAATGGTCAGTGTCACGGTGCTGTAATTCAAGAAACTTAAGCGCATAGGAATAGGAATAAGGTGGGTCAGTAACTGGCCGCTGAGTCGTTTTGTGGGGAATCATTTGATAAAAACATAGCTAGTCCCACATAAGTCCATCATCATACTTGCTGGAATCATGCGAAACATATGGACATGATAGAACGATACCAATCAGGTGTCGAATTTGAAGGACACTGGAGTCTTTTACGCTGTTTTTTCACACTAAAGTTAACGCTGACGCACTGTTTCGTATAAAGCTAAGGCCTGCGATGTTTTATTGGTCGGCACAATTGTTGGACACGTTATGGAAGTCTTGGTCATTTGACATTCCCTATATAAGCTTCCAAGGCCGGCAGATGCCGAAGTACATCCTATAGCATCCGAATTCAAAAATCTGTTTGCTATTATGTTAGATTCGAGAGTTTGTGACAATAATCTTCTTCTCTTTCAGCTCCACCACCTTCACTATTTCAATAATGTCTGCTACATATCCGCTATACAAACCTGTCATTCTTCAAAACATTCAACGCTCCGCTGACGAGCGCAGCCAACTGTGCAACATGAAGATTACACTCGCACCAATGATTCGTCAAGGGATATTGAGCGTTAATTTCCAGGATGGAGTTCCTTATGTAAGCACAGTTCGAGTTACGCAATTTTAATTCTGACTACTATTGCACGCGTTTGGCACGCGTAGTATCCAATATCACGATCGTGCAGAAATAAATTCGTGGCAGTGCACCATCAATGGCTCAAATATGTCGAGATGATGTCCAAGTGTGCAGTCGAAGTCGAAAGAGGCCGCATGGACCCGAAAAATTTGCACCTGTATGCGAGTATGGCAACGTACCTCAAGGACGTGATGCTCGCATTTAAGGAAGAGACGGTGGCTTCAGGGAATGATCGCACAACTGGAATACAGAGATCAGCACGCCTTGATTTTCACTATGCGTTAGCACTGTCCGGTCGAACTTACACAAAGTTGAATTGTCGCAAGATGGAGAAGAAGTTCAACGTGAAGTGGGAAGACTTTCTCTCCGGAGTGAACATCGCAGAGTTAGCCAGACGTGAGTACAGTTTCTGTCAAGAACATTGCTGACCCCTGTACCTAGTCAGCGACCCTTCATCCTTGCATGACATGCTTTGCGGCGATGATGAGAATTTTTGCGGTTTTTCGTCTATACAGCACACAGATGCCTCTGTAACCATGATCGACAGATTTATAGAGACCGGCGTGCGAGCTTGGTGCGCTTCCAAAGAATCGGCGTTCCATTCTAGGGCCTTGCCAGACTCAGGACCTTCAGCACTGAGGAAGGCTAAGCAGATAAACAACGGACCCTCGGAAACGGTAGATGGTCAGCGACATGACTACAGCACGCGGTCCGCCAATCGATCAGAGAAGTTGACCATAAAGATACCAGCGAGCTCCGCGACGAAGGACTACCGGCCGAAGGACCCTATAAAACGAACGCGAGCTTCAATGAAGATGAAGGAGCCGATAGATGTGGAATTTGAAGACATACCTCAAATTTCATTTTTGTCGGAGGGGAATGCACAACCAAGAAATGAGCATATGAGCATCGCCCAACAGACTGTCGAGATGCTTCACTCCATGACAATAAACTGTGATGAAGTTGAGGCACAACAGGGTGAAATGGGTACCTCATCACCAAACGCATCACAAATGGAACATGCTCCTCCAGTTCCACCGGAAATCGAGGTAGGAGGCGGGGTCAATCATTCTATAACTACAAGCGTCCAAGTGACTTCACAGTCGGTTCCAGAAAGGGACGTACAGGCAGATGAAAACGTGAAGATGGACAGCGACAGTGTGAGTTGCAGCATTCTGGCCACAAAAAACGATCCATCATTATTTCTGCAGGATCCTGTACAATCACAAGGACAATACGCATGGCCCAGTGAAGACGAGCTCCTCCGACAAGCCATAGACGCTGCAGATGGGACGACTGTCTCCAACAATATAATTATCTGGTTGATGAAGCGATATCGATGCGCTGCTAGCATTCCATTTGAAGAGAAGTTCGATGGACGACTCATTTCACAGAGCCCAAAAGAAGCTTCCTTTGAGAACCGTGATTTATATTTGGAAGCACTTGGGCTTGAAAGATTCTACGTTGCATTGACTCACATGCGTGATAGTCCTTACCACCTGGTCCACCTTTTCCACGCACTGGGGAAGGCCGCTCTGGAGACAAATTTGTTGTCCCGAAGTAGCTGCGCAGTCGATGCCGTCGAACCGTTGCCATGGCTGAGACCAAGACAGTCTGAAGATGGCGATATTGTGACCTTTGACGAAGTTACGAAATGCAACGCCGAGGAAGCTCAAGACGTGAAATCTGACCCGACGCTTATGAGCAAGAATCGTGTAGCAATCGATGACCAAGAATTTGTATGTGTGGATACTGAAGTCAAGGGAAAGCGAAAGCGAGTAGAATCGCGTCCAACTTCCCCACCGAAGGTAATACATGACCAACTGATTGCACTGCGAATGAAGAACCTCACTTGTCAACCTCAGGCAGGAGGGGAAAGGAGGCCGAATAAGCGGTCTAAACGACCAATCCAGTCAGGATCAATCGGACAGTCCAGTGCTGCCACACGTCCGAAACCAGGACCCGTATCAATGCGTATTTCCCGACGGGTGTTCAATGACACACTGCACGCTTTGACAGGAGAGAACGACGTCGCAACTACGGTAAGTCCGGCATAAATTGCTGATCTGCAGAGGTTCAATAATTTCCATCATTATCCACATTCACAGCCCTTCTGTCCAGCTGCACAGTCCATTCGAGATGAGCCAAGGAATAAGGACGAGCTTCACGGAATATTCGACACAATGGTGGCGCAAATTATATTGTGCGGTCACACTAATAATAATCAAACTCATCATTCGCTAGGTCGAATCGTCAATATTGTCTCGCGTTGTTACAGGAAACTCCGATTCAATTGAAGCTGATGATATCTCACTCATGGCTGAAGCGCAGGTGAGCCGAACCTGTTTTTTTTGCTCCATAAATTATCCTAACCTTGGTACGGCTTCTCCGTTCTACCTGTTCAGTCGTCAGGCATGGCACAGGGAGGTGTCTCATGTGGACCGACCGATGCAGAGACAAAGGTAAGAGTTATCTCGTACATTTAGAACACCTTCACTTTGTTTATTAGGCCTGGTTCGAGCAATGGATGGATTAAGATTAACGAAACCAAAGGACTCATTTTATCAGTGATCTGTATTTGTGTCACATGCGCATAGGCGGCATGAAGTTGATACGCTCCCCTGAAATCCTATGGTTGTTCATACTTCACATTGCATTGGATATTTAGTCTGAACTTGATATGTTCCCCCGAAATCCTATGGTTTTTCATGCTTCGAAATACATTCCATTGAATATTTATAACAATGTCCTAAACTCCTGAATTTGTTTCTCGTACTCACTGGAAGGAACATTAGGATGTGTAACGTCCAATGAATTGTCAATAGCATAGTGCATAAAAAATCATGATTATACAGAAAAATAGATCATTGAGCAGACATGACGAAGGGTGACGATTCCGTCGACCTAAATTAAAGTATTTCGCTTCTAGACAGAGCCACAAGCATCGAGATATGTTAGCGAATGTAGGGAGTTTGAACGTTGAAATCCAGTGAAAACCCACTCTGCCCAGAATGGGGTTATGCCAAGATCATTAGCAGATAGACAGGATGTCGACGAGTGGACGCAGGGATATATAGTTGTGGGATGCGCTAAATATTGAATTTATTGTAGCATACCTGCACAACATATATTGCAGACAAAATTATTAACTAGGGGTCGGCGTTGCCGACTATTTACCTTGCTCCGGCTTCGCCCGAGTTTTCTCGTCCCCAATTTTATTATTTTTCAACTACTTGTCGCCAACGTTGATCTTGCTCTGGTAACTCTTATTTTAACATTCATGGCATCAAACTGAATATGAAAGCACATCGATTGTCAGAAGTATTTAAGAGTTCAAATACGCTGACTCCATGGCAGTTTAGATAGTAAATCGGGGCGGGGACGCCGGGGAGTCACATCATCCAACTTTGAAATTATTTTTTTTCACACGGACTACATGCTTATGTTAGCACATATTTACCAACATGTGAACATGACCTTGCGGAGCAAGGTAATAAACCAGCTGATGTGAAAGTCTATCTGCGTGGGATATCACGGCGGCAAATCCCGTAAGGGTTAACACCCTAGACCTGACTTACCTCCGAGTTGAACAATCAATTGATCATGGCCACCAAGTTGTATTCTATGTCAAATCCCGTTCTCATTCAAAATTTTCCACGATCTGACGAAGCATGTGCCACGATTCAGTCATCGTCCGTCGTAAATTATCGTTTAAGCAAGCGACAGCTAACTGTACAGTGGGAGGTCGATGGTCCAAATGTCAGACATCCAGCCCGAAAAATTGTAGATACTGACTGTTCACATATAGCTGGTCGTCCCATCCAACTGTATCTATGCATTACTCGTGCTCTTGCACCAGCACGGCGTGTATGTCAAGATGGTCGCGAACGGTAAACCACAGGTAAAGAAGGGACATATGGACCCAGTAGATTTACAGCTGTATACGAACGTGGTTGCGTATATTCGGGACGTCATTCTCGCATTCAAAGAAGAGTGGCAGGAGGAAGGGTATAAGCCCACATTTCGTTCAGCACGCTTGGAGTTTCATACGGCAATGCTCCTTACAGGTGGCACCTTCAATGATAAAAATGTGCGAAAGGTGAAAAAGAAGTTCAATGTTACGTGGGATGACGTCGTCAAGCGCGTGGAGGTGCCGGAAGTCAAGAAGCGTAAGTGAATTAGCATTCACATGTCCATCACAGTTGCTCATCATTCATATCTAAGTACATTGGGACGAGAAGGCATATCACGAGTTGACATGCGACAAGGATGAGAATATGTGTGGTCTGGACGTTTTTTCCACCGTTAAACATAGCAAGGAGTCGCTCAATATGATAGAGAGATTCATCCAGGATAGGGAGGCTGCGTGGGTAGCGAAGAACACAGTTGTCATTGACCTTGAAGATGTGGAACAACAGGTAGGAGCTAGAAATACGAAGGGAAAGCAGGCCGTCCGTACCGCACAAAATGTGAGCTTCCTACACATGCGATATTAATGTTACTAGAATATATACTCACTATTGAATTGGCTAGGACGCTCCAGAGAGCACAAAGGGGGGTAGCGCTGTGCGCAACGCGAAAAGAGTAGGTACCTAAGGCAGTCACTTATCAGAGATGCTAAACAATGCCCAAGTCTGACAGAATATCAGTCCAAGAGGGTGAAGACATGAGGGATAATCAGAACGATGTCCGGAACACAACCGAGGTGAGCTTTCTATACTGGCTAGGATGACACTCACCACTTAGCCCTTGCAGAATAGAGGAAAAATTCAGGAACATCAGGCAGCAAATGTGGTCGTAAGTCGCAAAGGACAAGGCAACGTTATGAGCGATACCGACCATGAGTTGGAGAAGATGAACGCGTTGGAGATATCATCGAGCCGTAAGAAAAACGATGATGCTCAAGCTTCGCCTAACATGATGGAGTCAGTGCGCACTTCGGGTAAAACTACAAAAATAGTGAATTACCGCACTAAATCTGTCGACGTGGTCACAGCTGAATCGAATGAAGCAACCAATACAGTTGGAGCGAGAGCTGGAGAAAAGTCGTCTAACGCAGTAGCGAATGAGGGAGAATTTAAGCTGGCAGCCTCCTCAACTATCGATGGAGTGAAGGGCCGTGAAGTCTCAAACGTGAGTTTTTATTCTGGATATGCAATAGAGCAGTGTGTAATCACACATGATTGCATATTTCGAAGGCTTTCCTGATGGGTTCGGCTGATGACATGCAAAACATGGTGGCACGCGGCATGGTGGAAGGGAATGGAATGGACATCAGCAAAAAATTAATCGTCTGGATGATACGCCGATTTCGCACACTCGTTGGAGTTCCATTAGAAGCGCCCCTACACGGACAACTCATCACACAATCACCTGATGAATACCACGACCTGACAGAGAATGACTACCTTGAGGCACTCGGAATTGAAAGAATATATGCTGCATTGGTCCATGCAGAAGAGAGCCCTGGACATCTTGTTCATCTCGCACATGCTTTGGGGAGGGCAGCCAAGGAGACCAATATATTGTCTGATTCTAAGCCAGACACAGAATCCTTAGACCCCCTGCCCCCCACGACGCTGCCGCGCGCAACCACATCCACCAGCATTGTCCAGTCCTCCAATGAAGTCGAAAATAATAATCATGCTCGCAATAATATTCAAGATGATCAGCAAAAATCAAGGTATGTCGATATTTGTGCTATGATGGACCAGTCAATACCTCACAGCTTCACCAGAATTATGGATATGGACGGCGATGATGGATCCATGTCCTACGAAGAACAGGCAGTAGGCGTGTCAGCCAATCTCTCCGCTGATAAGATGGTTACCGAAGCAGAACATGACGAAAACAGTGCCGGTGACAATAGGAATCCGAGCGAGGACACATCAAAGAAAGGGAAAAGGACACGATCAAACTCAATGCCTTCATCTGGCACAATGGTATTCCAAACGTCTCTAAATGTCGAACATACATCTCACCGATCATGTATTACAGCCTAAGAAGGGGGGGAGATATAGAAAGCGCTCAAAACCTCTGTCCTCAATGCCCCGCATATGAGACACAACTCAGAAACCTCACAGTGTCATTTATTAGTTCACGAAACTCCCAGGGTAAAATTTAGCAATCCCAGGACTTCGTTAGATTGTTATGAATGTATCTAATTACCTTGCACTTCACCATAGAATTTATGCTCACGACGTCGATCTTTGTCTGATTTTATGTTCACGTGAACTTCGATGTGAACGCGTTCTAATAATTAGCAATGATACGTCAGAAATTGAGCTAAGTCCATTTTCATTTTCCTGCATACAACCACCCAAGTATATATCAGCACTCTCGTTGTCGACGATATTGATCGCGCGCCTCACAATGCCAGATAGACCACGTTTTCTATGTCATTGCTCTCGATGCTCCGAGCATAAAGACAGATTCGTGTATCAGACACGGCAGGTCATTCGCATACATTCAAAGAAGTATCCACTGCCAAAATCCGACGCTCCAGGAGATGACCATCAGACACCTTCATCGTAAGCTTGTGGACCCCTTGTACCTCAAAATAATGTACCCGGTCCTGTTCATGAACTTCAGCATGAGTGTACTGTTAAATACTGTGAAGGTATCTTCTCGGAGCGGAGAGATGCGAAAGGTAAACTTGTCCGCACTGCTAAAAAAAAATGAACCCACAGACATCTCTTATCGGGAGTTTGAGGCAAATGCTAATGAAGCCTGGGTTTTCAAAATACATTTGTGACAGTCGTCATGATCAATCTCGAGCAAATGATGATGAAGATTTCATCATGACGGACATCCATCATGGTTCAGCTTTGAGACCAACATTGTGCGTGAAGTTGGCGAGTTTGGAGCAATACGCGATCGATCAGCAGATAGGATGACAGCAAAGAAACCGACGAAACATCGCTATGGCCTGCATCTCACAATTAATACAGACTAGTAGGTGTTTTTCGTGCACATATACCCAACCGATACATTGCGTTGTAGGATGGATATACTAGAAAACCGTCCTCACTCAACTGGAGCTATATATTTTGCCATCAACGATCTTACGAGGGACGAATGCTTGCAAATCAATATCATCTGTGCCGCAGTTCTACCTGGACCCCAGGAACCAAATGTGCAGCAAATCAACCACTGCCTTGAACCATCAACAAAGGAATTAATGATGCCTAAGGGTGGCAAGGCTACGTATATTATATGTTGTCTACAATATGGCTGTCATTCTAAATTGCAGGTGTCCGCATGTATATCGCCGATGAGGATTAGCCAGTAGATGTCTATGCAGATAATGAGATTCTCGACTGAGATATGCCGGCTGCTCAGAAATTGTCAGGGACTGCTGGTCGCTCCCATGACATGCACCCTTGCTTGCATTTTGATATAGATGTCACCAAAATCAACACACACGAAGGCTATGACTACAGTAGTCCTTTTGCCGACGAAAATTGTCACTTCAACTAATTATTTTCACAGGCTGGATGGCATAAGATGATAACCATCTGATACGACAATAATTATGCTCGCGCAATGCCAACCCCGTTCGGCAAAGGACCATTCTCTATGACCATGGAGTTCGTTGGAGTATACTAAACCTCATCGCAGGCTGGTTTCCCTCGAGGAAGATAGCATTGGACTTCATGCACTGCATTTTCCTTAGTATAGTGTTAGCTACAATTCATGTGTCGTATCACTACTTACTCGAGACAAGGCATAATTGCCCACCTCTTCATGTGGGTGCTATTTGCAGGATATACGATTTCCGGTGTCGGAGGCAGAAATTCACAGAAGCAACGATTTGAGGCCCTCATTAACAGCGTGAAATGGCCAGGTCATATCACACGCATTCCAAAGAATGTACGTACATATTTACTCGTTCAAAAGATTATACTAAATGTTTTCAGCTTGGCGAGAACCAGACACTCAAGAAGGATGATGAATGGAGACACCTCCTCACGATTGCCCACATCCTTCTCTGGTGGTCTGGGAGGGATGAGGATGATAATATCCCCGATATTGAGCCACCCCTTCCTCCAAATACGCAGGCTCCTGATTTCACACGGAATTGCCAATGCATATATGATGCTATCTTGCTGCTGTGTGCCGCTGTGCGTCTCCTAGCAATCAGATCCATCTCTATGGGCCAGTCACGTCTTGAGCAACCTTTCTTGTCTCAATATTTTCTGCGCTGCCTCGAACTAAAAATTCACCTTACCATTAATAATCATCACGCATCAATGTACATTGCCGACATGATCAAGGTTTTCTGTCCTGTCTACTCTTTGTGGTTGTGTGCCTTTGAGCGTTTGAATGGGATGCTCTAACGCGTTAACCGCAATGGTCACGATGGAGGACGAATGGAGTTGACACTGATGCGCCATTGGGTTCAAACTCATCTGATATATGAGTACACTCTTATGCTTCCCCCTCATGCCAATGCTACAGAACATCAAACGCTGAATGGAATCATCAAGAATCAAGCTCAGCAGCGAGGAAGTATGATGACAGAGATTGCCGTGTATCGAAGTGAAGCAGCTCATGGTAAGCTTTTATCTACTATTGGTCATGTTCTAAAAATATTTCAGATAATGTCCGGCTCCCACTCCGTCAGGCAAAGTTCATTAATCTCCGAACTTTGGACCTGATGGTATCCTGTATCCCCTGATCTTTTTCTATTGTCGGCTGCTTTGGCTTGATCTCGACATCATTGATGACTTCTCACTCAAATAACGGCACCATGTTCTTCGCATCACAAGTTGCCCGTGCGCTCGTGTATATTCAGAAGGATGGTATTCGATATGGGTCCATGACTAACAAACGTACACGATCAGATGATTATGCGTTCCGAAGTCATTACCCAAGCTGAGTCTTGTATCCCTATTGAGATATGCAAACTCCTTGTTGTTGGCCTCGGCAACAAAGTTCCTCATGTATGTGCCCTCGTACGATGCCTCAAGTCTGACGAAAATATTCCCTTGATGCCCTGGGCACTCTAGTAAGGTATGTGTCGTCAATGTTTTATTCTGAAATTTATTATGTTCAATAGCGAAAGCACTCTGGGAATCCACACATCTTACATGGACGAGTATCATCCATATGAATTCTTTGCACATCGGTAGCTTGAAAAAAAATTATTCCTCTATGTCCAATGGTAGGCTTCGTTATCGTTAAGGAAAAAGACCTGGTACTTACTTGATCGCTTGCCCATGCCCAGCCTCGTGATACGTATCTACCAGTAAGTTTTCCGTGTTTGTTCATCTTCATCTTCTGACATTACTTGTGGGACAAGTGCCGTTTTGAATGCATCCGTTTTGTACTACTTGGAATCATCTGGTAATGCAGTAAAATTTCTTTTCCGAACCTCATATTTCTGTGGCTGATATGACAATCATTTTTCAGATGGGGCTAGAACTCAATACGTACTCCGTTTTGATCACTTTGGCGCGTATCCTTGGTCAAATTTATATCTTGCGTCGCCAACACGCTATCTACAGCTGCAGCTGTCGCGGTAGAGCGAGATTAAGCCAGTAATTTTAATGCTATTGAGTAATTTTTCAATTCCTTCCCAGCTGCAGGACTATATTCAGCACACTCCGTTCAAATGTATTTGAAGATTGCCTGAAGTGCGAGGTTGTTGTCCTCGTGAGCATAACTGTCTTCCCAGCGCAATCGAATAAACTTTTCATTGGTTGCACTATCAACAGGCCATTCTTCACCTTCCTGCGGCCACTATGGCAGATCTTTTGCGGTGAGCTTTACAGTCCCAATAACGTGCGAAAAAGCGTGTCGAACGATTGCCTAGTATCAACATTAGTAAGATAAAATTCGATGATACCTTGTGAAAGCACTTACGAGGAGTCCAGGATCACCTTTTGCTTCCAGAATAGCCTCTAACATCGCATCATCTTCATCCTCTCCACATCTTTGCAAAGTCTTCTCAATATTTTTCTCGACATAATCATTTATATCTGCAATGTGTTTCTCATAGGACTCGCACATGTTAGTTGCCGTCGTGTTGTGGTGAGTGATTATCTCCTCAAGCTCTGCAACATCATGCTTCACTGCTTCAAGTGCTGCTACCACAGCCGTCTTCTTCAGTTTACAACTGGTACTGGTACCATCCCCCGTGCTCCAACTCTCGATCTGAGGAAGGACTGGAAAAACAACAACTCCAGAAACTCCGGGCTGTGGCGCATGTAGTTGTTCATATGGACTAGGCAGATTTGGATCCTGGAGCGCTGCAAAGAAGTCAGCTTGGGTCACAAACTGAGGAAAAGTGTCGCAGTTGAGATCCATCTCTACAGAGCAGGCTTAATGGTTTGGAGTCTGTGGAGGAGGGCCGGTGTTGTTCAAATGTTCTCATCGTACTCGTACTTATATGTATTGTCCACCATTTATACGTTCGTCTGAAGCAATGTATCATCTCAAATTAGAAAGCGAGCGTGATGCAAGGCTGTCGCTGAGCAAAAAATTCTGAGGATCCACTGTGTGTACCTGAAATGGGTATTTTACAGTATTTGTAAAGGAATTGCGATAAATTCCTATGACAGAAACCCCACCGTATGTTTTTTAGGGTATTTACGTTGATTTGTGGAGGAATTTTTCAATTTTCCCGCATTACCCTCACGTCATATTCCGAGGCATCACACTGTGTGAAGGACTGGCAAGCTACGTAAAAGTAACATTAGAACTAACAGTCAAATTTACAAGCACACCTAATATACAAAAAGACTCCACATTCCTCCTTTCTTCACCAACCAGACGTTCTCCGGCTCCCAGGGTGCTTTTGGCGCTGCCGCTGTGGGCGGGTTTGCTTGTGACTAGAATACGGAAGGTTAGAGATATCGTCCGATAGCCGGCACATTTGGTGACAGCATGTCAGTTCGCTAACGGTTGACGAAAGGTTAGCACGAGTGTTGTATGGTGAATATTGAGGAATGAAATTTGTGTATGATGAGGTTCTGTGAGGGGTGTTGGCATTAGAAGTGTGGATATCAAAAAACTGACACTAATAAAAATGCACCGCATTGTGGCAACATCGATGAAATGAGAACGAGCGCATGCAGACAAGTGAGTACAGGGCCGAAGGGTGCAGTATGCGCTGAATATGGGCATCGGGATTTACGCACCTTTGAAACCCTCAGCTGCAGCTTGAATCGAAAGTCAAATTAGATCAAATACCGATCATAGTGAATCTAACTCACTTCGCCATACCACCAGTTAGTACACGTGCCAACCTGCACACCTTCCCGCAGGTCATGATCGTTGATTCGTTCGAGGACAGCGTCGTGTATTTGATGAGGTGGAAAAGGAGCTTTGCAGTTATCCGGTTATGCTTTCACACATGCCGGAACGCCTTGAAAAATGCTCAGTAGTACTTGGTGGATTTTATGTATTGTAATAATAGGTAGTTCTAAACACAGATCCTTAGTTCATCCTCCCATTCTTGTCCAGAATGTAGTCGGACGTTCCTGGTATCACATTGTCGACTTTTAGGATGTACTACATAGTTATGTAAAGTAAGAGTCCATTTACCGATCTGCGAGCTATTTCACTATGTAGGCAGTAACTATGATATGTATATAGTCCTATAACCAGAATTCGTAACGTCCAACGCTGCGTACTAACTGTTCTTGGAAATAAATCGCCACCCTGCCTCTAAATACGTCAAAAAGAATGAATCTACTCTATCGTGATGGATATCCAAGATAGGGCTCAACGGGCTCGACCTTTATGGTGATGCCAAGGTCGGGCTTGATGTCCTCGGTCTTGATTTCAATGCCAAGGTCGGGCTCGAATTGCTCGATCTTGATGCTTGTTGAAATTTTGGACTCGATCTTGAGGACCGCCCCGAGGTTGTGGTCGATTGACTCGGTATTGAAGGGTGTCCCGATGTCGGGCTTAAGTCCTTCAGCCTTCAAGACCTGCCTAACATCATTAGGCTCTGCGTTTGCAGGAACATCAGGCTATTTTATGTATGAGTATATCGTGTATCAATCGTAAAGAATAAAAATAGACTCACCACTTCGACCATAATTTGCTCCTCTTGATAGTCAATTCGAATCGCGTGGCGTCCGCTGCGAGTGCCGCGAAACGGCCCGTCTCTCTGTGAAGTCTTCAAGCGATCATTCTAATCAAATATGTCAGATACATGTAAGGCGGACGAAGAAAAAAAAACTTACCAATATTTGCGCTCTCATGATTCGAGCCATCTTTCTCCTACTCATCATGTCTCTGTATGCTTCTGCTCTTGTTTTCGTGGGCATAGTGTAGATGTAGATGGAGATATAAAATGTATGTGATGGACTTGTAATGGAATGTATGTGATGGACGTGTGATGGATGTATGAGAAGGACTGTGATGGACATTAAATAAATGGCGTGTTTGCTTATGTTATGTTGTGGACTCTAAATATCGTGGGACTACTCCGTAGGCATACTGGCGTATTGTTTGTTATGGACTCACAATTTCTGTGATTTGATTACTTCTCAGTATACATACGCATTGTTTGTTGTGGATTCCACAATTTCTGCGACTCGATGACTTCTATATATGCACACGAACATATTGTGAATTGTAGATATTTTTGTTGTGTGGTTTCATTACAGATATCTGAGATTGGCCACCGGCACAATAAATAATGAAAATGGGGGAGCTTCTCAGGCGTCGGGCTTGTTGGGTCACAGACCATGCCAGGGGTAGTTTCGGACGGTGCGTTTCTACTTCTGCTGACAAAAACATACAGGGCAGCGTTTCAAGGAAACTTTACTCTCATCGAAATTTTGTATCTGTACATAACTAATGTAATTATACGACGTTCGAGGCTGATCCCGATGCTTCGAGTGGGTTTCGAAAAGCGGCACATCGGACAGTGTTCCAAGCAAAATGGACTAATATTTAATCAGACGATATACATAACACTAGTAACTACTGTATTACTCCGTATGTAGATGTAGAAAAAGCTAGAACGACTGAAAGTGAGCGCGAACAAACGATTGTGCAAAGGTTAGACACACTGCGAACGGTGGGCAACGAATTTGATCAGCATGGCTCGAGCTCGAATGAGGATCGATACACACACACACTGCGAACGGCGGGCAACTACTTTGGCTCGAGCCCGAATGAGGAACGACGCACTCAGACACTGCAAAAGGCGGGCAACGACTTTGATTAGCATGGCTCGAACTCAAAGGAGATCGACACACTCACACACTACGAACGGCGGGCGACAACTTCGATTAGCATGGCTCGAGCTCGAACGAGGATGGACGCACTCACACACTGCAAACGGCGGGAAACGACTTTGATCAGGATGGCTCGAACTCGAAGGAGATCGACACACTCACACACAACGAACGGCGGGCGACAACTTCGATTAGCATGGCTCGAGCTCGAACGAGGATGGACGCACTCACACACTGCAAACAGCGAGCAACGACTGTGATCAGCATGGCTCGAGCTCCAATGAGCATCAAAACACTGACACAATGCGAACGGCGGGAAACGACTTCGATCATGGCGAAGAAGAGTGGACGCACACTCACCTACTGCGAATAGTGAGTGACGACTGGTCAGCATACCTCGAGCTCCAGGATCGTTGTAAACCTGTGCAGACGGAAGTGAGTAAGAGTTTACCAAAACATGGGACTCACCGGATGTTTTATTCTTAACGAAATTCTGCCGGATGGCATGTTGAATTGGTGGTGATTGAATATGTTAAATAAGATTGGGTATATATGATAAGGATAAATATTGATACTAAAAATGCTGATTGCATCACCAGAATTTGCCGGTTGACTTCGAAACGTCACGTGATGTTCGAAACCAACATTCTTCCATTTCGTTTATTTTGGTTAGTATACAGATTGAGAGTGCCTGCTGCTCTATATTGATTTTACTGGCTGCTGATAGGTTGTGTAATTCATGATTTTGTCAAGGTCAATTGTGTTCGTGTCAACGTCCTTAATTCTACCCCACCAGCTGTAAATATTTGTTCCAGCTAGTTTTTTAATGGGAACTGTGGCTTATTTGTCTTTGGTTGCAATTCATGGGTGCCTGTTCTGCATGCTGAGTCTTCCTGTTGAAGCCTGATTGATTCTGCGCATATATGGATCTTTTGTCTGACTTGAATCGTTGGCACCGAGATCCACCCGTCATACGCGCCACAAAATATATCTGACACCGCAGCGATGAAATCGAAGATGATGCCAAGTCAAAATGAGATTCTGACCTCGGCCCGCCCTTCTGAAATCAAGCGACGGCATAGAAATAAGATCAAAAAAATGAACAAGATCCCGCCATCACCATAAGCAACAAAAAATGGGAATCAAGCGAAAAGAAAGACAAGGGAAAGGACGACTACTCGACAGAGCCTGCGTTCGAAAACCCACCCCCCGCCCGTTAGAGATAGGTTCAGCTTTGGATGAAAACGCATCGTCTCGGTCTCGGTTCTCGGAACAACAAGCGGTACCATACGCAATGCAAGGAAAACGCTACGATTTCATATCGCAAGTCAACGCCAGGTTCTGTCATCATCGGATGAGCCCTGAATCAAGCAAAGTCAAAACCAAATTCCACCGCAGCCATAAATACGACAGCGATGATCCAAGCAATATGATAGCAGCAAAACATCCGAAATCAAGCGAAATCGAGTCGACACGAAACAAATCTCCGACCCTCTCCCACAGCAAAAATCAAGGGAAGTCGAGCGATAGACGAACAAAAATCAACAAAAATGAAATACCGACCTCGGCCGACAGTCATAATCAAATAAATGCAAGACATCAAAGATGACGAAATAAGATCCCGACCTCGGCCAGATCCCTCGTCCAATTACGATTGTCATGGCAAGATCTGCCATCACCGTAAGCAAAAAAATGCGAAATAAAGCAAAGTCAAGGCAACATCAAACAAAGTCAACGCGTCATCCGCGTATAATACGTATCATCCGCTCACCTTTACGCGCATCAAATCAAGCATCCAAGAAAGTCTTGACGGAAACATAGCATCCGTATACAAATCTACCAACCACGCGATCATAATCAAATCAAGGAAATGCAACAAAGACAGCAACCCAAACGAATTCAAGCGCATAATCAAATCAAATCAACGCAAGACATCAAAGATAACAACCAAGATAAATTCGAGTCCCCCTTAGCTTTAGTGTTCGGTGCCTCGTTAGTCTAGGCTTCGGCGTCTCGTTAGCTAGGCTTCGGCGTCTCGGTTAATGCTTAGGTTCAGGGACGTATTGTCTCGGTGTCTCGTTGTCTCGGTTCTCGGCCACATACCGTCATACAGCCAACAATCCCCACCAGAATACAACAACAACACAACTCAAAGTCGGGCGAAATCAGCAAAGTTCCTGCAATACCGACACGCTCTCCCTCGACCACCCAGCGACGAGATCATCAAAAATAACAAAAATCAAGGGAAACCAAGTCAAGTCGTTACAAAAATCTGACCTCCCGCAAGGCATCACCCAAGACAAGCACCGCCCCCACTACGACTATGACCAATGCAAGTCTCAACAAAATTACGTCCTCAGCCGAGACCACCATAGCAACAAAATATGCGACATCAAGAAATGCCCCAGCGACAACAGCAAGACACCACGATACGCAACAGTAGTCAAGACAAGGATGAGGAATACAATACGCTGCAATACCATACCACAGCAAGTCAAGCGATACAGTAGCAAGACAAGCAATACGACAGCAATAAGTCAAGCAACACGATAGCAAAACATAGCAAAAATCACGCAAAATAGACACAAGTCTGAACGAGATTTTCGCCTTCGCTTACGCTTCAGATCAAGCCACGCAATAGCAAAACGATAGCAACAATCGTGCAAAATCAACCCAAGTCTGAACGAGGTTTTCGCCTAATCCTACGCCTCGGATCAAGCAAAATGAAGCAACACGATACCGATGCAACACCAAAAAAACACCAAAAATCAAGCAAAGTCAAGCCCATCAGCACGAGATTCCGACCACAAAGGCGCATCACCCCAATACGAGCAAGACCACTCCAGCGATAAAACAGCCAAAAACGACCCGCACCGCAGCAATACGACCACAAAAGAAATCACAAACATCAAGCAAAATGAAACCAAGTCATCGCGAGATTCCGTCCTCGTCTCACCAGTAATCGATCAAGGAAAGTCAAGCAATAAAACAGCGAAAGTCAAGTAAATCCTCGGCCGACCCGTCACCACAAAATCAAGCGATGCAAAAGCAACTCGACACACAACATCAAGTCAACGACAAACAAAAATCCCAGCCTCTCCCCCAGCCAAAATCAAGAGAACTCGAGCAACGAATCAACAAAAATCAGTCGAGTCTACATCGATCAAAATTCACGATTCCGACCTTGGCCAGCACATCGCTTCAGACCAGGCGACCATAAGGAACAAGACCAAAGCAAAGACCACAGAAGAATGAAGAAAACACCTCCCCAAGCCAACGATAAGAGACGAAACGCAATGATACAGGAAAAATCCCCGCCCCCCGCCCGTTAGAGCTAGGGTCAGCTTAGGATGAAAACGTATCATCTCGGTGTCTCGGCTCTCAGCACCCCACGACAAGCAACAGGATCCCACGCAAAGAAATCATCCGACTTTGATGAAATCAAGTCAAACTCAATCGAACATTCAACGTTCCATCCACCCAGATGCACAGCGAACGATAAGCGAAATCAGTCAAGTCAGCTCAACGTTCCATCCACCTCTGACCAGATGCGAGACACAGATCAAGGAAAGTCAAGGAATAGAACAGCCAAAATGAAGTCGAGTCACAACCGAATTCAATCCTCGCCCCACGCATCACCACTGCAGGAATAATCGAGACACCGAGATCCACTCGAAATCAAGCGATGCCAAAGCAACAAAGCATCAAAAATCGAGTCAACAAGAAATGCTCTTCTCTCCCAAAGCAAAAAAACAAAGGCGAGTCGAGCAATGAAGAATATGTTTTCTGGAAGAAATTCAATCGTTGGCACCGAGATCCACCCGTCATACGCGCCACAAAATATATCTGACACCGCAGCGATGAAATCGAAGATGATGCCAAGTCAAAATGAGATTCTGACCTCGGCCCGCCCTTCTGAAATCAAGCGACGGCATAGAAATAAGATCAAAAAAATGAACAAGATCCCGCCATCACCATAAGCAACAAAAAATGGGAATCAAGCGAAAAGAAAGACAAGGGAAAGGACGACTACTCGACAGAGCCTGCGTTCGAAAACCCACCCCCCGCCCGTTAGAGATAGG